CAGGAGGAGGATGATGAGGCGGAGAACGTTCCTGAAGACGACGACATGGACACGCAAGGATACACGTCCGGCTACATGTCTGAGGAAGAAGATGGCGGTTGGCAATACCGCGACAATGACTTGACATCGCGGGATATCATAAATACCCAGCGGATGGCGATTTGCCTTGATGAGCCGCGCGAAGCTCAATACATGGCGGGATTCATCGCGCTGCAGATGTCAAAGATGTGGGGGATGTTCGAAGGGGGTGAAAAGAGAACAATCGATGCCGCGCTCGAAGGGAAGCAAGGCTGTCCATGCCACAACGACTTCAAGAAGTACCCCAACATTACGGAGATTGATCAGGAAGGGATCCTTTTGCCATCGACGGTACTGAAGATTTCTCAATCTCAGAACGTTCGAGAAAGGGCCTTCCGGTCGGCTGAGGAGCGTGATGAATACATTCGTCTGATGGTATGCAAATGCGAGGGGCTATACATATTTTACAAGCTGTGGATTGCAGCGAGAATCCTCGACATCACCAAAGACGAAATGAAGCTCCTGGTCAAGGATCGCGTGCGCCCGGTGGGTGATATCATTTACAGATGCTTCTCCCTGGCTTTCAACTGTAAATATATATCGTTCGTAAGGGAAGGCCTGAACCTTGGCAAACATGGTTATTCGGTCAATGTGAGCGCCATTATTGCAGCCACTGACCCGAACAAATGCGACACACCTCTGCTGGATTGGTGCCTACGAATGGGGCATTGGATACCAGAAGATCATCATAAGAAGTGTGTCCGGGCGCGAGAAGCCCAAAAGAATTTGGACGAAGAGTTCCGTCGACGTACCCACAGACTGTCCATTGGAGACAGGTATGCGTAATACAGATGTGGATTATTATTGCTTATGTGGTGCGGTGCGCCCACCAACAGCAATACGTATATTCACTCCGATGTTGATTGCGGCACGATGTGGGCTAGTCCCCATCTATTGCTTGCGTCTCATCAATGTCATTGCGATGGAACGACTCTACATCATGATATGATTTCATGCGTCCAAGATGAATGGATGTGTATACATTTACATATTCCGACGGCTATGACATTCCGGATATTCATGGATGGAACTATTACCTCATGGATGATTTCCTTTTCATTATATATATTATTCATGGTACCTGGAATGGCTATGTTTTGCATGTATTGCTCACCAAATCTTCTTTGCCAATGATATTCAGATGGCATATGACCGTGCGCTACTATGGATTTCTATGGCCAACCCATTTCTGTGGATGACGGCTGCGCGATGCGCAAATGCGGCAGCCGGGATTTCAAGTGGTTGCGTATTGGCTAGAGGCAAAATGTCTCTTGCATCTGAGTATAGGAATGTGCTACGATTTGCGGATGCATGTTTCTGCCTTGATTGGACCTGGCAAGTTTCACAATGAATGGACGGTGTAGCAATAGTGATGAAAGAGTGTTCGACACAGTTTCGTAGCTGAAGCCGTGGCCATTGGAACGTTTTGTGGTGTTTGGACCGCATGATGAACAATGCGACCCAAATGGGGGATGTTAAAACCCTCCTGGCCCCGTGCCTAAATTGGGAAGCAGTTCTGAGGTCCGTGTTTGTGTTGCTTACAAGGTTCCATTGATTGCCATTTGGCTCAAGTCACAAGTGAGGTTCAAGATCTTATGTGAAGCTGCGTTCATACGTGATCGGCAATTGAGAGCGGAAAACACTTCGCTTGCGCTGCATTTGTCAGGACCACTGTTGTAACTATTATTCCTTCTCCCTTACAACAGTTACACGGGTTCGGCTATAACGGTTTGACCGTATACACCTTTCTACGTGGTTGTTCTACAGCTGGAGGGTTCGGTGGACAGCGTCCCACGGGACGTCACCTTGCCGTCTCTTGACAGTATGTATGTATGTATGTATGTATGTATGTATGTATGTATGTATGTATGTATGTATGTATGTATGTATGTATGTATGTATGTATGTATGTATGTATGTATGTATGTATGTATGTATGTATGTATGTATGTATGTATGTATGTATGTATGTATGTATGTATGTATGTATGTAATGTATGTATGTATGTATGTATGTATGTATGTATGTATGTATGTATGTATGTATGTATGTATGTATGTATGTATGTATGTATGTATGTATGTATGTATGTATGTATGTATGTATGTATGTATGTATGTATGTATGTATGTATGTATGTATGTATGTATGTATGTATGTATGTATGTATGTATGTATTATAATATAGATGTCCATGGTTGTAACCTACCTGCCCAAGTTGGTTCATCCAAAAGGAACTACAATGGGCCAATGGGGGGCAACATAAGTGTGGTGGCTTTCCCTTTTTTCTTTGCCCTCGACAGACATGTCGCTTGAAGTTGGAAAACTTTGTGGCTTCATGAAGCCCTTGGATTCAAGGCGATGGGTGCCCGAACTTGGATCCTTAAGCCGGGACATCTGGGTGTGTCTCTCCTTTGAGTTGGTACCTCTTTCTTTTTTGTTGTCGTTTTCAATTGGAACACTGGAATCCGTTTTGGTCCACAAAGAAAGACATGCTCACTCTTGCGGCTGGGCCGTGAACACCCGCTGTCATGTAGATCCCCCTCTCATCCGGGCGGGCGAAGCGGCGGCATAGGTGTCCTTAAAACATAGGAGGCGACTCCAGCTAAACCAGGGTGGTTCAATCATCTACCAGGGAAACCCATCGATTTTCCAAAAAGGACACCTAGCGGGCTGCCTTTTGTCTGCGCCAGGTGTCTCGGGTGTCGCCTGCACGAGGCAGTGTGTCGGGGGGCACCTACGTGGTGCTGTCCGGCACAGGCTTCCGACACCCCGCGGGGCCTGACCCTTTCGGCGCCTCGGAAGTGGGGCGGGTTCGATGTGGGGAAACCCAGGCCTGTGCCCCCGCTTCCCCCCCCCCCCAGAAAGGAAGCAGATGAGCAGCTGGTGAGAACTCTGACTGGCCTGATTTGGTCCCCTTTATTGGTCTTTTTCTGATTTTCAACACCTGCAGACCCCGACAACCCTGCTCTTGTTGCCAAGTTCTGTTGGGAGGCGGGGTGCCCAATTGGGGGAACGGCAGGCTCCGGGGGCTGGTTTGCCAAGGCACGTTTGGAGAGGGGTTCTCGAATGAAAACAAAGAACCAGGGTGCCAGTATTTTTTCCCACGCGCATCCAGCGAGGTGTGGAGAAAGGTGGAGGGTTGTTCTGAGTGTTGCAGGTGCGCTAAGGTGCCCCGCTCTCTTCTAAATAAAGCCGCAGTTTTTTTGTGTATTTAGCTTGGTTCTCCACGGTTCATGCTTTCATCTCAAATTTCTTTTTGCAGGCTCTCTCATGGTTGCTAAACTTTGATGTAGTTGAGGTCTGTGAACAACAACATCCCGCCGTCGAGGATATCCCAAAATACAAAGGACGGTTTTTGAAGCGAGAATCCAAACAGCAAACACAAAATGGCCAAGAGGGAATTTGGTGTGAAAACATGGGAACTCAAAAAGAGAACTGCTGGAGCTCAGCTTCTGGCACACTTTTTTCATTTTAACACAAGACCTCAGCTTGGCCGAGGGTCTTGCAACTCCTGTCTCAAGGGGAAACCAAAGTTGACAGCCATCATTCTGGGGCTCTTACCCACAGGTGTTGGCGTACATGTATGTATATATATATATATATTTATACATATACACATTACCATATGTATATATGTATGTATTGTACCAAATGGTACCCCGTACCCAACCTAGGTTTTTGCTTCGTACAATGGAAGGCATACTCAACACAACTGCAAAATCCTGCAAACATGAATATGTTTAAATTCGAACTGTGGACACATGCAGACAATCAACTGCAAAAACCCTTCTCAAAGAGAGTATTTTTGTACAGTTACACAATCACCATGCAGAAGTGACTATGTTTCTATTTCTTTCAGTTTTACTTTTCAGTGAAAAAGAAAAAACTCCCAAGGTTAACTTTGTTTTAGTTCAGGGAGTTTACATTAGCTTTTCTCTTTGCATTTTCCACTAAAAACAAAAAGACAGGCGTACAACTGTCGGACCCATGAAAAGCAAGCAGCAAGACTGTGAGAAGTAACACTTGATGCTCTTTTACTTCAGGGAGGTGTTTTTATATATATATATATATTCCCCCAGGAAACGTAAGCATCGGAAACTCTGTCTCCTTCGTCTGTTCTTGCTGTCTCCGTTGTTTCTTCTTGCTTTTTTGAACGTTTTGGAAGTTTTACATTTTCCCCTTTCCCAACTAACAGCAAAAAGTAAAGCTCCTGAAAGTAGCACTTCTTTAAACTCCAGGAAGCTTTTCTTTTTTGCTTTTCCGCAGTGGAAGTTTACATTTTACTTCCCCCCATAAGAAAAACAAGCAAGTACAACTCCCGGAAGTAAAACACCATTTACTCTTGGGAGCTTTACATTTTGCCTTTTCAGTTGGGACACGCGTGAGCATATAGGTTTTGGAGACGCGTGGCTAGTATATTGATATATATATATATATACACATCGCATATATATATATATATGCATATATGCATATACAGATACACATTTTATTGCGGTTTCAAGATCGCCTTGGGTCTTTTAGAGGACTTTTGTTTGGGTGACGGACACAAAGTTTAATTGAATTGGTATGGGGGGGTGCACCTCAGAGAAGAGGGGATTTGAGTCGCTCGGGAGCTGCGTTCCCTTCAGCCGGGTTTACCCTCCTTCAATCATGGACGCCGATCGGAGGCTTCTGGAAGATCACTTCTGGGGGGTTTGCCAACGAGTCCGCTTCCTGCTCGGTTCTTGCTCGGTGCCCTCTGCTGACTTCGTAGCTCGTGGCTGTGCCTCTTATGTACGGCACAAAGGTTTGGATCATCCAAAGATAGCCCTGAAAGGTCAAAAATTCCACGCTTTGAACGCCAAGAAACCAAATCCTCGGGGGGGTGCTTTGCCCCGGGCCGGTCGAGCCGTTCCATCGATCCATGGGATCTGAGGTCACCAGACAGCGGCCTGGCAGAGATCGGCAAATCTCTGGAGGGGTGGGGGTGCGTTTCTCAAGCACTTTCGTTGTGGGACATGGCTGGCTGGTTTTTCTTTAAGATGCTCGGTATATACCCATGAAATGGGTGGTGAAAAGGATGCTAAGGAACATTCCAGTTCTTTCGGACCCCAAGAACACCAAATGGTGGTTTGGGTTTCAAGGAGTTCCCCTTCGAAGTGAAGTTGTGGGAGTATGTCGGGCCTGTTCCATGCGCTTAGGGGGAACTTCTCTGGTGGATGAATCTTGGGGGAACTTGATTTACTGAAGAACCGGCAGCAGCCGGACCTGTTGCAGGCTTTGTCAACATAGCAGTACAGGATATGGCCATGGGTCCAAAGCCAAATCGTACCCCCAGTGAACATCCCAATCGCTACTGAAATAGACTAAAATGGGTGGTGCACCTACCCCAAAATGGTACCAAAACGGTTTTGACCCACAGCCATGGGGACGCGTCCCATGTCCTTTCGGCCAGCCGCATGTGCATCAAATTGATGGAGCCTCACCAGTCCGAACTGAGGCCAACGTGTTTGTCTGGAGCAAAAGGGGCCATATCATCAATAGTGTGGTTGTTGAAAGCAGTAGGGGCAAGTACCTCTCTGGGCTTCTAGCGGATGTTGGAGCAAATAACGTCCACACTGCTTCGGAGTTGTTCCTTCATCGTCTCTTGAGGTGCACTTTGGTGACCGACCCTGTGCAGTGCTGGAGGACGCGCATGAAGCGTTCTGAGTGATGAGAGACATCGACCATCTCAAAGTCAAAGCACCAGATGGACGGTTTTCTTTTGACTTTGGGAGTGAAATTTTCAGGCAGGGGAAACCCGTTCTTGGGCTTGGTTTTGGAAAACCGATCTACGCGTAGATCTTCAATTGGAGCATCCGCGCAAAAAGCCAACCCAGGCACCCTTAACCCTAGTTGCATCAACCGATGTAAATAGGTAACCATGGATGTAAATGGCCGCACAATACTATGGCCCACTTACCTAACGTGGTTTGACAGGATCCAAGCATGACAAGCCGCCGATGAAAGTCAACTAGATGAATCCAGGGTTCCCATTTGCCACATATTTCCAGTCTCAGCTTGCCAGATATGAAGAAGCGAAGGTCAACATGATGGAGATTTGGACCCCCGAACACTGGTTTCGGGCTTTCCCTTTCCCTTCCAAAAGCATCCCTTTGTACGGCTTGCCGGTTGCTTCAAACCAAATCCGTTCGCCAGGCGGAGACGAGTGGCGAGCAGCTGGTCTGCGAAACCAGCGCGGGCTTGGCCGGAGGACCGGCCTTGCCGGTCTGCCTTAGGCCGGGTGCGCTGTTGCACGGGTATGGGTCAGACCCGGGTTTTTATTTTGGGGTTACCCTATTTTTGACCACACACCCACAGGCACAAGCAAACTGGGAAGGTTGGCCGGTGGCTGGGAGGGAGCCGTTGAGTGAGAAGGGATTCCTGGCCCAAGTACCTCTTTTTTGTTTTTGTTTTACAACCCAAAGGTGTAGGCTCCAGCTTCCATAGATGGCACCTTGTCTTGGTTTGGGTCCGGCGTTGACATACCCCAAAGTTCCGAGTGTCGGGGGCAAGTTTTTCTTCTTCTTCTTCCTGTCCCTTTTCGAGGACAATCCTTCTTGGCTTTCCCTGTATGGGTATGTCAAAATTAAACCCACCAGGGGACCGCAGGCTTTAGTCTTTGGGTCCATTTATCAGGGTTCCATTTGGGGTACGCATTTTTGACCCACAGCCGTACCACTCTTCCTTTTCGCTCTGGTTTCCCCTTGTGACTTGTCTTCCCTTGGCTTTAGTATCTCATTGCTTTCTCTGTGGTTTCCACTTGGGCTTTAGTTTCCCTTTGGTGATTCATCGCTTTCCCCTTGGTTTCCACTTAGTTTTTGGTTTCTCTTGGTGTCCCTTGGGTTTCCGGTGGTTTCCCTTGTCCAACCGAGCGTCCTCCAGCCGGTGACCGAGGCTCTCGGCCGCCGGCCCCTGCGAGCCGGCCTGTGAGAGCTGCAGCTTCCAGTACGCGGAGGTCCAATGACAAAAAAAAACATGGACATCGCCCTGCCATGAATTTTAGTGGGGATCCACCTGAAAAGTGAGTGGTGGACATGAATCCCCATGTAAATGTCCACTAAAGGGTCCCTTATTCATAGCCATATTGCACATGAATCAACCACATCCAACTGTGAAGGGGTAATTGCAGGTTTCCCAACTTGTTCCGCGAATTGACAGTTCAGGGTCAAATATATTTGGGTTTGCGTGAAAAGAAGAGCCGCAAAATGCGTGGACCGAACAACAATTGGCACCCGCAAAGATGACGGGAGGACGGGCCCCACAAAAGGGGGAGTGAAGGGATGACGGCACCAGAAAACGGGGGGATGGGGCAAAAGACAATGACACCGAAAGGGGGATGACACAAATGCTCTGGAATAAGGGTGAGAGGATGGACCGAAAGAGAGGATAGCAATAACTTTGGCAAGAACAGAATGTTAAGGAACAGGATGCCCGAGAGGCCTTGAGTACCCAGGCAAGGATGATCAAAGAAAACGAGAAACCGATCGGTCAACCAATGAACCAAGGAAAGTATGTGGCATCTTTGTGAGGCTCGGTGGTTTTCAAGGGCGAAGCACAGGGGAAACCAGTGCAAGCAACAAGAAAAGTAACGTCAAGCAACTATTTCTCTCTGGGGTCGAATTTCCATGTTTTTTGGGGAACCTACCACACAAAACGGGCGTACAATTGGAAGGAAAAACGCAACTTGGCAGAAGGCTTCCATCAGCCGCTGACGCAGAAAGGAGGTATTTGCCATTTTGGTATCAGTTGTTTGATCGCATCATTTAGTCGGTGGGGGATGGAAAAATCAACTTTGGAGGTGGTTCCCTACTAACATTGCAAAGCAAAACCGTGGAGAGGTTCCAGCAAGGGAAATGGCGGAAACTCACCCTAGATTTCGTATAGTCCGGATCCATCAAAGGGTAACATAGCGAGGTGCAAGGTCCTTTCAAATTAGTTCACCCCCTTTGTGGCTTGAACAATTCGGGCTCAAAACTCGTTTGAGGGTCCCAAAAATGTCGGGAGCTGGGCTGCACAAGTTTTCAGCCCCTCATTTCATTTGCTTGACCCTTTTCAGTGTCGTTGGTTGAAGTTCTCAAAGCTTGCGCCCCCTGATTGGACTCGGAGCGGTAGCAGTAATTTCCAGTCGCACTTGTCCTCGTAACTTCTGGCCCTACAGGATGCTTCCATGCCCCATTTGCGTGATCTAAACATGATCCCTTGGTTACCTGTTTTAATGTGAGTTCCTTTGGGGTGATGTTAAAGGGGACATGAACGAATCTCTGGTGGTGCTTTCAGATTGGATTAAGCACATGGGAGCCCAATAGACAACACAAGGATTGGCACACATGGGCATGAGCTTCAAAAGCGAACCTGAATGAACAACTTTCACATCACAGCCACATAAGGAACTTGTAGTAGTCGGGGGTGAGCAAGGAGGACCGGACCGCCCTACATTTTCTTACTTTCATGCCTTCATGCCCGTATGATAGACAAGTGGTTTACAACCTCCATACCTCCATACCTCCATATCCTCCATACCTCCATACCTCCATACCTCCATACCTCCATACCTCCATACCTCCATACCTCCATACCTCCACACGTCCATACCTCCATACCTCCATACCTCCATACCTCCATACCTCCATACCTCCATACCTCCATACCTCCATACCTCCATACCTCCATACCTCCATACCTCCATACCTTCATACCTGTGCGTGGATTCGGCTGAAGAGCTACTGCGGACATTGGGCTGCAAAGCCACTGCATCGCATTGTGAAGGGTAGACATCTCTGCTTCTCCCCCGGTGGTTTGCGGGTAACGGAGTCTATTTGGATGGAAATAATCAGGGGGCCGTGAAGCACTTCGCGTTTTTCACGTGTTCCAACCGCTTGCCCAAAAGGCGATGTGTGCAGGATTTTGGACCACATTTGTTTGAACCCATTCAACGGGTCACCCAAGTTCACGCGCTTAAGCACTCCCCCCAAAACAAGCAAATCAACAAAAAGTCTCTCCGATTTGTGCCAGGAGAAGGCACCCTACATCTCCATACCCTGTCTATCTATGTATTCACTTGTTTGTTTGTTTGCTTGCTTGCTTGCTTGCTTGCTGGTTGGTTTGCAAATATATATATATATATACGCATACATATCTAGATCAGCACACTATGTCTGCCTATCTATTCGTACATGTATACATGTATACATATATATATATATATATGTATACATACGAATCCTTATACCTGGGGAACCTAGGAGGAGACGCCCTACATCTCCTGGCTCTCGGCGCGCGGCTTCTGCGGGGGCGACTCGGTCGCCCTGGGCGCGGCCGCGCCGCAGGCGCTGCTGGTGGCGCAGCTGGACCGCGCCTTGGTCTGCTCAAAACCGCGACCTAGGGGCGACCTAGGGGCGACCTCAGGTCGGAAGCATCATGAAGCCAGGTCAAAAGTTGGAGCAGGTTGCCGGCATAGGCGTCCTTCTGAGGTGGCTCGAAATAGATGGGTTCGCACTGGTTTGGGTTGGTTTGATTCCATTGACCAACCACCTAATTCTTTTCCCAGAAAGGACACCTATGACCACTACCCGCTAGTGTAGCAGTTTTCCATTCTCTTCAGGCATCATTCAATGGGCCAAGACCCTGGAAACTGGGTAACCCCAAACAGAAGGATGGGTGAGGAGAATCCGGAATCAAACCTTCGAACCCTCTCTCCCACCTTGCCATGGCACCGGACAACCCGGTCCCTCCAAGAGGAAGAGGTGTGTCATTTTTGAGGGTACACTTTTTTTTGGGGGTTGGATCACCGGGAAGCCAAAAGGAACACGGCAAGAGCCTCCATTTTGCGGGGCCTATTTTACACACCCATTTGGTTTCCCTAGCTCCAGAGGCGGAAGGGCTCAGCCGCTGGTTGTCGAGGTTTGCGAACATGGGCCCCCCACGGGAAAATATGAAAATTCGTCAAGGGGTTTGTTGATTTGGACCTGGTTGAGGTTTGAAGAAGGGACAACACAATAATACACGCAGTTTCGGGGTCCGCTGTTTCGTTGATGCCCAAATGTTGACCAGGGTTGCTGTAAACCTTGGTTGATCAGGAAGCTCACTGCAAATTGGCAACCATGTTGTCGAATTCTGCTTAGCCCCATATTTTTCGCGGAAGAAAACGTAAATCGGGGCCCTCAAGAGGAGCTGGCCCTACGCAGAGTCATTTTTTTTTTGTGGGGGGGGGTTGTGTCCATCGCGCCCGGCACTTCTCGTCTTGCGAGAGCATGGGGTCCAAAGGCCAGTTTTGGGTTTGGGGCTGGGCGTTCCAACGCAGGTTACGAGCAAGGGACCAACCCCTGTTACGCCAGTTATGTCCATGGCAACCACTTGGCCATGGGTCAAAAGCACGTACACCCAGTGAACATCCCAATCCCCACTAAAATAGACTAACATGGGTGGTGCACCGAAAGCCCCAAAATGGTACCAAAACGGTTTTGGCCCACAGCCACTTCAGTACATGAGGGTTCCACTGGCCGAGCAAATCCTCGTCAAAGTCCCTGGAGTTGCGACTTGGCACGGTGAAACAAGGCCACAGGGATGGCGAGTTTGGTTTCGAGCCACGAGCTGGTTAATGTTATCATGTTTGTTATTGTTGTCGTTTATTGCTTGTAGGCAATCAACGTTTTTTTTGGTTAGTTTTCTGGTTTGTTGTTGGTTTCTTGGTGGTTTGTTATTTGGTTTGGAAGTAGGCAAACAACGGCCGCTCGCGAGTTGGGGAAGAGGTTTCACGAGCTAATTGTCGGAGCTTCTATTGGGCCCTGGCTTCTTTCCTGTTCAAATAAGCAACAGTCAATGTTTACCATCATTTACTGCAAGGTGGATGATATTGGTCACACTCACCAACTTACCATAAGGACATAAATATTGATCATGCCCCAAACCAATTGTGAAATGCTTAAACCGCCGGTGTTTACAGAGGCTCCGATTGCTTTCCCCCTCAACGGGAACCTCAGTGGTTGAAACGTTGAAGCGGCCCAAGCCTCTCCTTGCCCAAGAAAAGGAAGGTTCATACGGCTCACTCCCTTTCGCAAGTCTTGGCGTGTGGGTTTCTATTTGCCCGAGGTGCAGTAGTCGAAATCGGTGGCTACATTTGCGACGCCAGCGAGGGGCAAGTGCTGAATTCAGATGATTTGCTTGTGCAGACACTCCGCAGCACTTGAGCCATACAAACCGGGTAGATCGAGCAAGGAACAGTCCCAACCATAAATTGGTGTGTTTGGGATGTCGTTCTTACATTGGTTTGGCTAGACCACGCTAGTGCCAGGTTTTGATTGTGACTCAGGTGGAGGCATTTTTTTTAGGTCCAACCTTTAAAGGTTAAAGAACGCAGAACCCCACCTAAATGATGCCCAGACTCTGTAGCTTCACTGCCAAGGTTCAAGAACCAAAAGGACGCCAACAAGCCACCTGTGCCAAGGATTTTGGTGACCACGAGTTAAGCCTGGCGGTAGGGGGTGTTTCCTCTCTAGTGACAATCCGGGTCAGGGTGATGTGCTTTCAGATGACATGGAACCATGACGACTGACCTGATGAATCTAGGAGTCTGTTCGGAACCCTTTGGTGGACTTCGCTTAGGCACAGGTGGGCATTTATGTCCACCTCTTTTGGATCGGTGGTTCCAACTCTTACAATTCATAGCCATATAGACTTGTATATCCATGAACCCCAAGGGGTTTCGGGGCACAAGTGAAAGCCGCAAGCTGCAAACTTTGTACAGGAAGTTTGGAAAGCAGGACACTGGCCAACCCGCCCAAAAGCCGTAGAGTTTCTCTAGAATCTGTCAATCCCCGGCTTCCTGTAGAGCTTCGGAAACCAAAGAAACAACTTCCCACGGATCTCTGCCAGATGGCTTTTTCCCTTCCCCTCGCTTTTTCGACCCACCGAAAAACAAAAACATCTCCGCGAGGGGCCGCACGGTGAACTGCGTGTTGCCCTCGACGGGCCTGGGTCCGCGGCTGGCGAGGGTGCAGCTGCGGGCGCTGGCCAGGGGCTGGCAGGACCCGGGCTGCGCCAACTTCCCCTGCGCCTTCGACTCTTCGGTCGTCGGGTCGCTTCGGGTTTATTCGGGTCTTTTCGGGTGTCTTCGGGTCTCTTCGGGTCTTCGGCATAGGCGTCCTTTTTGGTCGTTTTGGTGGAAAAATAGATGGCGATTCCAGGTGTACCTGGTGGTTTGATCATCTACCAGAACCATCTATTTGCCATAAAAGGACATTTATGGTTTTCGTGTTTTCGGGTCTTCGGGTTGGGGCAAAAGGCATCAGGCTCAAGCTTCTGGTTGAGGGTGTGTCGCGATTTTTTGAGCGAGCCTCCAAATTGGTGGGTTTCCGTTTGGCTACCTTTAAAACCAGACAGAAAGGGGTTCCCTCCAAAGATGACGTTGAAGAATGATATGGATGATAGTGCCATGGCAATGAATGGGAACAAAGACTAAGACAGAAAGTTGCGTAACCCCAGCCGTTTAATTTTGAGCCACACACAATTTGCCGCACTTTATCAATATTTACCTTGGGGGTTTTGGTTTTTGTGTGCCTCGACCCTCAAGGGTTGGACGGTTGAAGGATTGAGGGTTGCCCAGCTGTATCACCTCTGCCACTTTTAGATGAGTTTCATCCGGCGCAATGCTCAAATCAGGGTAGTTGACCCCGAAAGGGTGGAATTGTTGAAGTGAGCTTGTGGTGTGTTGTTTAAGGGGGAAAGAGGGGAACCCTGCCGGTAGGCTTAAATTTCTGTTCCCCATGAAAGGGGAGGCCAACCACGGTCTCAATGTCGCAAGACGGGCAACGTGGGAAGCCGAATTTCTCGTTCGAGCTTCGCCCCGGTTTGTCGTTGGATGTGGTTGGCTCACTTGCGTTTTTAGGACATCCGTCATGGATCTGATCGTCGGATTTGTCCCCTTCATCAACTCCAATCCGGTCCGGTGAAATTCCAAGTGTCCTATTGGTTGTCTTCTGGCGGGAAAGGATCCCTGTTCAGGAATTCTTCTTTCGGTCTCTTAGAACCACTTGATCCTTTGCCTTTTTGTTCTCCCCCTCGGATTTCTTACTCCCATGCTGGGTTTGGGCAATCGTTTTCCTTTTGCGGGCCTCGAGCCACTTCCTGCCTGACCTTTGCTTTCCGGCTTTCCGACCAACCTTGAGCCCTTGCCTGACAAAATCCATCCATTCGTTCATCTCGGCACCAGCGGTTAGTTGTAAACAGTTTTCCTACCTGGCTGCTTGTCTGTGCCCGCTTCTTTCAGGGTATACTTTGCAGAACGTGGCTTTTTACGGAAAATACATATTGTTTCGTGAGCATCATGCCTAAAACAAAGGTGGGTCTGTGGTCGTTTTGGTTGGGACACCAAAAGGCCTGTCAGGCAACCCTCACGTACTGGGTGGTTGGGATTGGTAGTTTGGATTCGGATTTGACGCCCTGGTTCTTGTAGAGGGTAACTTTTATTCCCTGCCTCAACCACCAGACCACCAATTCGGCTCCAAACCAACCGGCAGGAAGCTACTGAGAAATCAACCGAAAAAAGAAAGAATAACCGGCAGGACCTGGAGAAAGCCACGAGGAAAAGCCAAAAACAGGCTTCTTGGTCACACACTTCGAGTCCGGGTCTTCGGGTTTCCCCCAAACGCGTTCTGGTTGGCGACGCCCAAAAACCATCCCATCCCACCCGCGCCGAGGCTTGGAGGGCGGCGAGGACGAGCGTGGCCTGGGCCTGGCCGCGTATAGGACCTGGCAGGGCGGCGCGGAGCTGGCGCCCGCCTTCGTGGACCGCGGCTTCCAGCTCTACGCGCCCCGGGCACGAAGTTCGGCGTGTCTCCGGTTTTCTGGGACACGGGGCGCGGTCTTTTTTGGCTCGTTTTTTCCCCCCCTCCTTCCCTTTTCCGGGCACTCACTCGCCCCCCGGGCGCGGGCACTCACTCGCCCCCCGGGCGGGTTTTATGTTTGTTCTTTTTTTTTCTTGGGGGGGGGGAGGTTTGGAGGTCGTTATTTTATGTGCAGTTTTTTTTGGGGGGGGGAGGAGGTTGGAGATGTGGGGAGACGCCTGAAAAAAGAACACACGTGCCGTATTTTTTGTGGGGATTTTCCGGGAGACGCCCGGTCTTCCATCGATCCTGTGCCTCCGGTAGTCAGCGGTTCTGCCAGCTCTTTTTCGGGATCTTGGGCCCAATCGATCGGCAACTCGGCGGGTTGCAAACTGTTGCCCTTGAGTTTCTGGGGTCCCATTTGTTTTCGTCACCTTGGGCCAGACCAAACCGGTCGAAGCTTTGGTCGTTTGCACATACCGGATGGTATTGCTGAAATGTCCAGGGACCAGAGAGGCCCTTCAAAGATTGCTCGGGGTTCTCCATTAGAGGGACCCCGAAGTGGGGTTCAGGGGGTCAGGACCCTTAGAAGTGGGTACATTTGGGGTAATTAGTTCCTTCACAACCACGGGTACAGTATACATCGGTGGGTTAAGCATCCAAGTGCACCTGGCGACCCAGTTCGAGGGAGCAGACACCCGTTTAAGGGGCAAATGACAACTAGGCTAGGCATGGCGATCCCCATACGGAAGTAGATAGCAAGTATCAGGGTTGCACTCAGCGATGGCTCGTTTGGGAAGTGTTGACTATTTGGCAAAAGTGGGTCCAACAGCAGCTGCCAATATGGCGATGGCCGAATCATGTGCTTTGTTTCCCTTCCTGAGGGCACCTTTTTGGGGTTTAAAGGGAAGCCAAGGGGCTGCCCCCTTATCGCACACCATGAGGGTTGGTTGCCATTGGTTTGGATTTGTTTGGTTTCAAAAAGAACTGGGCGTTCAAAGCCCCAAACCAATCCAATCCACGAATTCAAAACTCCATGCAGCTTTTTTCAGAGGGTCCGGACTGCACGTGCGAGGGATTTTCTCCGTTTTTCCTGGACATTGCGACTCAGAAAGCAACTATGTCGATCAGTTCCTTCTGAACCCTGCTGTGAGGGCCCTAGTCTTTTTCCAACGCCGAATAGCCATGGCTCTCGATGATTTTTGTGGGGGAGGAGTTTTGGCAAGGCAACCAGAAGCTTCACCATGGTAGCATCCAGGATCTTACGATCTTCCCGCAGATTGCCAACGTCACTCCAGGCCTGTGGTTGCGATGGACGGTCAGTGAGGGTGCTTTGGAGGCCAACCTTTTGAGGGTTGGCCCCTTGGTGGGTTTGGCAATTTGAACTCCGGGTTCTTGTAGAGGGATGGAAGCCACTGACACAATCCAAACGACCAATGACAGGGAAGCTGACTTCTCTACTTTCCGAAGAGCTCAGCTTCAGGGAATGTGGCCCACTGGATTTGTGGGAGGCCCCAACCTTTCTCAAGCCGAGACATATTCTCGTGCCATTGGCAGCTTCAAGGGTCCGTTTTGATGGGAACTTCTCTTGAAAGGTGGTCTGGGTCAGGAAAAGTGTGAGTCATTCGTCCGTGCCTCGCGTAGCCATGCGAGCCTGTGGCGTTCCGTTGAGGAAGTTCTTAGGTATTGACCACCATCAGCAGTGAGAAGGGTACCCGGGTTTGGCCCCAGGCTGACGGTGAATCAATAGAAGGTTTTGTTTTGCCCACGTGAAGGATCCCTGTCAAATGGGATACCCCCATGCTCAACGGGTTTATTCATCGTCAGCATTGCTCAACATACCCACTCGTTCAGTGGCTATAAATTTGGCAAAACGTGGGCTTCCATGTAAATACCACCTTTTTCAGTCAGTCAGGCCATGGTATCATGTCCCAAAGCAAGCGGGTATGAGGTGTACTTCATTGCCCTTGACTCAATTGATGAACAAACCGAAAGGGCATCACGACCTCCAAACCAATCCAAACCACCAATGAGGGGAAAGCTGAGAAATCCTATCCCACAACAACTCAGCAGCATTGCCAGGCTTGGCTTACCTCTTCGACTTTGGTTGTTTTTCCGGGTTTCCATCATTGTGCCTTTTAACCAGCGAAACGTTGCTCCAAGTCCCCCGACTTCCGTCTTGGCCTTGGCGAGGTTCTGTGGGTGTCTTGGGCGGCACGCTGCTGCACATCGCCGGGAAGAGCTTTGACGAGGAGGTCTCGCGGAACGTGGACGCTCGATACAAAGATTGCCATGAGCACTTCTTTTTGAGTCTATATTGGTTAGGCTTTCCACGCACTTTTCTCCAATAGGGCCCCCAAAACACGGGATCCCCCAACAAAAAGCGAGAGGCAGCCTATCAGCCCCCCGAAACGGCCTCAGCCGCTGTTCGCCACACAGAACATCTTGTGATGTTGTTTTGAACCTTCCGCAAACCTTGGTTTCGGTTTGGTTGATTTTGCTACCCCCAGAAAATAGAGGAAAAATGCGAAAGCCACAAAACCCATTTTCATGCTGTGATTTTGCCGCCCTAAAACATTCATCTTCCCCTAAGATTGTGGGCAGAAACCACCCAAAAAATCCGACAAATTGAAAACACGCCCCAAAACCACCCAACAATTGGGCAAATCTTGAAAAACGCGCAACGAGGGGCGATGTTCGCTCCGTTTCGCTCCGAGGTGACCGTGGCTGACGAGCCCTGCCGCGTGCTGAGCGCCGGCCCGGACGGCCTCACCTGCGAGCTGGACTGGCGAATGGAAATTGCGAGAGATGCCACGGGAGAGAGAGATGGAATGAACCTGCAAATTCCCTTGGAAACCACCAGTGGGCCGAGGTGGTTTGCTTAGGGCCAGCTCCCTTCGTTTCATGGGTGTGCCTGCCTTTGGGGGTGGTCCCCTAAAACAGACGCCTTGTTCCCTGCGAATGTTAATCCCGGATTCAGCAGAACCCCCGGTTGATGAATTGATCGGGGGCCCCGACACCCCCTAGTGGTTGGATTCAGGCCACTCTTGGAGGGAGCGCTTTCCTCATACTGGGACGGGTCAAGGAAAAATTCCTCTGGACGCCACCGGCTGGATGGTTTACTCTCGGGGTGATTCGAAAATTTCTCGTTCCCTGCCTATCGCAGCAAGAAAAGCAGAACCAGCCAACTGGTGGTCTCCTTCAGTTGGAATCCCAGGGGCCGCCTTAAAACCACCAACAAAGAGGGATACCCCCCCTCCCCCCCCCCAAAAAAAAAAGAAGAAGAAGAAGAAGAAGAAGAAGAAGAAGAAGAAGAAGAAGAAGAAGAAGAAGAAGAAGAAAGAACGACACGGCCATATTAGGGTTGATCAAAAGGTCCGGATTTTACATGGGATGACCATTGGTTGGGAAACCACTAAAATGATTTGGTATTTCAACCACTGAACAGGAAAAGTTACCCATGGTCATTTTGGAGCAAGGAATATTGATCAACCCCCCTGTCTGGTTTGCGTTGGTTTCAGTTTTTGGTGGGTTTTGAAGAGAAGCAAAAATAAGAACTACCATCTTTTTTGAGGGCCTTGAACAAATGAACAAATACATGGATGCGTCAAGAAATGGGGGCGGGGGCCAATGAATGTCGGTTTCGTTTGGGGCATATCCTAAAGCCCAGGGTTGCTGGGTCAATGCAAGCCCATGTTCGGGACTTTGATGTTTGTTATTTGATACGAGGTTTGGTTTGGTCAACCCATCTCGTCTATTGTCCGTTTGTTGGGACGAGCTCCCAAGTTTCAACCACAAAAACCAGCAGACTCACTAATTCTCCGTGTAAAGGACATCAAGTAAGTTTGACCACGGCTCATGTGAGGTAACGGTCTTTTTGACTGTTGCTTTCGACACATCGTGCTTTCCCTAAGCCAGCATTCGGGATTGTCTCAAAATCAGGTATTAGCGACGGCAATGGCATCCTTTTGGTTTTCCTAACTCATCACAAAAAGGGGTGCGGTATGGATACTAGTTTTTGCCAAACTATCCAGTAGTCGCTTATTTTGGGAAAATAGGGTCGTACACGTGGTACACTGATGCAAACATGTGGAGCCTCTCATTTTGACATGTTCTCTTGAGGCAAGGGGGGCTTGCCAGCGCTTGAATCGGTTCTTTGATTCGCGGCTCGAGGTCAGGCACCTAAGTGACAGCTGTCAGGGGCTTCAGCGGCCATCCTCCAAGAACCGTCCATGGCTATTTGAGTATGACCCTTTTCGGGAGTTGAGACGCCGCTTTCGGGGGAAACCACGGTGGCGTGCGGAAAAATGAAGCGACGAGTTTCTCTCCCAGGACGACGTGCAGGGCAACCTGAGCTGCGCGGAGTTGGAACTCTATGCCGGGGCCAGCCCGCACGCAAGCGCCGCCCTCAGTGGGGACCCCCCAAAGTTGCTCCCACCCCGGGTCCCGATGCGAGGATGTTGGGGCCCCTCAAAGTTGGTTGCTTCTGAGGAGTTCGGGATTTATTGGAAGGGATCTGGGTCTGCATGGGAGAGTCAGTGTGCCAAATGAGGTCTGACGAAAACAGGAGGTTCCATGGAAACAAACGGTTTTCCAAAGATGCCCTCCTGTTGGTTTCCGTTGCCCTCAACCGACTCACCCATTAAGTGAATAGACCCTCATGGATCGCCATTGCTGCTTTTTTGGGCTGATTTTTCCAGGGGGAAGGTTGTGTAGAAGCCTGCCCCAACTCAGAGGAACAGACCAACCAAATAAACTAATTTGTCGCAAGCACCAAAAGGCGGCGTTGTCTTTTTCAAACCTCTGACGGGGTTAGGTTGACCTTAGTTCGTGATGTGGATGGCTGATTTGGGGACTTGAACCCCTGGTGCTTGTAGAGGGTAAATTGGAAATCACTCCCGAACCTCCAATCCCAAATTTCACTTGCCCAAAGCGACCTTTGACCTTCTTGCTTCCCCTTTTTGGTCCATGTTTTTAGTAAAGGTCCCAAAAGATGATCACCTTTCATTTCTGGGTCCCATGAGCAATTAGAGAGAAGCTGAACTAAAAAGGAGGTGGTTCACCAATTCAAACCTCAAAACCACCAATAAAAAGACAAGACATCTAACCTCAAACCTCCAAACCTTGAAACCACCAACTGGAAAAAAAAACAATCAGAGGGAAGCTGAGGCGAGAAGTTTCTGGAGCACGACGGGGACTTGTCCTCCTGTCGGGTGGAGCAGCTCGCGGACGGCCGAAGCTTCTCCGCGCCCCGACCGACGCGAAGAAGGGGGTTGGGGCGGGGGGGGGGGCATCTGGGGCCCTGTGGGGTGTTTCTCCAAATCGGAGTTGACATGTAGACGTTTGCTACATCTTAAAACGTTGCTTCTGATATGTGGTTGATATATCCAAAGGTTGCTTTTGATAGATACAACATCTTAAAAGGTTGCTTTTGATATGTAGTTGATACATCCAAATTTAGCGCATCTTAAAAGGTTGCTTTTTTGGGTTTGGCGCCACTCTGTGAAATTGATGAACTTTGAGAGCTCCTACCTTTGAATCACAATTTTATGAACCTTTGATGATCTTTTTTTGTTTTGCAAGGCAAGGGTAAGTTAGAAAGCTCATATTTCAACCCTTGTCTCTTTCCAACAAGTCTAGTTGGGAAGAGCCTGCTGTATTTTTGAATGTACCCTTTCAACCAAGGTAGGAGTTTACGCTTTGAAGGAAGCGGGGGTATTTGGGGAACCTGCTTTCTCCTAAATCATATCAAGCAAGAAAGGTGGGGTATTTGGCGTAGCGCGCAAAACAACCACGAACACGTGGGATAATTGTCGTGCCCCAAGTCAGAACATCACGCATCGCTATGTTTGGATATACCCCCTGCGACCCTTTGAAGTAATTGATACATGCTTCACCCTATGTTAAAGAGTGAGACTAACATCAAGTAATTATCAAGATGTTTGTGATTATCAAGCCATACGACTATGTATGTATCCCCTTTCTGGTTTCAGTTTGGTTGAATCTTGTTTGCTTGCGGTTTCAGTCCCCTTTTCGCCAGTGCCATTTGGCCATTTAGGTTTGTTTCTGAAATAGGGGAGACCTCTAAGCTGGGTTTGCCCTGGGTTTTCCTTCAAGCAACAGATATATATATATATATACATATATACACATAAAAACCGCACCAACTCCAAACAAACCAAGATGAAACCCACCCGCGCTTTCTCCAAGAGGCCACCCCGAACGGGGCCACCCGGCAGGCCGTTTGGCCGACCGAAAGGGGGTGTTCATGAAGAAATCCCCCGCAAGGCCCACGTCCTGTGCCTCTTTGACCAAACCGAGGTTGTTTAAACATGTCTTTGTTGCATTTTGCCAAGGGATGTTAGGACTTTAACTTTTTGCCAACTAGTGGGTTTTCCGTATTAAACCACTAAAAGTTAAACTTTCAGTAGGGGAGCAGAAAGCAACCAATATTTTTCTAAGGGGCCTGGCCTGGATGTTCAAGCCACGTGAAGTAGGTTACATTGGGTGAGTGTTCGAAACATCGTTGAAGATCAGAACGAGCTTCAGAAGCAGCCAGCATTTTCGGGGAAGCCCTGGCGGTGGCCCACTGCACGTGGGTCCTCTCGGGTTGCAATTTTGGGCGAGGTGGCGGTGAATGCCTCAGAGAGCTATGGCTACTACTGGGTCGAGGACTCCTGTCAGGCGGCTTCTTGGCGAAAGGTCGAAACGTGCCCAAAGCATCAGACAGGGTCAGGACTTTGCCGGTTTTGGTGTTTGAAATGGCTGGCTTGTTGGCTGGCTGGCTGATTGGCTGGTTGGCTGGCTGGCTGGCTGGCTGGTTGGTTGGTTGGTTGGTTGGTTGGTTGGTTGGCCTCTCCAGAGGATAAAGGGCAACCTATCAAACAACTATCAACTGGTACAGGATGTTGTCCAACCACAGTAGGGACCAGGGACCCGTTTCTTTTTTGGCTCATGCAGTCAGCCGATTTAGATGCGCTCAAATCCCGGTACCAACTTCCCCCTCCATTTCGAACCGAGATCAAGCGAGCATTCTGTGAATTTGACCCGTTCTCACAGTAGGTGGTTGCTACTTAAACAATTCAGAGGGTAGTCCTGATGTCACCTTAGTGGACCCATGAAAGGAAAAGGCAATCCCCTGCTTTGTCCCTCCTTTGACCGGAAACCAAAGGTGGTAAACGTGGTTCTTTCTGCACTTGCCTCCCCGGAAACAGCTATGCGGTCGATCGGCCCACATCGGCTTTCCAGGGTCGAAAGGGCTGTTTGGCATACCACCTGGCCTTATTTTGATCCGAAAAGCTCATCCTCCAAGTCTGAGGACGGGCGACATGTTCGCGGTCACCTGGCGGAGGAGAGTTCCCTGGCAGAATTGCTCAGGTCCGAAGCGTCGGACACGAAGATCCAGGTGAGTTCGAAGACTCGTCCCCGACCCCGTCCGCTCGGACCCAAGCACCTGGCTGGATAGGTCCCTTACGGTTGGAAACTCGTTGGAAGACTAGCACCCATCCCCTAGACCCGACAACGACAAGAAGATCCGACGATGCTAGGCGCAACTGCCACAACTGCGCCTTCATTTGGGTCTCATTCACCGCCCCTGCTTTTCTGTTTACGGGCCTTGCGGGATGGTGAAGCCCTTTGATCTACCGCCAATGTGGCTTTGAAAGTCAGTATCTTGGCTGAGACTTGGTTGGATCTTCAACCTTGATAGTTTTTGGGAAAGGTGTTTTTCCTCAGTAACCCACAAAGTGTAAAACAAAAACAACCAAAGGGGGCAATAGCCTAGTGGTATAGAACCTCCTACCTCCAAGATTACTACCTCTGCAATCCCTTTGGTAGACTTGGTCCATGGAACAATGCCATGTACCCTGCCAACTGATTCATTCCTGCTCCAGGCATACACGATGGACAATTCGGTTCTTCAACATATAGCTTCCGTTAAACCCCATGAAGCATTTGGGTGTGTCTTCCGGGCCCGAAATGATTTGGGACCTCAGCCGAAAGTTCAGATGGGGATCCGGATTGGCTCCCACCCCAAAAGGTAAAACGGGAGCCCTCCAAAGAGGAGCCCTTGGGAAGGACAAGCGGTTTTATCGAGGGGTTGACATACCTTTAATGAAGAGGGGTTGATCCAACGATTGTTGGATTCTATATATATATATATATTCAATGCAATGTGAATCAACCAGCACCACTTGGTCAATGTGTCCAAAGTGGGTGCCAACGCTTCTCGTCCGATTTGGCAAAAAGGAAAACGCGTCTCGTGCTCATTCGATCCTAGGTGAGGAGCGGCTCACCTTCTGCTGCACTCTGAATGGCAGCAGCTGTGTGGGCCCACGCTACGGCCAGGCCGAAGATCGAACGGGCGGAGTGAGTTTCGGCTGTGGAAGCTGTCGGGTTTCCTCCATTTGTCCTGTCAACCAGCAAACAGTAAAGCTTTTTGCGGGGGATCTAAGTCTGGTCAAGCTTGGAGTGCATACATGAGATACTGATGGACAAAGCCCACAATTTATTCCATTCAAATTCGTGTTTTCAAGCATGCCGTTTTTCAATTGGTCGCCCCTGGTTCGGTTGGTGTCCCCTTGGATGTGGCAATGGAGCATAACCTATGGCTCCATTTTGGGGTGGATGAACATCCATTTGCCACCTATTTTGATGTTCACCAGGGGTACAGGGTTTTGACCCACAGCCATGTGTCAAAAAGGAACCGCTAAGAAGGGGTCAGTTTGGGTGATGGCAGGTGACCACCTCGATCCCCTCATACTGGCAAGGATGGGGCTCCTGGGCCGAGCCCTCAGCCCAGCGCTTGCTCGCAGGGTCTACTCCGTGAAAAAAGAGAAATGTAAGGGGCTAAATTTACTGCAGCCAAAAGGCCAGCAAGTAAATGGACCAAAAAAGCGACCTACCAGGGATGGACCAAAAGCAAAAAAGGGTGGACCTGACCTACAAGAAGACAACCGGCCATGGGTCAAAATCCCAACCGTACCCCCAAGTGAACATCCCAATCTCCACTAAAGACTAACATGGGTGGTGCAGCTACCCCAAAATGGTACCATTGGTTTTGACCCACCAAAATGTCCAGGGCCTAAACATGTACGGTGGTCATGACTACATTAGCTTGCCGTAGTCCGAGGCATGTAGGTGTGTTTTTTTTCTCCTTTTGCCTCCCACATTCGAACTATTCAGGCCCCTTTGCCCAGAACCAAACAACCTCATTGACCCCAATGGCCTTCTTTGGGCCATGGTGACTGCGTTCGTCAGTGTTTCTGGCCATGGTGAAGAAAACGCCGACGTTGTGGTTTCATTCAGCCCTTTCCCATGGATCCGAGGCGTTTCGGTGTTTCTCTTGGTGTTTGAAGGCTGGTTGCCTCAGGCACAAAGCGCTTGTTGCAAATCAGTTCAAGCAACCCAGTTAAAACCTTGAAAGCCACCCAACAGCGTGGTTTAAGTCTTGATTTGCCTTGTTTCCCTTTGGATTTTGCAACAAACAAAGTCTGCAATGTTTGGGGCAAGCACCAAGCCAGTTGAACACATGCCAAAAGAGAGCTCTTTCCATTTGGTTTCCTCAGCCATGCCGGTCCCTACCAAGCTTCCGTTGAGTGACGTGGGGGAAGTTCATGGAACCCCGTCACTCAGATTGGACAAGCCTCTTGGATATTAGATAGGACACCAACCCAAGAATGGGGGGGTTCCCAATGCAGGACATGTTCAGAATCCGGTGTATTCTCCCTCAACAGCACGCCACACAAATAATCATGCCTATGCATATAGATCTGTCAGCGCAAATTCGAGGTCGTATGTGTACCTATATATATATATATATATATATATATATATACGCAAGTATATGTACAAAGTAATCCGTCCGCGTATGAACATATATGTATGCATATATATATAACGATACGTGTATATTTCTATATATATATATATATGACGTCCAGGTTTGTGGGGTGGCAGTTCACAGTGCTCCCAAGCTGAGGTTCAGATGGGGGGGGGCACTACCACGCCGGACCCGCTCTTTGGCACCTGCTGCCCGGCTTGCGCCGCTCTAGACTTTCTTTTTGTTTTGTCGGAGTTGTTTGCCACTTACTCGTTGCTTCTTTGGTCTTCGCCGTGGTGGTGCTGGTGGTGCTGGTGGTGGCCGCCGCCGCCGTGGTCGCGTCGTGGTCGCGTCGTGGTCGCGTCGTCGTTGTCGTGCCGGCGGCGGTGTCGGCGGTCGTGGTTGCGGTGGTCCGTGTCGCCCCGGTTTTGTGCTTGGTTGGCTGGGTTGGTTTTGCTGTTGGTTTGGGTTTTGGTTGCTTGGTTGCTTGGTTGGTTGGTTGGTTGGTTGCTTGGTTGGTTGGTTGCTTGGTTGGTTGGTTGGTTGGTTGGTTGGTTGGTTGGTTGGTTGGTTGGTTGGTGTTTAAATTGACAGCGCCTTGGGCGGGGGGAGCGGGGGTGCTCGACAGTCTTCATCAAACAACCTTGACCCATGTTGATCGAGGGATTGCACACGTCTAATATTTGGCATTCCTTTGGCTTTCCGCTAAACTACCTCCAAGAAGAGCACCCTCAAACAGCAAGACACAATGACCCATGTTTCTGCCAGTTGGAAAGTTTAAATTGACCAACGCAGATTGCGCAAACGTCGAATGCTATTGATAGACAACCTGGGCTGATGTTGGAAGGGGAATCGCTAGGATTGCCATCCCGGGGTCTTGAAGAAGACCGAAGGGTGTAGGAAGCAGGTTGATTTCTACAATGATACCACAAAACCGCGGCCTTTCTTGGCCATTTGGATCTGGAAGCTTGCCACGGACCAAATGTTAAGCCCTGTGTTCAGGGGCAAATATGCCACACAAGGCCGGTCTCCTAGTCGCGGGAGCGGACGGGCTTCCCACAACCCAGTTCAGAAGTGATGCACCTCCCCGCAGAAAAAGGTGAAGGGTCCCTTCTTGATTGGTGTGAAAAAGAGCACCCAGAAAATTGGAACAGGGGAGGCTCAAGAAATATAGCCCTCCTTTTCGCAGCCTGACTCACCCTGGTCCATAAATAGCCCTGATCTGGCAAATTATACCACCCCGTTCTTTCTTTCCTCTTTTCTAAAGGGAGAGCACACGTTTTTGTTTTGTCAATCCACTTCGTAAATCGTAAATAGGGAAGTCCCAGTCCCAGTCGTACCCTGTAAAGAGCCAACTCCCCCCCCCCCCCCCGACTCCCCACTCCCCGGCTCGACGCGTCGCCGGAGAGCCTCCCGGTGATCGAGGCTTGCCGCCCACCAGCCACAAGGAGGCGGAGCTCACCTGTCAGCTCACGGGCATGAGGCGCCGAGTCGCCGAGTCGCCCGGAAGGGAAACCCGGAGTCGGGTTTAGGCGGAGTTCAACAGTCCGGCACCTGCGCGGGTGGAAATTTTGGGGGGTGGGGCCCCTGAAATGGTTGGTTTCCCTTTGGTGTCCCTTTAAAGACCAACTGATGGTATCCGATCCGGGAAAAGAGGGAAAGAGCAACACGTGGAATTGGTCCCCCGAAAGGGTGCCCGAAAATTGGACCTTTTGGTATCCTTTCCGTTGAGCGGGAAACCAACCATATGGTTGCCCTGCTTCTAGTCAGCTTCCCCCATTGTTTGGCTTGGATTAACTTGGGATTTGAACCCCTTCTTGTGAATGGGAAACCACTTCCTAACCCCAAACACTAATTAGAGGGGAGCTGGCAAACTTCTTGCAAGAGCCGAACTGCTGAAAATGAAACAAAAAGGCAAAGGACAAGACCACGCGCCAAGTACAGTTTGTTGTCACTCACTGGAATGCCCCCTTTATGGAACTATCAAGCAAGCATTGCAGTTTTATATTGGCAATTCGAGGGCTTCTACACTTTAATGGTGCTTTAGGGTTCCCCATATTTCACCGCTTTGTCTCTCCCTCACCGTTTGGTTGCCAGATAAAATTGCGTGTTTTCTTCTAGTCGGGGAGATATAGGGAACCTCAAGCCCCGGTTTTCCCACATCAACCTTTCAGATTAAGACTGGGACAACCAACCCCAACCAGGAGGCCCCATAGGAAATGCGGGGGCCCGGCGCCTGGTACAACCGTGCCTAGCACCAAAGAGAGCGCACCGATCCAGTGATTCTTCAAGGTGTGGCTAAGCTTTTCTTTTCTCGTCTGGGTGTGTCTTTGTTTGGGACCCCCAAATGATGGGCTTTCCTTTTGGTTTCCCTTTAACACAACACAAAAAAAAGGGTACAGTCTAGTTTGGAACACAAGAAGACCGGGCACGCCGATTGAATCGGTGTCCCTTTCCAGATGGAAAACCATCCGGTGTGTCTGTGTCTTCTTTTGGCCCGCAACCCCAAATTAGGGGACCTAGGGGTTTCCAGAACTGGGCCCCTCGCAAAGGACAATGTGTGCAGCATCCATTTGGAGCCCATTTGTCAGAACCCATTCGTGTCGGGGATGGTCGTAAACTCCGGCTCAAGGACACTTTTTTTTTTTTTTTTTTTTTTTTTTTTTTAAATAAAATAAACATATTGGGGTGATTTTCCTCTTTTGAGACAAGCCCTAGTGGTTCTTGGAGGCGGTCCGGGTTCGTCGGAGGTTGTGCTCCAAAGTAGAGCTGAACTCGGGCCTCTGCTGTGCTGCGGACTGCTTCGGGGACGGCAGCGCGGGCCCCGAGCCCCGAGAACACATGCCGGGCGCCATCGCCGGAATGGTAGAAGGGAAGTGCGGAAAGTACCGCTACTGCGGGCTGTCAGGAGTTTAGTACTTGTTTTACAATGTTACAGATCCCGCTCTCATTTGGGCCCTTGGATGTTAGGCAGCAGAAATCACGCACACACAAATGGGTTTGGGTGTGGAAGCTTTCTTTTTCCAGATGCCTGCCTATTACACAAAGGTTTCTGTTTGGTGGCAGGTTGGTTGTTGGCTGAAGGCACAACTCCAGCTCATTTTGGGTTCATCGTAAAACTGCGCCTTCACCCGTCAAAGTTGGCGATGCTCAAACCACCCAACGAAAAGGGCATATTCCTTTGCTCCCCTTCTCCAAATGTTTCGCTTTTGTTGGGCGATGCTGGAGCCTTCTTTCAAGGTGGTCGTCCATGGTATCCACTGACCCCTCCGTGGTCTTTTTTGCTTGGTTGCATCTTTAGTCCATGTTAGTTCGAGGACGGGGGACATGTGTACTTTACCACTTAGCAACAACACGCTGCTTGTCCTCAGCCGCAGATGCGGGGTGAGGGGCAGGGCCGGTTTGGATCGTCAAGCGCTCTAAACCAACCCAAAGTTCAACTTTTTGCGCCGGCGGATTGCTCATTTTTCTGTGTCCTATTGGAGGAGCCTGTGTAATTTTGCTGGCTCAGAAACGGACCCATCCATGATTCAGACCAAAACCCGATGGATTCCTCCCAAAGGTGTTCTGGACCTGCCTCGCTCCAATCTCGAGTTTCGAAGGGACTTCGCGCTTTTGGGGATTTGACCCATTCTGGCAAGAAACGCTGAAACCCTTTGTGGGCCAGGAAGTCCCACGTGGCATACTTCTAACCACTAGGTGGTGCTTGTCCTGCAGACCTCTGAGTCTTTCTTTCCTCATGGCGCCGCCTCAGCTGAGGTGCCGCCTTTTCAACATCCGAAGAAACTTTGCCCTCGCAGACCCTCCATACTTCACCCCCCAAGTCAGGGAAGCGGGAAACAACCCACAATAGGAGGTATGGGGTTGGACAAACTGTTTTGTTTTCATCATTTTGTCTTTTGAAGAAAGCAACATCTATTTTTACCAGGGTTGCTAGAGAGGTGTGCCTTAAAATCGGGGGGTTTTGGTTTCGCGCGAAGGCTTCCTTGCCCTTGGGCGATCGACCCGGGCGGACCGATCGATCGAGGCGCCACCATCGGCGCGTGGTCCAGCGACAGCGGGCAGCGGCAGCAGCTGGCGGTGAGCGCCGACGACGGCCAGCCCTGGACGGAGGAGACGATTCGACGGCGAGGGACGTCGCCCCAATTTTGGGGGCTGGGGGAAGGGGGGAAAGGGGGTGGCTGGCTCGGTAGCTGGGTGGGTGGTCCGGAGGGGGGGAGTTTGGGAGTTTGGGACCGGTGAAATTTTGTTGTTGTTGAGGAAACCTGGTTTTTGTAGGTTGGTTGGGGAGATGAAAAGGCTCCTTTCTTGTCTTTTTGGTCTTGAGTGTTTGTTTTGTTTGCCTTTTCAAATGGTTTCTAGCTTTGACTTGCCGTGACTGGTGGGAGCTTCACCATTCCTCTTGGGTATCACAACCGGCCATGTTCATCCAAAAGGTTGAAGGGCCTTCAAAACACTGTCGACTCCGGCATGGTGTGCTTCGGGGATTTTGAATGGTGGTTTGTCCTTCCCTTTCAAGACAGCCCCAAAGCCTATCCCCAGCTTTAAAACGCCCCGGCTATCAGATTGGGCCCATCAACCCGAAACACCAGATAGGCTCTCTGAAAATAGGAAGATTTGGACTCCCCAAACTGGTTCTAGGGCTTGATTCTCCCAACCACCCTTCCTTTCAAACACCAGCTGTTTCCCCTGCGTTTGTTGCTGGTTTCCTGAAAAGAAGGCTCGCAAGGAATGGGGGAGTGACCCCCCCGCAAACTCGCTTTGGTTTCGTCCACAAAATACACGAATAGATGGTCCCCCCGACCCCAAAGCGGGGAAAACGCTTCGGGCTCCGCGGCTTCCGCCGAATCCGGAGCCGTCCAGGAGCTCTACATCCGCTGCGAAGAGGCTTGCCTGGGGCCTAGACCGCCGGTTGCTTTTGCTCGCCTTGCCTCTAGGTGGTTTCGTTTGGTTTGGATGTTGGGGTGCGACCCCAACCACCAATCCTAAGCACCAATCCAAACCACGTTTTTTTTTTTTTGGGGGGGGGGATTTTGCCTATGAAGTGAAGTTCCCAATTGATCGATTCATAGTACCACCCAAGTCACCGATGGTTGATCTTTTTGAATTCCAGCAGCGGAACAGGAGCAACGTGCCATTTTTGTTTGCTTGTGGAAATCCCCTTCGGTTTGCCGGGCATACACCAAAAAGACGAAGCACCATAGGGGTTTGTGCTAGAAAATCGGGATTTGGACCCACATGGATTTCGGTTTTCCAGTTGGTTCCCACTTGGAGAGAGCTTGGAGCACGAAAACCCCGAAAGCAACGAAAGGGCCGTTTTCCCCTAGCCCGTTTTGCACCGCCGAGTTTTCATTTTGGGACCATGGAATCGCGTGTTTTTTTCTTGCAGGAGCTTGCGGAACAAGTTGACCCGGTCTCAGGTGAAAAAGCCGGGGCGGTGCTTCTCACGGATTTCGGAACCCTTTTGATTGGTATTTCGACGGAAGCCAAAAGGAGAGCCTCGCCGTTGGGGGACCGATCCCGATTTTGAGAAAGAACCGCGCCCCTTGCTTCGGACCTCCGCGGACCCGTCAGGTTAGAAAAACTGAGGGGCTGTTTTTTTTTTTGAGTTTCCAGTCTTCGACTTATTCGAGGTGGGGTAAAGCCTCTGCGTTTCGTCAGACCTCATACCCTACAGGAGGGATAATGAATTCGAGTGGGGCGGACTAGGGTACGGACCGTCCAAAACCCACCTAGGTCCCGCAGTAGTGCCCTTTTGACCCCTTTTTTTGGGAGGGTTCCCCTACTAAGATAGACTACAGCAAAAAGTTGGTACCCCTATTCTAACCTCTCTACTGGAGGACCCGGCGCCACGGACGTTGGGGTTGGGGCCGCGGGGGTTGAGCCCGGGTGGGCCGGAGACCTTGAGGCCGCTTTCCCTTCAACGTCACCTTCCCGGGCAACGGGACCACCACCACCACCACCCGCTACACACCGGAGCAGCGCCTCTCTCTTGGGATCCGGGAGCGTGGCAGCCGGCAAAGGGCGGGGCGGACCACGCGTTTTTTGCTTCTTCTTTTTTTTTGGTTTGGCTGGCGGCCGTTTTGGGGGGTTGGTTTCAAGGGTTCTGTTTGGGGAAATGGGCAGAGTCCAGGGAGGTTGGAGAAGAGTTGCCTGGGCCTCTCCCTTTCAGTGCCAGACTGAAGGCTCATTTTTGCATGTTTGTCCTCTTGCATTCATTTTCCCTTACCATCCAAAAATTATATATAACTTTTTGCAAATCGAATCAGTCTGGCTTCAAGATGAAGAACTAGACGCAAGCAATCCAATCGCCACAGAACGTACCCAAGTACCGCAGGTACCCCCAGTTTGTTTGCTACCCTCTGGTTGTTTCCAACATGCCAACTGACAGGTCCATTGAAGAGGACCTTTTTTTTCCAGGTACCCCACAATGCCATGTTAGTGGGAGGAAGGATACCCCCCCTCCTCTCGGTTGTTTGTTTTGCTTCCAAGTGTGCAGTGGCACCCTTCAGATTCCCTTCTTGTGTGCTAGCTTCCCCACAAACATGACAAATCGACCCCAACAAGAGATGGTTCCGTGCCGTTACTTTTCTTGTTGCTTGCAACTGGTTTTCCGTGCGGGTTTCTCTTTAACCCAAGAACGGGCACCGAGCCTCACAAAAAAGTCACATACTTTCCTTGGTTGCTCAGTTTCTCGCTTTCTTTGATCATCTTTGTCGGTTTGGATACTTACGGCCTTTCGAGCATTCACATCCGTTTCTTGCCATCCTCTTTCGGCCACCCTCTTGTTTGCCACCCTTATTGTATGGTTGTCTTCTTGTAGGTCGCGTCCACCCTTTCTTGCTTTTGGTCCATCCCTGGTAGGTCGCTTTTTTTGGTCCATCCCTTTGACCTTTTGGCACTCACCTTTGTAGGTCATCCAAATCCCCTTTTTTGGTCCATCCAGTTTTTGCCGACCTTTCAGGTCGCCTCTTTATTGCATTGTGGGTTTTTAGGTCACCCGCTTTGGCCCATTTTGGGGTCATCCCCGTTGCTTTTTCTCGCTTTGCAGGTTATCCTCTTGCTTTTCCAGAATCCATCGTTTCGTTTTCCCCGTTTATTATTAGTATCATTATTATTATGACTATGCTTATTATTATTATTATTATTATTATTATTATTATTACTATTATTATTATCATTACTATTATTATTATTATTGTTATAATAATACATAATACATTATTCTGAGTTTTAAATCATCCCCTTTCTCCTGTTTTATTGTTCCCCTTGCCTTTCTCCCTTTTCGGGAGGTCGCCTTCTCCCGTGTTCTTACTTTTTCTCCCAACCGGCCGCGCGTTGCGAAATGCTCCAGGCTGGCGCTCTGGGAGTTTGCGCCCTGGCTGCGGCCCGCGGACTTCGTGCCGCCCACGCAGGCGGAGGACCGGACTGGAACAGAAGAAAGTGGGAGGCTTTATATTATTTCATATATGTATATATATAAATACATATTATATTTCTATATGTATGTTTTTTTGTTCCTTTTTTTTGCGGGGGGGAGCTGTTGGGGGTGGCTCATGTTTTTTGGGGTGGGGGGGGGGGTGGGAGAGGGTGGTTTGTTCTTTCATACATAATATATATATATATTTACATATATATATATATATGTATATATATATATATATATATATTGGGGTGTGCCGTTTTGGGGGTGGAGGACGGACAGGTTTGTGGGTGGTTGAAAGGGGAAACAAAAGCAAGCCTAACCCAGTTAGTTGTGAAGAAGATGGGCATGTGGGTGTCTTTTTTTGGATCCTCCAACATGGAGTTCGGTTGCCCTTTCGGTTTCCGCTGTCAAAGCATTCCAGAAAGGGTACTCTCGAACAACGTGTGAGGACGGACAATGGTTCAGTTCGGGGTTTCTCAAATGGTGGATGACCAAGGAATTGCCAACCTTTCGCCTCACAGAAAGGGTATATTTTCCCGCACGACGCAGGTGGTGAGTTCTGAGCGGACGCGGGGAAGTGGAGTAAGATGGATTGAATCGGGTCCCTTGAAGGCTTCCAGCTGGATTTGTGTTGAGAGGCATTCAAGCATTTTGAACATGGGGAGCAAGGAGTGGGGATTAAGCACCGCCACAGGGATGTGACCGGGATGAGGGAAGGAATGAACCTAGGGATCTCCTTGAAGGAAACCACAACTTAGATGATTCATATGGGTCACAATCAACACCCGGTACAAAAATGGGCGACCCAGAACCATGTAAAGAATTAAGAAGGCGGCCGCAACTATTTCTGCCCCTTACTAACATTCATCTACCCGGTTTTGATTTGTGGCTCATATTGGCATCATTCCCTCATTCCTTGAGCAAGTTCAACATCCCAAGCCTTAGGTGAGGAGCGGCGGCAAAAGTGGGAGACGCCGGCGGGTGGTTTTGGGGGCTAGTGCAAGCTATCTCAGATTGGGCGTACTGAACACAACCACGGTGGATCCGCAAGTTTTTGTAGGGAAACCTATTTTTTGCGTTTGATTTGTGCAACTGCGTTTTCCCTTTTCCAGAATCTACAGGGAAATGGAATCACCGGGGGTGGAGGCAATATGAAGCACCCGAATCTTGGGACCTCAAAGGCATCAGCTTCAAAAGAAGCACAGGTGTAGAATCCGAAGGTGTCTGAACTGCTGCTAGACAGCTGTTGATTTCAAGGCATCATTTTGAGGTCAAAGTTGAACATCAAAAAAATGGAAACCAAAAGGAAATCGATGAATTCTTGAAACCATCAGCCAGCCTCTCCTCCATTTTGCTTTGCGGAATCTCCGGACGAGGCGATTGTTTCAATTCTTCGGGCAGCAAATTCATGAACTCACGGGGCAATCATCCGCCGACCCCCATGAAAAGCCCCAAAAGCTTCGGGCGAACGGATTCGTGTTTCTCAAAGTAGGGATCGGTAAGTTTCCTCAAAAGGAAACAACTTCCTTTTCATATTCTTTTAGCAAGCTCCACTATTTGGAGAACCACTCCGCCGATTCCACAAGTCCCGATTCCACAACGGCCACGTTACACATGGAGTCGCTGCGCTCAACAACCGAGTCGACGACGGAGGAGGAGATCCTTCCGCTTGGGCCTCCGGTGCCAGAGCCCTTGCTGCCGCCCTCGCCCCCGCTGCTGGCGCCCTTTGCCGGGGGCCGAGGTGCGGGAGCGGCGCGGGGGGTCCGGTTTCCGGCCAAAGGGCGAGGGGAGTTTGGATGGATGGGGAAGACTGGGGCCCTTTTTTTTTTGGTGAGTTGGGTGGAAACCGCGGAAGTCCTGGGACCTTTTGAATGGGATTCAAGTCGTTGGGTGAATGTGATGGGTTTTGGTCAAAATTCTCACACCGCACGGGTGCCAGTTTGGCTCAAGAGCCAACATAGCTTGACATCTTTCTCTTTCCTTTCCATCTAACCTTTCGAGTCGCCACGTTGGTGCCTTTTCGTGTAGGGCGTGCGAAGTGGTCAGGCAGCTGTTGCCGCCAGCAGCGTCCATCTGTCACCTAGCTGTGGTCGCCTACTTGTGGTCGTGCTGACAGCACGACCAGGATAGGCCTTGGGGCACCAGTCTTGGTGCGAACCAACATTGGGTCCTTGCCATTCATTGAATGAGGGTTGAGCCTGAGCCCTTAAGGAAGCCCAAACATGGGTGCCCTTAAAAAACAGCGAAAAACCGTTTTGAGGTCCCGAAGACACCAACAAATCCAATGGTCAACCATGTGTTTGCGAGTTGTTGGTACGCTTTTCAAGGTTGGTTAACAGAGAAACCAGGTCTGCATAGGCATCCTTCTGCTTGCTGTTCTCGAACTTGATGCCATGGAAACGGTTGTCCCCACCAAAGGAACACCAACATCCGATTTGGGGGTCCTTCCTTCTGTTCTATTTTCACAGATGCGCAGATGGCATGTCAGGCAATCGAAGCTCAACTTCGGAATCCGGATGCGTACAAATCAGGTTGTTAAAGGCATTCTGATATCCTCCAGATGTATCGGAGCTTGGTTTGTTCGACCTGAAAAGCGGGTTGTATGTTCTGTTTGGGAAATGGGTTCTTCTCAACATAGGAATCTAGATGCTTTCCTTTCTGCAAAACCACCCCAACAAAGGGTGCCCTCAAAAAACCTCCCAACTATCAGGTGGCTCCGCATTGGAAGTTTGGATTGGCCGTTTGGGGATTTGAACCTAGGATAAATAGGAAGTCACCCGGGAACCACCGCGGAACAGCTCCAAACCAACCCCCTGGTTCTAAGCAGGATGTCCCCGGAGCCAAGCAGAACCCGTGCAATTGTTAGGGGCGGTGTTCCCTCCAAGAGTGGTATGTGAGTCCCTGCGAAAAGAGGACGACCCCCAATCAAATTCAACCAGGACCTTCTTGATCTGAGGTCAACAGTACCAGGATGTCCATTCAGCCCTCCCAAACCAGCTGGAAGCCTTCCCCACAGCTTCTTCGCCCAAAATGCGGGGGGAGTTTCCCGGTACCAGCTGCACTGAACATGGCTGGCTGAGCATGGCTGGTCTGTGACCGAATCGCTTCTTAGACATTTTGGAAACCAATGGCTTTTCCGAGAAGCCTAGAAAAGGTCTACCCCCACTCTCCCACTAACGTAGCAACTGGGAGGTCCTCTTAGAGGGACCCCCTGTCAGGTGCAGCATGTTGCTGGAAGGGCGGTGAATGACCTTTTGCTCAGGGAGCTTGGATTTCCATATCTCAGCTCCGGGGCCGAACTGCATGCATGGGTGTGTCTATCTGAGGAACACCAAGTTTGGGTTTTCAAAGCGAAACCAAAAGGACACCAAACTTTTTGGAGGTGCCCAGCTTTGCCACAAACTCACTTCGGAAAAAAAAACAGGCTGGATTGGAAGGGACACAGTCTTAAGCTAATCACATGCTGCTCAGGAAGCAGTTCCGGCTGCAGATCTGTATGAATCTATGGCTAGGGCTTTGCGAGCTCCGGTCTCTCCATTTCCAGCAGTCTGTCCATTTGTTTCCCCGAAGCGCGCTTTCGCTTTCGCGCCGATTTTCTCCCGTGTCACGCCTGCATGGGGACGCCTGCATAGTCTTGACCGGGGCTCACGACTCAACGTATGAGGGGACCGGAGGTACCAGAGGTAGAGCGACGCGAAGCGAGTGTCACAGGCTTACTCTACAAGGTCTACTCCAACTCTGAGAACCTGCCAGTGCATCGCGCGCTAGGCGAAGCCGAAAGTCCCTTCGTTGGGGTCCCCTCAGTACACTACCTGACGGTTCTCATGATTAGACCCAAGCCCGGCTTAAACTCCTCTAGTTTTTGTTTTTCAGCTGAGAACCATGTTTTTGTTGTTTTTCAGCTGAGTGCGGGTTCCCATGGTTTCGGTGGGTGTTCGGGGCGAGCTGTTCAGTTCCAACAGCGGAAGGGGTTCCAAGACTAGAGCTCTGGGTTCCGGTTTGGGGATACCGCAACCTGAAGTGGAAGGGCTTTTGAGAAAAGTGGAAGGACGAGAGGGGGATCACAGACGCACATGTACCCCCCCACTCCAAAAGAAGCGTCGTCAGGTTCAGTCGGGGTGTCGCGACGACAGAAAAAAAGTGGGACTGATCTCTGGCCAAAAAAATGAAAGTCGATTCAAAGGAAAGGACACCCTTATCAAGGGAAAGGGAACCCACGAAGAGCAAACCAGGCGGGTCTCGTGGCGTTTGGGCTTCCGGAATGGTCCGGCTGGTGTTCCTTTTCGGGTCTTAAGGTGTTTTGTTCGGTAAGGCGCCAGCAGGAGCATAATGAATCAGTTGGCACATGAAAAGGGAGCTGGCGGCTTTGCCGGCCGAACCCGTTCCAGGTGGGTGTTCTTCGTTTCAGGGACTCTTTTGGGGTTTGAGGGAATCACACTCGATGCTTGCTCGCATTGTTGGAGGCCCACATCCCATTTGGAGGCAAACTCAGAACGCTGCTGTGTTTTGTAGCGGTTGCTTCCGTCCGAACTTCGGGTGAAGCAAGTGTCGCAACAATGCGTTGGGAATCCGTTGGCACACATGCTTGTGGTCCATTTGGGGTTCGAGACGAGCAGAAATCCGAGGTACCCACTAGTAATAAAGTGAGGAATATTGTTAGGCCAGAGAGGGTGAGGAAGACCCTGAGAATGAATGCATGGTTCGCTTCGCTATCATCTTGTCCGTCCTATTCTCAGCCGTATTAATATTAGCCATTTTTGACGAAGGGATCAAAAGGGTGGTAAGGGGAATTAGTGCGGCTGGCTTTTTCCTTGTCTGGGTTTGTCTCAAAATAGGGGAACCCCCGAAATGGTGGTTTTCCCGTTTGCTTTCCCTTTCAAACAAACACTGTCAGAGACGACACAGCCATTTTCGTTTCCTAATCCCTGCAGGTCATGTAAAGACTCTGGAATGAAGACGAGTCAGACCTTTGGGTTTTGTTTGAGTCTTCTTCTCATGTCTTTCCTTTTTATCATTGTGTTTATGTATTTTTCTATGTCTTATCCTTCTAGTTGTTCCTGCAAAACCCAGAACGAACTGCGAAACTTCCCCCCCCCCCACACACGCACACATGAGGGAGCTTCTTCAGAAGCAAATCTTGTTTTCGTGGTTTTCCAAGCAATGGCCATTCCATGCTTACTGGACCTTTTGATCAACCCCCCTGTTTTCTTTTTCTTTTTCTGTTACCGGGCACTGGCTTCTTTCGATGGCGTGCCACTTGCCAGTCATTGGCACAGGTCAGACCCACCCGTTTTGTGCATGCCGAGCGCCAAACCGCGGTTTAGAGGCCACGAGAATGCCGCCTACCCGCAGAGCCCCATGGCCAGTGGAGTGCTCCCGGACATGCTACGAGGCAGGGTGCTTGGATGTAGGCGTCAGCACATCTGTCATGATCAGGTTGACCCCATTTTACTTGGCGGTTCCCAGCCATCCCCTTAAGCTTTGGGGTTTTCAGTGTTCAGTGGGGGTTTCCATCTAACCCACAGGTTAAGCTTTTCGCCGGGGATCTGAGGATAGCCCGGTGAAAAATCGCCCGCGCGAGTGTTGGTTCTGTGTGCCAACTAGGCGCCTTCCGCCACGTGCGCTTCGCGCCGGTGCCGGCGACGGCCGTCTCCGCGCGGCGGAGCTATGCTCCTTGGACAAGGAAGACCCCAGTGTCGGCAAGCCTAAAACCTAAACGTCCCTGTTTTTTGGAAGTCCTTTTTTCCATGGGCCCCTTTTGGAATTTGAAGTGAGGGCAGAATTTGTTTAACAGTTTTTTTCTTTTTTTTTCCATGGACCCCTTTTAGCATTAACTGTGAGGGCAGAATAAATCAAACAATGTCAACCCCTTTTTTGCAATCATGGAAGTGGACGAGCGGGTTTTCGGAAGAACTCGAGAAAAGGCCCCCAATTGACTCCTGTAAAAAGGATCCCGACCCCGGATAAATCAACCCCATTTTTTTGTGGTTGTTTGCAAATGTGAAATCCGGGTTTCCTCGAGAAGGAGTTGCTCCCCGGCGCCCCCGCCCACGAGATGTTCTAATGTCCAGGCATTGCCATAGGGGGGCGGACTTCCTGGTTTGAGAAGTCTCCAACCCTGGCCAAAAACTTGGGTTTTCACCTACGTGAAAACCCAATTTATGAGCAACCATGCGCACTGCGAGCCAACAGTGGCTACAAATTGGATATTCGCATGTTAGCCAAATTTAGGAGGTTTTTAGCACCCCATTTACCAGCAACCAGATACAAGAACGGCCCAACAGGACCCAATTTAGACGATGAACCTCAGGTAAACAATGGTTATATTGACCGAACCGTTGTTCTAACGGCAGTCAGCCCCGGACCAAACGATTTCAGCCTACCCTAAAACAAGCAAACAGATAATTGCCCTAATAATATACCCTCACGCAAATACCCCCCCCAAAAAAAATTAAATAATACAAAAAAAAAACACATAGAAGAACAAGCAGCAAAAGCAGGAACAAACAAGTACCAGACTTTCAAAGCATACCCCCTAAAAATGTAACCTACACCAACCGAATCGGTTTTTGGTCTTTGGCGGATCGTTGCCGTCGGACTCCGCAGGTGCCTGAGCCGCCTTTGTCGGATGACACGGGCCATGATTTGTACGCCGAGGAGCCGAGCGAAGGGGAGTTCTGCTTTCCGATTTTTGTGAGGGCTCACCGATGGGGTTTAACAGGAGCGCCTTTGTTTGGGGATCCCTTGTTTTCTGAATGAGAGTTGGGGTAAATTAGTAGGGGGAGCAGATGCCGAGCTGATGACGGGGATGTTGGAGACGCATTTGCAGTTTGTTTGTTTGTTTGTTTTTTTCTCCGCGGCATGTTCGCGTGTTTTGTTGTTTTTCGAGGTCCAATTCTTGCAGACTGTAGTCACGCTTGTTTCAGATGATGCAGGGGAAGCTGGAGATGCGGCTGGGGATGCTGCAGGTGCTGGTTGGGCATGTGGAGATTTTGGCTGGTGATGCTGGCTGCCTACCCTGCCAACCAAACTGCCCCAAACACCTCCAAACATGGCTTATTTTAGTGAAATCCCAACGGGGTGTGTTTGGGGGCGGGGTGGTTGTGGGATTCCCTTGAAATCAATGTTTGCTTTTTCTCAGAAGCATGAAGCACGCAGAGGGTTCTTCGATGGCTGCAGACTTTACAGGGCAAACATCTCTTTTCTCAACAACACAAGCCAACTTGGGGCTTTGCTAAAAGTGAACCGTTTTGTCACCCGTTTGGGTGGTTTATCTCGGGGTCATTCCATTTCTCCGGGAAGAACCCAGGGATTCCCGAAAAGCAAACCACAAGGGACAGTTTTTGTCGGGGTTATTTTATTTCTTCATTCCCTATCGCGCCAGCAAGTTTCAGGAGATCGTGGGCTTCTTTGTAGCGCCCTTCACGGCCAGCTACATCTTCTACCTGGCCGCTGACGACGAGGATCGGGGGTGGCAGAGGACGGAAGTCGGAGGAAAACCGCCCATGTTTCTTTGTCGCCCGAAAATTCCAAGCATCCAACTGGAGGTCGGGTTCCTTTTCTTCCCCAACGACTAGGCATTTGCAGCCCCAAAATGTATGCAGCTTCTTCCCCAAAGAACAACATGAAGGTTTTGGACGGGTCTTTGGACCCAGTTTTGATTGACTTGCCTTCGGAAAGGGTGATATTGGGCGACGGCTTGGATCTTGAACCTTTCACCTTTTGGGACAATGCAAAAACAGCTTTAGCCTTTATTGTTGCTTTAGCCTTCAACCTTTACTTTTTTTGGATCTTGAAGCTTTAACTTTCATATATTTCCCACTCACCTGCAACAGTCTTTTTCTGTGGGAACCTTTCTTTCTGTGGTTTTTAAGAACACCAAACGGAACACCACCCAAAATAGGGGTCCTGTAAAAAAGAAGAGAACACAATTGAAACGGGCGGGGGGCGGTGATCAGTGTTCCTGACCCCCAAACAGCTTTGGGTATTTTTGCTGTGGGGAAGTCTGTTTTTCCAAGTCTTTTGCTCTCTCAGAAAGCGGAGAGTGACTTGCCCCAAGTAGCTTTTTGACGCATCAAACTGATACGAACGGTTCGCGTGGATGTTGTTTTTTGTTAGACCCTGAGCATGTCTTTTTTTTCCTAGTTTTTCTTTTGGCATCGCTTTACGCCAACCCGCAGAGGGGCCCCTGCCTCAAGAAAAGACATACCTCGACACCCCCTTGATGCGGAAGACCTTCCTTTCGGGTCTCCGGCCCCCCAGCTCGTTTTGGTTGGAAGGGAGCCAGTTGCAACTGGCTTTCCAAAAAGTCTGGGTGCACAAGGAAGCACCGGGCGGTTCTCTGATGTCAAAACCTCCGGCTTCCCCAGGCAAGGGACACTGCGCTTGAGATCACGGGAAGAAAAAAAAAAAGAAAGAACAAGACCTTGTCCAGAAAGCGCAGGCCGACCTTTCCATCTCCTGCTGCGGGGACATGGCTGGCATGAAGGTGCGGTCAGGGCGGCCAATCGTTTCCAACCAGACAGTTGGGTCTGCATTTTGCCCTTTGGCTTTGCCCTTTGGCTTTGCCCTTTGGCTTTGCCCTTTGGCTTTGCCCTTTGGCTTTGCCCTTTGGCTTTGCCCTTTGGCTTTGCCCTTTGGCTTTGCCCTTTTCAGCCAAAGGGTCCAACGGGCAAACCAACATGAGAGCCGCCGATTGGAGGGTGTCCCTTGATAGGGTGTCCCTCGATTGGAGGGGCACAATGTTGGGGTCGGCTCCGTTCGTACAACAAGAAGCTAAACTCTCCATGGGCTTGGGCCCCTTTCGTCTCAGGTTTGCATCCCCAAAGGTACATTTTGCTGGGTGGTTCTACTACTTGGATGAATCGGGGTTATAGTATAGCCATGCCAGTAGAACCAACAAGTCAGCTCTGGTTTGTTGAACATGAAGTCCCCGTTTCAACAGGGGATAAAAACCACAACTGAACTGTGGAGGCAACTTACGTGACTGAACACAGCTGCGCCTTCCTCGGCCGTGCAACACAGCACTTTGGGGACTTGAACCCCTGGTTCTTGCGGAAAAAAAAGAGGACAACGTAGGAAAGAACACAGGAACACCTCCAAACCACCCATCCAAGCCAGGGAAGTGGCATGGTACAATCAGGGACTTCAGGATTCCACACACACACACACACGTTCGTTCTTTCAAGATGATCTAATTTTGGCTTTCAAGCACGTGGTACATCCACTTGTTGGCCCTCCAAGTGGCGGCTGGATGTGAAGCCTCTTCTTGAGTCCTCCACACCTCGAAGCTGCGAGCCACGGCCCAGAACTCCGGAGGGGCGACGTTCGTTCGACGGACTGGGGTCTGCGCCGCCGGGTCGCAGAGAAAGACCATTGACCCACTTAGCAACGAGTACACGAGCACAATGGTTTCCCAAACTGCAAATTCCCGGGGGGGAGGAACACGTTTGAGCATGGCTCATACGGGCGTGGCCTTTTTTTTGGGCGGTATTTCTCTTTTCTGGTGGTTTTACGGGGGAACCCCCCTCACAATAACTTGTGTGCTTCGTTGTTTAACATCTTTTTGATAAGGCTTAACCAAATCTACTAAGACTTTTTCCAAAAAAACCGGGGGGGACTGGGGAGGGGGGAAACCATGTTGGGGTCGAAAAAAGACTGTTGACTTGGTGGCTGCCAGCCATCCGGTTCCTTCTCCTTTCAGCCTTTTAGCGTTTCGTGGGTTTCCATTTGACCCACTTTATAGGTGAGTCACTTTTCGATCCGAACACGGGCCCCGTCGAAACCATCCCCCGCAGCGTCGGCAGGTGGAGGTGAAGGCCTCCAGCCGGGACTACCCCATGCCGCGCTACACGCCGCTGGCCTGGTTCGGCGCCTGCGAGGCGCTGCGCGACGCGGCGATCGACGGGGAGCGCCTTCCGGACGCGCAAAAAGAAAGCTTCCGGACGCGCGTCGCGCCGAAGTGAAACGGTTCTTTATGGATGGCTGAGCTTTCTCTTTATGGATGGCTCAGCTTTTTGGAGGTCCAATGGTCCAATGTCTTTGGTCCAAGTGTGTTTTCCGTTCCGGGGCTACCCTCCCGTCCACATGGGTGCCGCCTCCTGCCAATGCCCCAGCCTTTTTTGGTTGGTATGATGTTAAAAACAGAGGTATTTACACTAAACACAAGGATGTTCCAAGGGTTTTTGCACATATACCCTGAACAAAGCCCGGGTACTTGGAGTAGTGGGGCACTGAACACTCTTTGTCCCAAGGAAAGAAGTTTTGGACCCCCCCCCCAGTCAGGTTCGGTACCAGGGTGGTCTGTTTTTCCGCAGTTTTCGGGCCGTGATTTTCCAGAGTTGGAACCGGAATCCACCTCAAAAATGGTTGGCGAATGAGGTCCACCAAAAAGGGCACCCTATCAAATGCAGTTTCCTCTGGAAGGCATGCCATAATGGAAGGCGGCCTGCCAGGATCCTCGAAGGCCCTTTGAGTTTTTTCTTGAGCAAATTTCGACCTCACTGATGCGGAGGTAAAACATGGCGGTAAATGGGCTTTGAGGCTGTTAGGGCTACTTGCTGTGGCAAGACCCAGGTGACAAAGTAGTCATAGGAATGGGGACTGTTTAGCACGGAAAGGTAGGACTTGTCAAGGACAAGGAGCGACGCGCCCATGAAGGTCCCTGGCGATTTCCTTTTTTTTTCTCCTAGAATCACCACTGCTCCAACTACCCCGCGCCTTTTATCATTCAGACCAATATGATTGAAGCGGGTATTCGGTGTAGGGGGTATGAGTGCACTAGCCCAAACAACGTGGGCAGTTCCAAATCAAGCTGAGTCATGATATCCTGTAGGGGACAATGCGTTAAAGTATTTAGCCCCCCATGCCGATCATGGTAATTTGCTCTGCCTATTGTCTGTTGAGCTCGCACCGATTGGCGAGTGCGAGCTCACCGACTGCTTGCGCGCAGACTTCGTCCCTTACTTGGTAGGGCTAGGGTTAGGGTCCTTTGTGAGTAGTACCCTCTAACTCCAAATACCAGCCTTTTGAAGCTTAATTCTTGGAAACCCAGGCCCTCCATGCGAAAAAGCTCTGCAACAAAATATATCTTTCCCTTTAAACAAGTGGGTCTTTGGAGTAGACTGACACCCTCTTTTTGCCCGATCGCCAGGCCGGGATGGACGTGCCCTGTTCCATCTCGGCGCCTCACCACTTCCGGGCAGGCCGGGCTCTCGCTTCGTCGCTTCGCTTCGAAAGTGTCGGAAGAGGCCCCAGGATGGTTGAGACACATTTTACATGTTTGCTTCTTGTGGTTTAGTGGGAAATCCCCACTTAACTGCTAAGAATATTTTTTTGCTCCCCTTCCAACGTCAATTAAGCCAGCGGACACTGGAACCCTCCTTTTGCAGCCTCCCTGAAAGCTTTGGAGTGAACCACCCCAGAGCTTGTTTGAGCCTATCGGCCCCAAAGCCTTTACCTCTTGATTTCACCAACAGAAAACATGCCACCTTTTGGATTCAGCGACCGCATTGTGACCTTGTGGTCAACCCAACATCGGCCAGAGAGCGGTCTCGGGGGTCGGTCGAGGCGAGCAAACCTTGCTGCGGGTTCGACACCGGGACAACGTGGCGGGGGATTGGCTGCGGGTGGGCCTTCGCATCCACAACGCCCTGGCGCACGATGGGCGCGGGAGCCGAGTGACGCGAGTGAGTGCGGTGGATATGGGTGGGGGGTGGGGCTGGGGAGTTTGGGGGGCTGATAAATCGATGAGTTCTCAAAATTTGGTGGACAATGTGGTTTTGACTCCTATTGGCATCACAGATTTTGGATGCTTTGCCATAAGCGTGTGGGAAAATGGCTTTTTTTTTTGATTTAAACTGGTCCCCACATGGCTGGCCTTTGTGACCGACTCGGCCCTTTGACCTTTTGGAAGCAGATTGCCTAGGGGGGGCGCTTGTAGCCACCCAGACTGGTCGTCGAGAAGCACTCATTTTTGAGGGTGGGGGGTGAGTTTGATGGGAACCCATTTCTCTCTCTTGATCAGCTGCTTCTTCCCCCATTTGTGACTTTCAGAGTTCTGGAAATCAGATTGCAACTGGGCGAACTAAGGCGCTTGATTCAAATTGGGGGGTGCAAGCCATTTCAGATCCTCGACCGGGAATGCTCTGCCAATTCATTCAAATTCATGGTTGGAACCCAGCCAGCAGGTGTCGCCATACAAGGGCCACTTTCCGTGAGTCCTGGACATTTGTGAGGATGTTTGGCAGTTGGCCCTACTGCGAATTTCACTGTTTGGGTGGTCAAACAAGTTGGGCGGGTCTGAAGCAACATCTTCAGGCCTGCGAACATCCTTGGCCCTCGTTTGTAGTCCGCCTGAGAAACAAACCCTGGGTTTTCTCTCGTTTTTGAAGAAATGCAAGCTCAGCGTCACACTTCACACGACATCGACGCGGTGAGTCGCCCACTCACAAACCAGGGGGGGCGACTTGGCGCTCATCACCATGTTTGAAGACTCCTCGGTAGGCCGAAGAATCTCAATGAAGATTCTTCGCTCGACATCCTTCAGAAAAACCTCGTCTGCAACCACAATTGAGACTGGACGTGGGTGTCCGCGAACGTTGCATACCCAGGATCTATGTCTGGCGGATGTCCAATTGAAAGTGTATGGCAAAGCTCGGTAAGCGCAAATCAATAAAAGACCTGGACGCGTGCGTAGCAAGGTCGTTTTGTCTCTTGCGTCTGGCAATCGTCTGACAGAAGTCCAGGCTTTGAGCCAATATGGATGCACCTTAGGCATTGTGTGTGGTTCCACATGTTGCAAGCGACAAACACGAGAAGCGCGGCCCGCTTGGAAGAGCTCGTCTGACGCGTCGTCGGGATGAGCCGGAGAACCCTAGGGCCCAAGGGTCAAGTGTTAATTGCCAGGGTACCTTCTTCATTCTTAAATGTGTTATATTTTAAGATTATTAGGGCAGATTTGGATGTACCTTAAACTGGAATGAAAGAAGCCACGTATGGTGGGTGCCCCTCTGTTTGGTTGTTTGGTTAATTGGTTGTTGGTTTGGTTGGTTGGTTTGTTGGTTGTTTGGTTGGCTGGTTGGTCGGTGCTCAAATCAAAGCTCATGCCCACATGTGAAGCAGCCCATTTGGCGCATCTCTGAGGTCGACCGTTCCGGCGGAGCTCGTGAGGAGTGCGGGTCTTCTTTTGGTTGAAACCTGCGAGTTTGGGGGCCCCGTAGTGTTGAGAAACACACATAGTATGGGTTTTGTGTTTTGTTGAGCTTCTTTTTTTAAGGGTGATTTATAGGGAAACCAAGAGAACCACCGAAACACCCCCCCATTCTTCATTTCTCTTTTTGACACATAGCCAAAGACCGACCAACCGCAGAACCTACGCCCTGCGCCTCCCGGCAAACACGTCAGACCTCCCAGGTTCAGCGGAACAGAAGGTCTGCGTACCTTTTTTTGTGCGCCAGTGGCTTGTCTTGAGGAGCTCAAAAGTGTATGATGGGTCAGTATTGAGCGCTCAGTCAAACCTGTGGCTTCGAAGGAGGAAGTCCATCGTGGAGGTCCAGCGGCTCACGTTGACCGCCTCAGTGGTGAGAGAGAGGCCTCGAAGAGCCCTTCAAAGGGCCCGACCTCCCCCCCCCCACCCACCCCCCCACCCCCCCACCCCCGACAGGGTGGGTTCCTCCGTGTTTTTCCGGGACTTCCCTTTGGTGGGGGACGTTTAAAGGAACATACAGGGAGCTTAAAAGGGTAGATTCAGCTTGCCCACAATTCCCCGGCCACCGTATATAATAGTGGTACTCGGGGGAGTGGACGATTGTAGAAATCTGCGACAGATAAACGGGCTCGCGCAGGTTTCTCACAGAGGGCATGGGCGGGCGCCCCGCCCCCAAACAGAGCAGCGGGGTTCCAAAACTTTGAGGTGGTCAAGTTAGAACTATTACCATGCTTCTGTGTTCAATCCAACTAGCAAGTACAAGCGAGGTTCGAGGGGACTCACGCCATGTACCCCCGTTATATCCATGATTGCGACCCACTTGCCATGTTGAACATCCAGTTGCTTCATAAAGGTTGGATTCAACCCCTGAACTTGTTCCAAGTCAAACGGGCGCACACCCATTTCACTATTTTGGATCGACCCCTTCACACTTATTTGGATCTACCTTGCCGAATGAGGCTTTGTGCCTTTCAGATTTGAGAACTCTCTGGGTCCGATCATCCATTGGCAGTGGGGCCCACTTTTTTCATGGACTGTGGCCCCGTCTCTCAGGTTCCATAGGGCTTTCTTCAAGCTGAACCAATCTGGGAGCTGATAGGCTGAATAGGGCTCCTCTGTTTCAACCACAACTTTTGATTCATACGACCCACCGGGGAACAGACCTGACCTGGCTTTCCCACTCCAAGCATGTTTTTTTTCAAAAAGTGGACCCTGAAACTGGGGGTTTCCCCAAAAAGGGCCTCAAAAAAAGGGCGCCTACATTGGGCGGGGACATATCAACCACCGGCATGGCAACGGTTTGCGTGAGCTTCCCTCACCATTCGTCGTCCTTCCTCTTGGACAGTTCAAACTTGGAGGCCGCGGGGTTGGCTGCAGGGGCGATCGGGGGGTTTGGTGAGGTAAGTGGCGAGTAAGCATAGTTATATAGCACATGCCACAAGGACACCTAAGGTGCGCGAGGTAAGCAGCAAGAACCCTGGTAACCGCTTCAAGTAATTCGGCACCTTTCCTCGGGTTACCAAGGTTACCAACCCCTGACTTGATATTGATAGCCTTCAGGCTAGCATGTTCTTTCGCCAGAGCCTTGGCAACCCTCACTGTAAAGCCGCCCAACAGCCAGCGTGTGTTTTGCAAACCCACCCCAAAAAAGGTGATGTTGATCCAACATCCCATAAACCTGTCAATTTGATACATCTAGCGCTTTGATGAAACACAAAACACTACGCCCACGACTTTGTTCCGCTTTCGCGACATCGCGGACAGGCATCAGCTCAACTTCTACCGGATCCTGACAGGCGTCCTCTTGGGTGATTCTTGAAGCGGACGCATAAGGAACCCTGTCGATGAGCAGTGCACACGATTCCTGTGGTTATATATAGTTAGTGGGAGGACGAGAGGGCTCCCGCAAAAATCAGGAGTTAGGACCGGGTCCCAGTTTTGCAGTGGCGGGGAAGAAGCCATATCCGGGTGTTTCTGATGGAATGGGTAGCCTTTCAAACTTGGGACAACCCTTAGGGTATGTGTCAAAACTGGTGACCCCAAAACTGGATTTCCGGTGTGTCCTTTCAGTTTCCCTCAGCAAAAAACCACTCAAGAAGGGTTACCAGCAAAACACAAATCGCGCCACAAGGGCGCCATGGCTATGACCCAGAGTTCAGCCTTTTTTTTCTTTTTCTTGGTTTGAATTGGACTGTGCGCCTAGATGGGGGGTCACCGTTTCCAGCTACACATCCCTAGAGGGTTTCTTGGGCTTACTGTTTCAACCCCTCACCCAAGCCAATTTTCGCAGCGTGAAGCCTTCCGTGGACCTTCCGCGAGGCTCCTTCCGGATCCACGTGCGGCGCTACGCCCGGAACTTCCTGCGCGAGGGGACCTCAGGCGGCATGTTGGACTCCCAACTTCCGACAATTTGAGAGGGAAATCTCAAAGCTTGATGGTTCCCAGCCATCCGGTTCCTTAGCCTTTTAGATCTTTTTAGTGTTTAGTGGTTGGATTTCCGAATTCAACCCACTAAAGGTTAAGCTTTTAGCGGGGGATCTGATGTCCAACCCCACGCTTTCCTGGCAGATTCTCTTCGGTATGGTGACACCGCGGACCAGTTTGCCACCGCGCTCTGGGCGACGCAGGAGTTGGGGGGTTTCTCATAGATTCACGAGAGCCATCAGCTCGAGTTCTGCGGGGTAGCGAAGCTGTATACATGACCGAAAACCCTGACAATCAAAAGCCTATGCAGGTGCTCGAGCTTGGCTCTCGTTTGAACCGCTTCGATGAGAGCCATCCCATCCGCTCGCTTTACTGTCTCTAGGGGTGCCGGGGGGGAAGAGATGGCTCGACGCTGACTTCATGACTTCATGTTCCTACCCCAGCTTCTCCATGAACATTCTCATTTGTCACTCCTTTCCAGTCCGTCGTTCTATTCCTAATCAACCAAACGCCGCATGATGGACTGGGGAAGAAAGGAAGTGGCTATTTGATCGCCTACAAAATGCTGAAGTTGCAGATGGCGGATGAATAAATCCGAGCGCAGTGACCTTCCTTCCGGCCCGAAAAATCTCTCTCCCATTCTTCTGTTGGATCAGAAAGGAAGGAGAGAGAGTGAACTCAAAGGTGTGTCTTTGGAGTAGGCGGTTGTGTGACCGCCTGCTTTTGGGAAGCAGGGGTGGTTTGTGCCGACTGCAAATACCCTCGGTTCTAAGGCTGGCATGATTGAGGGGGTGACTAAGGGCTATCCCCTCCCCAGTTTGCCCCCCTTTAGGGGTCCATGATTCCCCAAGAAATCTTAAGACATAATTCATTGGTGCATGAAAGGGATAGTATTTTTTTTCAACGTCCAAAAAACTTTAATAATAAGTGAAAAACAGCTTCCCTCCCCTCGATTTCCTTGGGTTTTCCTTCAAAAACACATATCCCTTGGGGTTTCGGGCTCCAAAAAGGCGCTTCCGGCGAGGACCTCTATGGCCGGGTCCTGGAGTGCCAGCCCACCGTGGAGCGGCAGCAGAGCGGAGAGCGGCCGCCTGGCGTCTCAAAAGGCGTCTCTCAAAAGCGAAAAGCGCTCCACGGGTCGGTCGTGTTTTTTTTTGGTTGAACCTGGCCATCTCGCTTGCCCCTGCACGAAGCCAAGGATCAGCTATGTGGTGACCTTCCCATGCCCGCAGCCGGAAGACGGGAACTCCCACGCTGCCGCGGCCCCAGCGATTTGTTTCGGAGGGGTGGTGCCTTAAGGGAAGCCCTCTTACGTCTCTTTTTGCGTTGAGTTCCATTTAGAGCTTCTCTAAAACATAGGGGAATATGGCGAAAGACTAGAAGAGCAAAGGGTTTCCAAATCTGGAACCAGCGGTGTGTGCTCTTCTGTCTCATCTGGGTCACTGCTGTGGCTAGACTTCGAGAGACCCGTTCTCAAACTCTAGGGCGAAGGTTTCCTTTTGAACCACCATTCAGAGGGTGCCTTGAGGATGTGACTTTCTGGGACCCACCCGCCCCCCCCTTCCAGGAGCCACAGTCTGAGGTTCTAAGCATTGTGTGGCATTGAATTGAAACAAGCAAGAAGCACCGAAAAGAGAACACACTACAACCAACAATGAAACACCCCCAAAAAGAAGGAACAAACACACTCGAGTGCAGTCAAAGCGCGCTCTTTCAGACTTAAAGCAGAAGGGTATGTGAGGTCAGAGGTTAGTCATGGCGAAAGGCTGGCAGAGCAGCGCTCAGCCTTGGGCCTTGGCTTTCCTCCCTACGGCCTAGGTGAGCAACAATCAAACCTGGGTGGAAACAATCCCAACCAACATAGTTTCTGCATTCATTATCTGGGGGTAGACCACCTTACCTTGCTCTGACTACACTGGCCTTTGGCTGCATCATCCTGTACAACTTACAACGTTCGGTGTCGATGCTTTTTGGTTTGGTCGGGTTGCCAACCTTAAGTGCAGATCCATTTTTTCTTGCTGGGGAATGAGGGAATGAACCCAGCCCCCGAAAAACGGACACCACCGGTTTGATGGTTTTTCTCGTGGTCCTTCCATTTCTCATTCCTTATCGCACGGCCAGGCCTTGCAGCTGGTGCCGGGCCTGGATGTGATTGGTACCTCTGTGCTGAGCTGGGCGCCTTGTCTTTCTTTCTTTCTTTCTTTCTTTCTTTCTTTCTTTCTTTCTTTCTTTCTTTCTTTCTTTCTTTCTGTTTTCCTGGGTCTCTTTGGTCTCTTTGGTCTCTTTGCTCTCTTTGGCTTCTTTGGCTTCTTTGGTTTCTTTGGTTTCTTTGGATCGTTTGGTTTTAGTCTGCCTTGTTTGTTTTGTGGGTTTGTGGTGTTCGGTTCGTCTGGTTTGTTTGGATTGCTTGGTGTGTTTCTTGGGTTCGTTTCCTTGTGGTGACCCCAAATGGGTTGTTTCCCCGTGGTTTTCCTTCCAAATGCCATCCAGAGCCATAAGCCGAGTGAGGTGATGAACTCCAGCAAGCTGCAGACTTCCTCGGGGCTGGTGCGGGGCAGCTTCCGCCTCTACTTCGGCCGCGGCTGGACCGAGGCGCATCGGGGCTGGGAGCATGTTTTTTTCCCGTGGGGCGGTTGGGTTTGAAGGGAAGCCACAAGGAAAGTCTGCAGGGTGGGTCTTTTGGTGGTTGGAATCACTTTGCGCGGGTCTAAGTGGGAAAATGTGTCAACTTTTGGGTCTTTTGGTGGTTGGACTCACTTTGGAAGCACGAAGTTGGTTTCCGCGCCAAAGTGGAAAGATGTCATGTGGTTTCTGAAAGTGGCTTGTGACCCGTTTGGTTGGATTTGTAAGGGAAACGAAAAGGACGACATTGCCAGGCGTCTGATCCCTATTTGGAGAAACACCCAGATGGCCCTTTTCTCGACAATCCCAAACTCCAAGCCAACACAAAAAATGGCACCGTTCAAAAACACAGCCCCTAAATCCACCCCAAAACTGGTACCCTTCAAACAAATACCCCGCGTGGACCCATTCCCCATTTCATCCCCTTGAGAAATATCTAGGACCCCCTGCATCCTTGAATTATGAAATTGGTAACCCCCCCTCCTTTCCCCTCCTCGCCTTTGAAGCCTCTAGGAGTCGCAAAGCTTGGGGGCGGGCCACAACTTTGGGGAGGAGATCCCCAAAGGTGCTTTGCTTGGGGATCCCTCGACTCAGCTTTTGGAACCGCAAGGAACTCCCCTCCTGCATCCTGTAATTCTGAAATTGTAGCCCTTCTCTTCTTTACCCCCCTCCCCTTTGAAGCCTTGTAATTTCTGGAACTTCTGTAACATTTCCAGGAATCCTTGAAGGAACTCCGTGGCTCCGTGGCTCCTGCGTGGCTCCTCCCTGGCTCTCCTCCGTTCGCTTTCGCTTTCGGTTTTCCCCGTCCGAGGCCCTGCCGTACTACGGCTGGGCGCAGGTCCAGTCGGAGCTCACGCGGCTGCCGGGGCTGGCGGCGGTGACCACCTGGCCCTTGCAGGAGGCGACCGATTTTTTTTGATTCGGCGGGTGGGAAGCGGAAGCGGAGGAAAGCGAGAGGGGCGCAAAGTGGCGGTTTCGTTTTGGGGTACCCTCCCAGCCAGGTTGCCATCGGGCTCTTCAAAATATGTCCGCACAAGACGCATTCGGAGTAAGTGATACCTGAAGGGAAACTGTCTCAACCAAACTCATTGCTTGTGAGGTCAAGATGGCACGATGTTGGTTCCGTCTTGCGAAACTTGTTTTGCTCAAAGTGGCGCTTGGAGGTCATATGCCCGCGCTTGTGAATGTGAGAGGCAGGACCAGGGCCAGTGATTCTCAAGATATTTTCTCCCTTGTGGTTGACTTTCTTTGATGTCCGGGAGCAAATCAGATGGGTTCTCCGAAAACGCCGGAACGCGGGCTTTTCCACGCTTGAAACAGTGAGAAAGGGTGCCCTCAACAGGACAGAACCTTTTGGTCGTTTGACCCAGTTCTAAGGGTTTTTTGGTCTTTCTTTAGGAATCCTCCCCGTAACCTCTCCTCTCGCGGGATATCAGTTTTGAGTATTTCCGAGATCCCGCCATTTGGAACGAAGCATCGCCTATCTCGGACAAAGTTGGAGTTTCCTTTGGGTGGTTGGGCGGGGGGGAGGAATTTTCTGGGCACATTTTGTTGCGAGTTGCCTTCCTTTCAGCAATCATGGAACTCTGACAGGGGTTGACTGCTTTCCTTTCCGGCAAGCCCCTGATCGTCCACTTCCATGTTTGTTGGAAGGAGGGGCAGTAGGTTGCAACCAGGGTAAGGGTCTAACCCCAGTTGCCCCAGTTATATCCATGACACTAAGTATAGCTTACTTACCTGACGTTAGTGAGCAACAATGCTGGTTTCCTGAACCCATCTTGGACAAACAGTGCCCAGCAGCCAAACCGGAAGAACCAGGATGTTTTCTTTTCGGGGGACGCCCTCCTTTTTGGTTGAGTTTCAAGGGGCCCCAGAAGGACATCGACCATAAAGGTTCCCTCATTTAGAGACACACCCAACCCAGAGCTCCCTTCACACATCCACAATCCGGGGAAAGCAACGCATGACCAGACGCAGAAGAATGTCCCAGGATGAATAAACCCGTACCACTAAAAGGGGACCCCCCGGATCAAAATCAACCAGGGGTTCTACTTAGATCCGGGGTCAACATCATCCCACAGAGACAGGCCTCCATGAAACCCCAAAAAACCCGTCAAATCCGCGAGGTGCAGCAGGGCGGGCGCGAGGGCTGGAGCGTGGGTCTGCTTCTGCCGGGCGCTGGAGGCTGGAGACGAGAGACCCGCTCGAGACGGGCGTTTCTGACAATAGGAGAAAACTTCCTGCATCACTTCGAAACCATGAGAGACCATTGATTGTTGGCATTTATGGGGGGAATCATCATTCCAGGGTTTTCTTAGGTGCAGGATTTCGTCCATCCACAGTAGGAAACGCAGCTTATAGCTGGTTTCTTTTCGGTTTCCCTTTAAAACCATCTAAAAGGGGGTCCACCGTTTGAGAAAGGCGTGCGCCATTTGAGTCACTTGCTCAAAACCCGGGTAATTGGAGGGTAGTAAGGGCACCCCAGCCACAAATGGGTGCGGATATCCGCCGTTTCAATTCCTTGCATGGATCTGGGTAGACCATTTGTGTACCGTTTGGTTTATGTCTTACCCTCCTGTCCATGTTGCCATGGAACCTGACTGAGTGACTGAGGGTCCTGGAAGACTACATTCCTGGAAAAGGGACCCTCTGATGGGTTCCATGTTACCGGACAGGAGGATAAGGACTCGGTTTTCTTCATATTGTTTGGGTTGTTGACATTGATTCACGGAGTTTGACCTTTGGCGGACACACGCATTCCCAGTTTACCTTGTAGTTTTTTTAAGGGTCTCCTGCTGAAGATTTCAGAGTCAAAGCCCTGGAAATTGAATTGAAGGCTCGGGCATAAACGAGGTGTGCCAAGAGGCCCTTTTTGTCCATTCTTTACATTAGTTGGGGTATTGTCTTCACAAGGGACGCCCACCCATTCTTTTTGGAAGGGGGGGGGGGCTTTTGGGGCGGCCTTTTTGACACTGGCGGCTTGGGCAATAAGATTTGGTCGAGGGTACATTTGGGATGCAGGGCTCAAAACGTTTCCCCATGCATGTGATATTCCCATGTGGCTATGTCTTTGTTCAAGGAGCCCCGTTTTGGTTGGTTTTCGAAGGGAAACAAGACTAGGTTTTCCAGTAGTGCCCTTTGACCCATTTTTGGGGGAGGGTTCCCCTACTAAACTAGACTACAGAAAAATATCGGGTACCCGTATACAGAAAAGAAGGGTACCAACTTCTAGCCTCTCTGGAGGACCTAGAAGAGGAACACCAACTATGTGGCGTCTTCTTTTTTGGTCTTTTGGTTTTTGTTCCATTTTGGTCCCGGTTTTTTTTGCCACAGCCATTTGGCGGTTTTTTTTGGTCTTTTGGTTTTTGGGAAGGATCCCAACAGGCGGCGTGCCGTTGGCGCTCGGGCAGGCGGAGAGGACATGCCGCAGATCCAAGTGGACGCCTCGGAGCTCTCTGGCCCAGGCGGCGGAAAGCTCTCTCCGCGGGCGGCGAGAGCTGCTGTGGGGTTCCCGAAATTCTCTTGACTGCTGCTGGGTTGGATCTTTGGACCTCAACTTTTTGGTTGAAATATAAGCGGGTTTTCCACTAAACCCCCCAAAAAGTTAAAGACTTTTTGCAGTCAGCAGCAACCAAGTTCTGTGGACCCCGGAGGCCCCAAATGGCGATTTTTGGGTCAACACCGTTTTGGGATCCCATTTTGGGGTAGGTGCCCTACCCATTCTTGGCGTGTTTTTTTGGTGGGGATTGGGATGTTCACTGGGGGGGTACGGGCTTTTGGACCCAGGGTCCCAAATGGCATTTTTCGGGGTTGTCTCGAAATTTATTGGGCGCCCCAAAATGGCAGTGGTTTCTTTTGGCTTGCAACTACAAACGCAACCGTTTCGTGGGAGGCTCCCTCTAAAAAGTGACATACGCTGTTCAAAAGCACTCCTCAATCCTGACCGGAAGCGTGAGGGGTCGCCTTTTTGATTTCTTACTATTAGGATTGGTGAACCCTCCATTTTGAAGCATGGGGTTTCGAATCAGACCTTTTTAACCATCCATTCGTTTGAATTTGACATGGAGCCAACAATTCGGGGCCAATTCCCCGAAACCGGAGATTCCTCCAAAGAACGGGCGTTATCTGGGGGGTCCATGTTCAAGGCATTTCCGAATACGGATCTCGCCCCGTTTTACAAGTACATCTCCGCGCCCCATGCGAACCTCGATCAACCTTGCCCCATTGGGGGACAAAAAGCGCGGAGTTTTTTTTGGAACATGTACTTCGCTTCCTGAATGGATAGACCACTTCTTGTTTGCTACTAGAATGGTCCAAACCCAAAAAGCATGCAGGAACTCGGGCAGTGAGATGCCTGAACAGAAACAAGCATCCCCCGGGGTAAGGCTGGCAGGGTTGGGTTTTTATTTGTTTGCAAGACGTCAAAATCGCCGAAACAACCAGGGCAACCAGGGCCGGAGGTGGTGTAAATATGGTTGGGACATGCAAGTTGTTTTTTTTTGTTTAATCCCCCCGAGTCTGGCCGGTGTTGCGAAATGGGACCAAGCTCTCATGGCATTGGCTTGCCCAATGTTGACCTGGCTCGCGGACTTCAATCGCATGTTTCACGGACGTCCGCCAGGCGTTCATCTCACGGTGGATACTCTGGCGAACGGCTCCAGCGATCTGTTCCTGGAGGCACCAAGAGAGACTCCAGTGAGTCGCTGATAAAACCGAAGACGTAGTTTACTGTTGGATTGGGGAGGGCAGCGGTCACGGGCATCGCATTGGGCTTGCTGAGTTTCCCTGTGGGGTGATGTGTAAAGGGGAAATATCGGGAGCCCTGGGGACCCAAATTCCATGGGCGAAGAATCGCATTTGTGTTTTTTTTTGTGTGTTCTCGGGGATGACACAGAGTGGCTGGTATGTGCCATTCTCAAGGCACGCTACTTGAGGTTGGTATGGCAAAGGACCACGAGTACGGATTCCCGGTACGGGAACTGTGACCATGATCGTAGGATTTTTTGACCACTCATGCGATGCACCAATCCAACCGTAGATGCATGAGGGGGGACTGTCCATTTCGGGACCCGTTTCAGCTTTCGCCATTGGTCTTGCGCAAACTTGTTTAACTGCCACACGTTGATTGTGATTCATACGATTCCAAAACGATCGATTCGTCTGCCTGGAAATAAAACCAACACTTCGCAGCTTTTGTTTCCACCACTAAACAGCGTACACTTGGAGACCTTGTTGGGAACACGTGTACTTTACGCCTATGTGGGGTCCTACCTGGCAAATTTTGAGATAGCAATTGAACACAGGGCCCCCTCATTTCCCTGTTTTTGGACCTTTTAAAAGTGGGAATTTTGTTGGAACCCACCAGTAAACTGCAACTTGCGCAGGGGAAATCCAGCGACCCTTGGCTTCATAAACAGTGCTGGTTTCAGTCAGCTGGAGATGCACTCAAAATGAGGATGTTATTTGAGCAAACATCTCAATTCCCCCCCCCTCCCCAAAGAGAAAAGGAGGGCTTCGAGGTCCATTTGGCTTCTCCGGCGGCCCAAGGTAGACTCAATAGACATGGCTGCCTCGACTTTCCGGCCCTTTTTGGACCCAGGGCATGGGCATTCTTCCCTTGAGCCCAGTTTTTGGCAGTGAACCGTCGGAACCTGGGCAGTTCCGGCCATTGGTGCAAGAACCTCTTTGGATTCTTGGGCAGGCTCATGTCTTGACTTGACTTTGAGACGCATTGGATTATGACTCAACTACAACACAGGGCTTTCACGACTCAACTGTGAACATCTCAACTGTGAACATCAAGTTCTGATTATGCCACAAATGCGACGACGGCTCAGCGTTGTAAACACCGAGTATTGATTGTGGCTCACCTGGCCATGACTTTTCAGATTTTAAACCGCCTGAAAAGCGGTTCGTGGTCACGAATCCGCAATTTCTGATGTCCACCAGAGGGTCCATCCGACATCTTTCCTTGGTTCAACCCCCCCCATTCTTCCTTCAGAATGCCTTTTTCGATGACCCCCACCCCCACCCCAAAAGAATTTTCCCACGGCGCGCCTTGGATGAAACGAAGGGCGCGTGCCTCCCATCGGGACCCTTGGTTTGGATCGAAAGGAGATCCCGGCAGATTGGTTCCGCACCCCGCACTCGCAGCAGCAGGCGCTGGAGGGTCTGGAGGGGTGAAGGGGGTTCCCGAAACGTCTGGAGCCTGAAGCTTTTTTTCCAGAAGACCTGGGTGTGTCCTTTATTTTTTTCCGGAGTTGGTACCTTTTTTTTAATAGGGAAGCCATGGGGTTCTTGGAGTGGGGGGTTTTAGGGCACCTTGGCATGTGAACCCCAAGGTTTCTTTTTGGGAGTGTGTCTTACACCTCAAAGCCTTGGAGTTCATTTTCTCAAACAAGACACCCATGGGAGCGCGCAGTGCGAAATCTTCCCTTCCACAACTCCGTGAAGGTGGCCGGACCTCTGAGATCCCCACTCCCTTGGAACTGGGGGAGGGGGGTGAACTCCCTTAAATATGGAACTGGGGGAGGGGTGACCCCTGAAATTCCATTTATGGTCCCGTTTCCTTAGTAAGGGGACTAGAGAACTGGAATTGGAGACCACCCACCCTCCTCCCCCTTATGGTGGATCCTTTGAGTTCAAGGGACAGAAAAGTCGTCGATCCTCCCAAAGCTCCGCCGGACTTCCCAGGGATGAATCCCATGTGGCTGTGGTTGTCAAAACCGTTTTGGGATCCCATTTTGGTTGGTAGGTGCACCACCCGTTTTAGAACCTATCTTAGTGGGACCTATTTTAGTGGGGATTGGGATGTTCACTGGGGGTAAGGGCTTTTGACCCATGGCCATGTGTTGACCGAGCTTTTGAACGTCTCTCGCTATTTTGAACTAGTATGTGAACGTTTGGTCAAAGTGAGGTTTTGGTAGTTTTCTTTTGGCTTTCCTACGAAACTTCTCCAAATAGATTCCGGTTCCCTTTGAGCCAACCAACTGAGTGGCAAGCCTCTTGGGCAAGTCAGGTGGCTATACATTTTCATATCTCTGTAAATGCCCCCTTTTCGAGACTTGCAAAAGCAAACGCAGTCATCGTCATGAGAGCATGCTCTGTGTGTAGTTGTTGAACCCTTTGGATGGCAATGATTTTTCAGTGGGACCAGGGAATCAAGCAACAACACGGGAATGAGCCCGCGGTGCCTGCTAGCACCACAAGCCGCCCCACCGCAAGGCAAACATGCAAAACAACATGAACTTTTGGAGGTTCAACGAGAAATCTCAAGGACCTCTAAAAGTTCATGCTGTTTTGCGCTTTGAAGAGAAGACTCGCCCACAAGCAAACATGCTGGTGGAGCGTAGGGGGGCGTTTTGGGATGCCGGTTCTTGGAAGCTGGGTCTTACGAGGGAACCCGTTTTCGTTTTCTGGGTGTCTGTTGGTTTTCCCTTTCCCAAGCGGTCCCAATCCCAGTGAGAAGCCTCCTGGCTGAGTTCAAGGGGTTTCCCCCCGCCTTCACGGCCAGGGTCGGACCGGTCGGCAGCCACCGGGCCCCTGGAAAGGGAAATCCACTAATAAAAATGTCAATTTGGCTTGCACATGTAGGCCGGCCCCGCGGCCTTTCTTTTTGCCCCGGGGTTCGCCCCCCGCGTCATTTCTTTTTTTGTCCCCTCGCACGGATTTATTTCGGCCGAGGCCAGGAGGGCAACTACCCCACCCGCCGGTTGAAATCATACACCAGGCATTTTCACGCACACCTCAGGACTTTTCCCACAAAGCCGGGGTTGGTCGGAGCAGTTGCCCAGTTTCTTTCCATGGTTATAACGTACGAAGGTGGTTGGACATCCAAGTAGATCAACATTCCTGGCCCCCAAATGACCATGCAGAACTTGTCCCGTTTAGTGAGAATAATCATCCTTCTTTGGTGTTGATCAATATTCCTGGCCCCCAAAACAATCTTCTTTGATGGTTTTCCCGCTGGTCATTTCATGTAAAGGAACTTTTCATCAGCCCCCAGTTGGAGGAGGTACTGTGGACGAAATCCATTGCGCCACCCAAGAAACCCTGGAATGATTCGTTTCCCGTACCCACAAACGTAATGGTTCCAACCATGGTTTCAAGTGGTGCGAAATGGATTTCGTCCATCCACAGTATAACCCCTGATGGGGGTCCCTTACTAGCGTCCAGTGGTAAGAATCTTGGGGATCCAAAAACCTTCGAAGGAGATCCCCGAAACCCCTTGCAACTTTTCAGCACCCCCCCATTTGGGTGTGGCTCAGGATTAAACAGCTGGGCTTTCCGCAGGTCTTGGGTTTCCAGTTTCCACTTTCCCGGGCGCTTGCCATTTTGGACTTCCGTTTTTTTTCTTCAGCCATACCCATCTCTCTAAAGCCTCAACCCCACCCCAGACACCCAGCCATGAGGAGCTCGGTCCCTCGGGTTTCTCGACGGCCAGGTGGTGGTGGAGAGCAACGGGGTGCGAGCCGCGGGGCTGGGGGAAGCTGGCGCGGCCCTCCGCCGCAGCGAGGACTTCACGCCGCGGCTGATGGAGCTGAGCCCCTGGAGGGTGCAGGCGCAAGCCGGGGCCGCGGGGCGGGGGGCCGAGCTTGGTGGGCCCTTCTTGGTGAACATATTTTTTTGGGGCTCCCCCGGCCGTGGCTTTGGTTTCTGTGTTCACCCGCCCCAAAACTTGGAGGCACGCTCTTGGGCGTTTCTCAAAATGAAGCAGCTCTAAGAATGGCCGGATCTTGGATTTCCGCGGCCGGAGCTTTGGTTGCTGTGTTTACCCGTTCCATTTCCCGCTTCCTTTTGAACTGCCCCGCGCAAGGAGAATTGGATGTGTGGTCTTTTTTCTAGGAGACCCTCAAAATGGGTGGGTGTTCCTGCTGCTTTCCCTTCAAAACCGCCAAAACAACACGCCTAGAAAACCAACAAAGACAAGGTCGCCTCAACACAGACACACCTTGGATAGGCCTCATTTTTAAGAATCAGCTTTCCTCCCATACCACCAATTAGAGGTTTGGCTTTTCAGCTGGCTTTTGTCTCGGACCCGTTTGCCTGGAGATCCCATTGCCTCTGGTGACTACTAGGTCCCCCGGTAGTGCCCTTCTCTCCCAAATCTTTTTTGGTTGGGAGGGAACCCCCCTACTAAACTGGACAGAAAAAAGAAACAAATATGGTACCAACTTATTCTAACCTCTCAAACCTGGAGGACCATCGATTCGGTGACTCGGATCCATCGATTCGTTGCTCGTGGCTCGTGGCTCGTTTCGGCTTGGGATGGGATCGTCAGGTGGGCGCCGAGGTGATCCTGCGCTTGGATCGAGTGGCGGCTCGCTCGCTCGGCGCAATTCGGGAGGTTCGGTGCTTCTGGGGTTGCCTGGCATGAAGATATGGGTCAAACTGAAACCAGGGAACCAGAGGTTTTAGTCCTTGGTTCCTTTTGCCAGTCCAACTGGGGTACCTATTTTTGACCCACAGCCATATGTTATTTGTTTCCCCTGGTGGGTTTTAAGGGGAATCTATCACTACTGCTGGCTGTTGGTTTTCAGAAGATGCCTATGCAATCTTTTTCAGACGCTTGATCTCAAAATCAGCGCTTCCCCAGTGTCGACTTGATACTTTTTGGGTGCTCATGAAGTTCAAACTCTTGTGCGGGAAGTGACTAGAGGATGAAGGCGTCCAGTCGCGTTCAAAGCGTCATACCTCAACAAGTGGGCATTTGGAGTGGGAACCGAGAGGTTTTGAGACCTCAGCAGGGTCCTTTTGAGACTACTTGGAGAGTTGGCCTACGACCGATTGAAATGAGAAGAAGATGGCTTTCGTCAACTGGGTTGTCCTTCCAGGAGGCGGGTGTGGCCATTCTCCCCATCAGGTAGCTTAACAGGACGGTCTGCAGAGTGAATTCCAACTCAACGTAAGCAGCAAGACCAGCCAGATCTGGCCGCAAGAACGCCTGGTGAGAGATTCTGGGATATTGCAATTGAAGACCACCACATCCAAACAGTAAGATCCAGCTTGTTGCAAGTACTTGTTTGCATTTTGTTGCCCTCGTGTTGGTCTTGAAGATAGCCGAAAGGAAGGCAAAAGGGTTGGGGGATCCTTCCTTCGGGTTTGGGACTTATAGCAGAATAGTAACAAAAACGGTTTGGTGCGCAGATTTGTTGGACGGGTTGCCTCAAAAAATAATGCCACTCGTCTTGGCAGGCTTTTTTGTATAATTCTACTTTGCTTTTTGTCTTTTTCATGTTTCGCGGTGGGCTGCAACAATTGCTTGGAGAGGGAACAACGTGCCAAGTACTGGAGAGGGAACCACATGGTGTCCATTTTTCACTTCACAGGCGTGGGCTTCCTTGGGCAATCCTGCAGCGGCATAGCTGGCACCCCTGCTCCAAATACTTTTCTTCTTCTTTTTTAATTAGAAGAGACAACCACATACGTAAGTTTCAAGAGCCAGGTTTATCCACGGGTCTTTATGCCTCCTGTTTTAGTCAGGGTTGACGCCATACACTCCCTGAAAGCAGGTACGGCAGGGGGAGATTGGGTTCCGGGAAAGAAAGGTGCAGAGCTCAACCCCCGGGTATTCAAATTCATACCGGGACAAAAGGAGCGTCGATCAGGTTTTCTGGGACCAAGAGGACCTGAACCCAACATGAGCCACAAGCAAAACCTGGGTAGATGAAGGTTAGTAAGGGAGAGATCCGCCTTCTTAATTCTTGAAGCATGGTTCTGGGATTACGACCATTTTGATTCCGGGGTTTGATGATGACTCATATGGGGTTTGCCCTTAGCCAAAAGAAAAAAAAACGGTCTCCTTCAAGGCCACTGGAGGTCGCACCGCATCGACTGTTTCGATGTTTGACCGGACGTTTTGGAGGCCCAGGGCTCTTTGTGTCCTCGTTATTCTTTGGTGGATCGGAGTCCACTGGTTTCGGGTTTTTTGCTTCTTGCACCAGTACACCAAGGTCTTCAGCCCTTTTCCAAGCGCATCTTTTTCCAACACGTGTTTCTTTTCCCCCACCATTTTTTCCAAAACCATGTTGTACCGCTTTTTTCCCCTCTTCTTCTCCTATTCTTTTCTCCAGGATCGTTTGTTTCCGCGTTGTTTTTTCTTTTCTTTTTATTTCTTCTTGTTTTCCCCATTTTTTAAAGCACATTTTTGCCAGTACAACAGCTCAATAATAAACAAGTCCAAGCGGACACCGAGGATGGGAACCACCTGCGGAGCCTAAAGATAGCGCCCTTCACTCTGATGATCGGCCCCGTGTTGTGCAACATGACGCCGAGGCCTCAGCCGAAACGGGTCGCCCCCTCCACCCCCCCTCCCTCCCCCACGATTTTGTTTTGCTTTTTCTGCGCGTGTGCCCGTTGCTTTGTGGTAAAGTTGTTAGTAGATCAGCGATTCCTACCGATATGCGACAAAAAAGGAAACCCAATCCAAATTCCCTAGGTTGATTCGACCACTCCTGCCAAGCTGCCAAGCTCGTGCCTCGACTCTAAAGAAATCAAGTAGCAGAACCAGGGGTGGCGGGCGCTCACATGGGTCAGTGACATCCGCAAACGTACTTTTTGATCGGACTCCGGAACCCCAAAAGAATCTAGGTCAACCTTCTGAGGGTACGGACGGGGACGACCCCCCATGAACCATCCCTTTCCGAATCGGAACCAGCAAGTTTGAGGCCCAAACACGTGGTCAAACTTCGGGGGATCCCCGGCATGGCAACGGATTCCTTTTGCTGTCCCTAAAACAGCCAGAAACCAGACCAACTCCCTAACTTCATCAAACAAACCAAGTAGTTTGGGTGAGAAATTGTCAACTTGGTCGTTCCAGTTGGCTTAAAGAAGAACAAACAAACTGGGGAATAAACCTGGCACGCGTGCCCTCCTTGAATGATGTTGGCGTGTCCAGCTTGCGACTTCTCCATCGGCTCACCTTTTAATACCTTCCGACGATCATGCACATGCTGCCAGAGATTGTGGCAATGCGCGAACTGTGTCTTTTTCTGGCTTTAGAGCTTCCCGATGTAGCTCCCCTCTTCGTATGAGGCGGAGAGGAGTGCTAGTGAGCAGATGACTGCTCCCCAAATAGGACGCAATACAGGATGGTTCATGGAGGGGGGGTTCATTATTCCTCATTCCTTGAGAAACAGCAAGAAAAAGGGTTCCTCGAAGCAAAGAAGCACATACAGGATTGGCTCTGCCAACATAGTTGCGGAAGATTTCTATAGGCCTCAAGCCTATGTTCAACCAGATAGGAATTGAACCACCTAATCGCCGCTGTCAAACCATGCTAGCCAGCCAACGGGGGTTGATGGCCCGCATAACTTACTCCCTCTTTTCGGTGGCGAGTCAGTTTTTTTTTCAGATTTTGTTTTCGTTTCATTCGAAAGGGCAGGAGGGGGTGAGTGGGGAAGCGGGGAGGTGCTTCTGACCTCTCTATGTGGGATGAACCCCATTTCAGCGTGAGGGAATGTTTTGAAAAACTGCGTTAAGTACAGTACGTAAGCCTTGAATGGATTGCTGATTAGAAAAGCTGAAAACCCTGGTGCTCTCACCAACAAAAGGGGGGTGGTACCCCCTACTCCAAATACCCCGATTGTTTTGTTTGAAGAACAGCCTGGCTTTCCATGGTAAATACCTCCCCCCCTGACAATCATTCGACATCATACCCAAAAACAAGCGGGTATTTGGAGGGGGTATTTGGAGAACGAGGAGAGGACTCAGACGATTCATGGATCCGCGCTCGTTCGAACATTGATCGATCTCATTCCGAGGTCTTTTTCTTGCGCCTGGGTTGCAAAGAGAAGGAGCGAGCTCCTAGTGGATCCCAGGGGACCCTTTGCCATTTTCCCTGCGACCAAGTGGGGTGGTTGTCTAAGTGAAATTTGACTGGGACCAACCTAACAGTGGTTGGTGGACATGAGTCATGTGAAAATGCCAAGGGGTCCCCACTCAACATTTATACCAACATGTGGTGTTCTATGATGTTCGGTCAAAATATCCAGAGATCTATGGTCAATTTGGCGGGGTCCATGAGTTAGCAAACCAACCCCCCACCAGGAGCTCTGAACAAGGTTTCTTTAAGCACCTTGCGCCAGGTACGCAAGCACCCCGAAAGCTGCGATACATTCGGGCGAGGGAACAAGTCAACTTTGCCAGCTGATTCAGACCAGGTCCCCCAGTAGTGCCCTTCTCTCCCCTTTTTGGGGGAGGGTTCCCCTTCTAAAATAGACTACAGAAAAAAGGGTGGCCTTATTCCAACCTCTTTACTGGAGGACCTAGCAGAGGATCCGCGCGTAAAGCAGGTGGTTGTTCATGGGGTGCCCTTGTTGGCTTGAAGGGGAAGCCCTCTCTTGAATATCGGTTTTATCCATTGAAACCTCAGGTGAACCCCGGATCCGCAAGCCAGTCGTCGATCTCCTTGGATGGGGGAACGTCCTGTGGGCCGGATCACATTGTGGGTGCCACCTCCCTATCAAGAAGACGGGTTTGAGGAATTTTCCGGGGTCAGCACCGGGGGAGCGGCCAGAAAGCCGAGCAGAGGAACCCGCCAAAGGTTGGGGTCGGTTTTTGTACATCACCTCTTGGGCCTGTTTAGAGTTATCTTCCTTGCAAAATGATGTTCAAGGAGGACAAGCGTTGTTTTTTAGAGGACCCTCAAATCAGCGGGGTTTCATCCTTTCTGTTTTCCCTCCTGTTTTCCCTTCAAAACGGACAAACGCTGGGGTACCCTCCAACACACACACACACCCAGAGGGAACCCTGCTTGAACATCATGCCACAAGGCCTGCAGCTGCACCACGCAAGTGCCCTCGTTCTGGAGATCCTTTGGCCCGGATGGGCTTTGGTACTATCCTTTCTTTCTGTGGGAAGCTTCGAGACTCGGCTGCCGATGTTTCAGGCAACTCTGAGCTACGCTGCGCCCCTTCATTTTTACGTCGCCAGCCCCCGTCTTCGAGCCAGGTGAGAACGGAGAGGAGCGGAACTGTGGCGCCCGGTTCTTAGGTACCTGGGCGGGGGGGGCTGACGTGGGCACCCTCCCCAAGCTACCATGTCAGTGGGCGGCAGAATGCATGTTGACCGTGGCTCACGTGAAGTTTGGTCAACATATTTGCAGTCTATGGGCTGGTCGACGTGGGATGAGTCCCTAAAAACAAGGGACGAAGCCTGTTCCCATGTCCTTTATACAGGAGCCTCAGGGCGTATGACTCGCTGATTTCCATGTGGAGACTTCGGACTGTCGTCCGCGCCACGACTTTGCTATCTCGGGATCGGGCCACTTGTTGCGTGGACCTGGATCCTATCCCGGACAATATGGTTGTATATCCAACAGTCAATGACAGCAAGCTCCCCAAACTGAAAGCTTTCGTCTTCCGAACCCCTCCCACCGCCCCAGCTTCCACGAATTTAAAGGAAGGGAGGGTACCCTTTCTGGACAGACGTCTTTGTCTCAGGGTTTTCCATTTGTTTCCCTTTAACACCCCAGTTGCCCAGTGGTGCCCTTTCCTGTCTTTGGGAAGGGTTCCCCTTTAAAGTCAACCAACCAAAAAAGGATGCCCTGTTTTAGCTGTCTGGCCCAAATCCATTCAGCTCAGGGAGTAGGGCCCCCGGGGACCTGCGACACTCCATGGTGCGTTGGTCGTCCACCAAGCTGTGGTCTCCTCCACAGTGCCCCGCTTTTCGTGTGCGGGGCCCCCTAGTGGCCTCCCTGCTGTGCCCGTTGTGCTGTTGGCGTGCTGTTCCCCCTTTTTGGTGGTGTCGCCCTTTCCCCTGGCTTGGTCTCTTTCGTTGATGGCTGCTTCGCTTTGGTCCTGGTGTGTGGGTTGCTTTGGTGGGGTTCCGCTGCATGTGCCCATCCCTGCGTTAGGGATGGGCCCTGTTCTTCGGCCCCCTCCTCTCACTGCATGGTGGCGATTTGATGCCCCAGGTGCCGGGTGCAAACCTCATGGTCCCTCCCCGGGTGTTCCACTTCCGGCAGTGATTTATACTTTGTGGTGCTGCTGCTCTACATTCCTTGTGGCCTTGGTGATTTTGCCTCTCTGGAGACCTACAGTTGTACAGTGTTTCGGCTTTTCTCTACTACTTGGGCGTTGCTACATCCTCATCTACCGGACTTGTGGGGTTGATAATCAACCGGTAGCTGTTCAACGTGACGGTGCCCAGCAACAGCATTTTATGCCGACTTTCCTCGGGCCTTTTCGTTTGTTTCCCTCGCCTAGCAGTACAGTGGTTGCAGTGGTGGTGGGAGCTGGCTTTAGCTTTGCCTACTTAGCGCCTGTGCGGCCCTGGATGCTGGCCTTTCCCGACTTGGGTACGTGTACAAGCAGATTTCCGAATCCGCTTGGCAGTGTGAGGTTCTCAATGGCATGGTGAAGTTTGTGCAGATGCTTGGCGCCCTGGGCATTGTGCTGAAGGGCATCGTGTTGTCCTACTGGCAAGCCCCGATGAAGCGAACCATGCAGACCCGGCTCAATGCCGTGGATGCTTTGCTGACTACGCTTGTGACCTGATGCCGTCAGCCCCTGTTGGTGGCGCTCTGGTTTTTGTTTCATCCTCACCTCGTTGAGTGCCAGTTCTTTTCTCCACAGCGATGGCTGTGGTATGTGTCACTGGTGGGCACCCGTCCCACCAGGCCTGTTCAGATGGTTGGGCGGCATGCCCCTCCGTCAGCTGGCGAACTCGTCGCCCGCCGTGTGCCAAAAGGATGCCCTGTTTTTCCCATGGCAATCCACTGGGCAACTGAGACCTCCTCCCAAAAACGAGGACCCCCCAGGTTCCGAAGCAGCCCATGCGAGGCCTACCCGGAGGTTTGGAACGCCCGGTGCACGGTGCCGGACGGCCGAGCAGGGCAGCATGCAGTCCAGGCGCCCGGACGGAAATCGGAGCCGCGAGGTCAGAGATGCTAACATGGCCATGGTTCAACACCAACCGGGACAGCCCGTGAAATTCAATCCAAACCCTTAGGCCTAAAAGGGCACCAAAGATGTGAGTTGTCCAAAGCGAATTGGCCTTTTACCTTTTGGTTTCCTATTTGGCCATGGTTCAACACCAATGGGATCCCATTTTGGGAGAGGTGAATTCACCACCCATTTTAGAAGCTATTTTAGTGGTTGGATTGGGATGTTCACAGAAAATACGGGGGTTTGACCCATGGCCACATGGACCAGGTGTTCTTCTAGAAAACGGTTTGGAATTGAAGTCCTGTTTCGTGGATTTCGCCGATTTGCCTTCCCCTGGTCCAATTTTTGAGTGATATTTTATATTCTAGGGTGGATAAACAAAAGCCACATCCAAGCCGTTTTCCAGAGTTCTCTCCCCATTATCGCTTTAGATATGGTCATGTTTGCTGGTTTTTCTGTTTCGAAGGCTCTCGGAGCCTTAAAGCTTAGGCCTCAAGCATGGCATAGCGATATTCTACTCACGCAAGTAGGGAACGGAAACCTCAGTTTTTTTCTTGAGGGGTCCAGGTAGTGGTTTCGCACTGTGATGGTCAAGAGTCAAGGGCCCCACGTACTATTTGGGTGTTCAGCTCAGGTAAGTAGGTTGCAACCAAGTTGACAGGACTAACCCCAACCCACGTTATATCCATGGTTCTATCCTACTCACTGAGTTGGCTGAATATGCAAGTGGCTGCTTTTGGTTGGATCTTGGTGAGACCTGCTTAGTTAGTATTTTGCTTGCTTCGATTTGGTTGGATCTTTAGGCAGTTTCGCTGTTGGGGGACATGCGCTTTTGCCCCATAGGGCGTCAACCTTTTTGCACTGGGCCAGGTCTGACCTCTGTGCTTAAGGTGCAGAAAAAGAAGCTGAGAGGCACCTCATGGATTTCCTCAGCATGCGTTGTTTGAGGTCCCCTCTCTGCGCCACAGGCCAACAGGATGCATGGGCCCATGGCACATTCCCCATGTCTTCACGGGTTTGAAGTCGGCCAAGCTCGGAGCCCTAGCCAAAGACAGGAGACAAATGTCCCCTGAAAAAACATCCAAGATCATGCTGAAATGGGCGAGTCAGCCAAAGGTGATGTTCAGCGAGACATATACAAGACTCCCTGGAACACCAAAGAAAAAAATGGGTCACACGAGTTGGACGATTTTGCAGCTTACTGCAATGCCACGTTTCCATGTTTGGTTCACCTCTCTGGGCTGGATTTTGGTAGTGCTCAATGTTTGGCCCGGCCATGGCCCATTGGGTTGAAATCCACAGGGCTCATCCAAGACCCCAAAGGACACTGCGCCCAGAGACTTCGCTCAGCTTTTTCGGGCCAACCGAAGTTGAATGGCTTTGGTTTTCAGGTTCAACTCTTCACATGTTCACTTTGGACCAACGCGCAGTTCTCCCACAAGCCACACGTGAATGCAAAAGGTCAATACTGTCTACTGTGGGGCTCTCATCAAATGACCATCAAATGACCATTGGAAAATAGGGGAAATAGCTCACCAAGATCGGATGTCACTGTTTTTGGTTTTTGCTGGAACTTGACTCTCGACCCACTTTTTGCATCAGTGGACCTGCTCTTGATCTATCCGTGCGAGTGAATGCATGGACCGGTTCATAGTCACTGCCAATATTTGGGGGTGTCTATTTTTGAGGGTCCTTTTTTTAATAAGGGAGCAACAGGCCACACAATCTTTCAGGGTCCCATATGTTGAGACAACTCCATTTTGGTCTACTGTTGGCCTGGACGGGCGAGGAAGGGGGGCCACCGCAAATCCAGAGAGATCATTGGCTCATGTTCCCGGGGGGGCCAATCTGGCATATGTTGGCTTTTCCCGGCTCAAATGGAAACCTGACTCCCAAAATGGGCTTTTGGGTTCAGTCCTGTTTAGAAACCCGGAACCAAGACCAAAGCAGCCGCCAAAACTGGGCCAAAACCAAACCCGCCAAGCCAAGATACAGGCGTTTCTCACACAGCTAGAAGTTCTCCCAAGCCATCCACAAAACGCGGGGGCAACCTTCCCCTTGCGCCCATGCGCCTGTTGCGGCGGTCGGTCGGGACCAAACACTCCCGCCAGGTGCTGGTGGAGGGCCAAGGCCGAGCGCAGTACACCAACGTGACCGTGGCCTTGCGCCGCGGCCGGGAGTTAGATGGGATCAGAGGAATCTGACGGTTTCGGTGTGTGTGTGTGTGTGTCTTTTTTGGGCCCCCCTGAGAAGATGTTTGTTTAAATTGGGATGGAAACAAACGTGTGTGTGTGTGTGTGTTGGTAAGTTTTTGTTTTTGTTATTGTAAGGTTTTTGATCCGAACATCGGCATTCCTGAAGCCATCTTCCCTTAGCAGGAAACATGTCACTTGTGGCAGGGGTTCGGATCAGTCTGTACAGCATTTAGCTCCCTCTCTTTTGAGACTCCTCCAATGCAAACAGTGACCCCATACTGTAAAGGCCACCCCGGGCCCTCCAATGAAGAACCCCTAGCGACCATTTCCTCAGAAACCAATCGGGTCTCTTGTCGTCAAGGTAAAGGGTCTACGGAAAGGGGCGCTTTCATTCTCCACCTTTTGGTCAAACTCTAGGGTTTTCTTTTTGGGTAGCCGGCGCAAGGGGCCCAGAGGTTTTAAGAGGGTTCAAAAGGTTTGGACAACGGAGACCTTCACTTCAAGACGACGTCCTTTCTTGACTTCCCACGCTGGGAAAGGGAATGTTTGCGCATGATTGGATCTTCCACATCACCCCCCCCAGTAATATACCAAACCCCGACAGGACGATGTCTTCAAAGCCCTCGGGCGGTCAACGAAACAACTCACCGGGTTGAGTTCCGGCCACATGGGTTGAAGTCCTTTCAGTGGATGGGGGTTTGTTTCTGGAAGTGGGTTTTGGCCCCTTTGGGAAAAACAACGATTTGGACCCTTTCAGCTGCGGAAGCCCTTGCCCGATCATTTCCCCATGATTCCCGGGTCAAAAGGTGAAGCATGGTTCGGGTTGGAAGGATGCTGCATATGTTCGGAGGCGAACAACATCTGAGCTAAGACCCCCCCAAAAAAAAACAACGCAGGATCCACTCCTGGTGGGTGTCTCCGCAAGTAGCAAGCCCCTGAAACTGGGCGGCCCTTCTGGTTCCCTCAGCCACCCAAAACGAGAGTGCGGCCGTAGGCCCGTGCCCGTCATTGACTATGTGCCGGAGCTCCACTTGGCTACTCGGCGCATCGCAGCGCGGGTCAGAGTTTTCTTGCGGCAGAGTGACTCAGAAAAGCAGTCAACATGTACTGTCATCTCCGGGGAATGACATTGGGCGCGCTCACCAAATTGCCAGTAAGATTCGAGATGGCCTCACCATACTGTGTAACATAGACCATGGTTCATAAAACCAGCTTACCTCCAATTGGTGATTTGGATTGGTGGTTTCGCGCTTCGGCGTGGCTTCTCATATACCCTCTGTAAGAACCAGGGGTTCAAATCCGCAAACCACCAATCCAAACTAACATGGGGATCCAGTGGTTTTTCCAACTCCAACATTGGAGATAAACCCACACCTAAAGCTGGTGTTAACACAAAGGCCTGCGCGGGCAAAACAGGGTTTGCTGATGCCAACATGGCTGCACAATTACACCTAGCCCAGCAATTCATACTCTAGCTTTTCAGTTGGTATGATGTCAAATGATGGCAGCCCCTAACTAAAAATGCAGGTATTTATCACTGAACACTTGGTTGTTCAACATATACCCAAGGAACAGTGGGCATTCGGAGGTTACCGGGGGTACTCGTTTACTCCTCAAAGAACGACGAACATTGGTGAAGGTTTCCTTCTATAGGATCAAGCCCTCCCCAACCTCCCAACCTCCCAACCTCCCAACCTCCCAACCTCCCAACTTCCCCACCCCCCTCTCCCCCCAGATCCTGGTTTTCTGCAGACAAGAAAATTGTTTCAGCAGAAGAGTCCCATCTTTAGGGCGCTTGGGTCATGTGTTCAGTGTTCTTCTTTTGGTTTACCTCGTGGTTGAAGGACACCCCCGCTTTTCTCCGACGCACCGCTTTTTTGGGGAAAGCATGGGTTCCACGCGATCGTTTTTGTTGGGTTCCACGGAGAAACAGACCTGGAGGAAACGGACAACATGGTTCTTGCAAGCACCGAGCGGTTTCCTGCTTTTTTGTAGTCGACTCTGGAACGAGGCTTATGAATTCCTGAAGGGGGCCTGTTAGTCGGTGCTTCTACTGTTTTCTTGGAAAGCTGTGCCACCAACACCTGCGATGGGAGGGTGGAGGTTTCCGGCCTTTGAGTCCTAGTCTTGGCTTCCCTCGATTGGTTCCCTGAAAGTGCCCCTGATTCTTCAAGGCCTCAACAAAGGGTATGTTTGGAAATTCGGTTGACCCTCCCCCCGATTCCCTGCATGGACCCCCGCGGCCTCATCTTAAGGAGCCGATTTTTTTGGGCCCAACGGCAACGGCACGTCACTGATCTCCGGCGAGCGAGCTCTAGCGAAACCGTGAGGTGTCGCAAGGTAGAATCCCACAAAGCGCAGCACAATTCAGAGACAAACCCCAGATGTTGATCATCAAGTATTCAGCTTGCCCCCCTACTTCAAATACCCGCTTTTTTTCAGCTTGCAGGTTTTTTGGTGGTTTTCCTTTTGGCTTCCCTTCGAGCCAACCTCAGGTTCCTGGGCGCATTTGGCCCAACTCATTTCGGACGGTGTTCCGGATTTCCAAAAGAAAGCCAGGGTCCACACGGGGCCCCGTCACCTCCAAATTCCCGCCTGGTTGGGCATGTTTTGAACCACCAGCGGTTTTCCATGCTATATACATCTGTCTTTAGTCCACGGGCTGACATCATTTGACTTCTAAGACACGCCGGGGTTTTGGAAGAATACCGTCCTTGTAATTCTTCAGCCCCATTGTTTGTTGGTATTTACAGGAGAATCATCATTCCAGGGTTTCTTAGGTGCAGGATTTCGTCCATCCACAGTATGGACCTCAAGCACCATGCCTTTTTTGGTTTCAAAAGGAATGGTTCTACTCCCCAAACCACCAACAAAAGAACCAACATGGGGATCCCTTCGTTTCTGTTTTACAGCCCCCAGATTGTTGTTGGGAGATAAGCCAACAAAAAGGTGAGACTCACCAACATGGGGGTCCCTTTTCAATCGCCCAACGTGATCTTTGGGGATAAACCAAACAAAGTGGGCTCCCCTTTTTTTTGAACCCCTCCCCATTATTTTTGTTGACCCCCCCCTCCCTTTTTCCAACCCATCCCCCCCCCATTAAGGGGGGTCAACAATAAGCTCAGGGGATATCCCCAGCAGCATGCGGTGCTGTTTTTGGTGCTCGCACCACTCCGCAGCCCTCGCAGAACCTCGTGGAACCTTCGTGGAGCCCTCGTGGAACCCTCGTGGAACCCTCGTGGAACCCTGGTGGAACCTTACCTCAGTTCCGCCCCGGACCACCCCGGAGCCTATCTGGGCTGAGACCCCAAAGCTTTCAGCTGCTGGGGTACATAGTGCGGGGGGTGAAGAAAATGATGCTTCCAATAAAAGGTGAAGACTCACCAACATGGAAAGTCCCTTTTCCACCGCCCAACGTGTTTTTTGGAGATACAGCAAAAAAAAGTGAGACTCACCATGAACACGGGGATCACTTTTCCAATGGACATAAGCCAACAAAAAGACGTGAGACAGATGTTTTTTTTTTTACACAGGGGTTGGCCGACGTTCTAAACCTCATCCGTTTCAGCGGCTTTCGAGGTGCGTCCCGGCCGCGGCAGCTGGGCGGTTGCCTCGGTGTGGAAGAGGTTCGGCTTGAAACTGGAGCCCCGTATATATGTACCAGTCCCTGGGCCACGTACCCCCCCCCCCCCCCAATCGTATGGTCCCCCCATTCCCCCGCATCATCCGCATCTTGGGGATGATGCTGGCAATGCTGGGGATGCTGTCCAGTACCGTGCGAGCCCTGCAGCTTCGGTCCCAGACCCCCTTTCACCCCGTGAACCAACACCCCCGCACCTCTCGCAACATCCTACCCTAAACCAAACCACCCTGCAACCCCTCCTTAACCCCAACCCTAAGCCTAAATCAACCCAAAACCCAAACCCACCCGAAACCCACCGCAAACCAACCCTGAACCAACCCTGAACCAACCCTAAACCAACCCACCAAGCCTAAACCAACTCCGAACCACACCCAACCACCCAACCACCCAACCACCCAACCACCCAACCACCCCACCACCCCACCACCCCACCACCCACCCCACCCCCCACAAAGGGGGGGGGTTGGCCCAACCACCCAACCACCCAACCACCACCCCACAACCCCACCACCACCCCACCACCCACCCACCCCACCCCCACAGGGGGGGGGGGTTGGGGGGGGAGGGGGGGGGTCCACGGCCTGGAACATATATGTATTATTATATTATATTAAATTATATTATATTATATTATATTATATTATATTATATTATATTATGCATACATTTACCTGGTACAGATAGACTACAGCCCTCGCCCGTGAGTACAACAGGTGCCGCGCTTACACACACAGGCTTACACAGCCACTTTCACTTTAACAGATATACCTAGAAACATATGTATATATATATATATATATATATGCTCACCCCCCCCCCCCCCAGGGCCTACCTTTCCACTTCAAAATGTACAAAACCCTCTTATTTTTGAGGACAGGGGGTGTGAGCATATATACGCAAGAAGTGTGCTGTTGCTGCATATTTTTTGGTGGGTGACAAGTCATGTTGAGTAACAACAGCAAAGAGTTTATAAACTTTCAAGACAGTTTATAAACCATGTCAAGGGTTTGACGGTTTCCTTGCAACAAGGGCAGGGGGGGGTACTGAGAAGTCTTTACAAAGTTGGCTGAGTCACACCTCACTGCTAAGACTTCCAACCAACCACCCCCCCCCCCCCTCCCAAAATTTCCAACCACCCCCCCCCCCTCCTTCAACGATACCATGAACACTTCGTAGGGTGTTGTTGCCTTGATGCGGGAAACTCGTCAAACACTCAATAAGGTTTATAAACTTTTCTGAAAGTTTATAAACCTTCTGTAGGCTTATTGCGTAGCAAGTGGAAACTATTGTTTGGGAAGAAAAGGACACTCATTTGAGGCCTTGTTTGATGTGGTTTGGGCATGTGGTCCTAAAAGGTTGATGATGTGTGTGTGTGTGTCATCACTGCTGCACTGTTATATCAAAGGCTGTCCTGTAAGCATCTGATTTATCAGTAGAGCACTCATTACCTCAATGGCTTGGTTTCTCAATGGCATCAAAGCTGGCCACAGGCTCAAAAAAATGCAAAAACTGCAAAACTCCAGACCAATCAAGCCCTGACCTCTGACTTGCATCTGGGTTTTGCATTTTTTGTATTTTTTTGAGCCTGTGCAGGTTTTGGAGCTTCCAGGTTTGGATTTTTTGCATTTTTTTGAGCCTGTGCAGGTTTTAAGCGCCCAAGGCTCCAAAACCTGCACAGGCTCAAACAATGCAAAAAATCCAAACCAGGAAGCCTCAAAACCTGCACAGGCTCAAAAAAATTCAAAAAATACAAAAATCCAGACCAATCTGACTTGCATCTGGGTTTTGCATTTTTTGTATTTTTTGAGCCTGTGCAGGTTTTGGAGCTTCCAGGTTTGGATGTTTTGCATTTTTTTTTGAGCCTGTGCAGGTTTTAAGCACCCAAGGCTCCAAAACCTGCACAGGCTCAAAAAAATGCAAACAATCCAAACCAGGAAGCCTCAAAACCTGCACAGGCTCAAAAAGAATGCAAAAAATGCAAACATCCAGACCAATCCAGCTCTGACCTCTGACTTGCATCTGGGTTTTGCATTTTTTGTATTTTTTGAGCCTGTGCAGGTTTTGGAACTTCCAGGTTTGGATGTTTTGCATTTTTTTGAGCCTGTGCAGGTTTTAAGCACCCAAGGCTCCAAAACCTGCACAGGCTCAAACAAATGCAACAAATGCAAAAATCCAGACCAATCAAGCCCTGACCTCTAACATTGCATCTGGGTTTTGCATGTTTTGCATTTTTTGAGCCTGTGCAGGTTTTGGAGCTTCCAGGTTTTTTTTTTTTTTTTTTTTGCATTTTTTGAGCCTGTGCAGGTTTTGACGCTGAAAAGTGTTTTTTTTGCAGTTTCCTTAAAAAACACTGCACATAACAGTGATTTCACTACTGACAAAGTTGCCTCTGAAAACGCTTTCCGTTTTCGTGTTTGTTGCTTTCTCGAATCCTGTTTTGCATCAAGTACAGAAAGCACATCTGAGAAAATATCAAAAATTGCACAAAAACACCGTAAATTACAGTGCTGTCTGCAAGGCATCTGCAAACCAAGTGGACACTGACCATCTGCAAATAAATCTCTGTCATGCAAAAAGTAGAAAGGTAGGCCCTGGGGGGGGGGGGTGACCATATATATATATATACATATATATATATATATATATGTATACATATCCCGGTGGACCCGGGAAAGCTGCAGTGTCTTTTTTTTTTTTGGGGGGGGGGCGGGCGGCACTCTTTTGGGAAGGTTCTGAAAGGAAACCAAACGGAGAGCCACCAGATTTGAGGTCCAAGACGCACCTTGCTATAACCATGGAGACAACTGGGGTAACTGCGCTTAGCCCTTGGCTATAACCATCTTTCTAAATGCTTTGACCAAAGCCTAGAGACTGTAGCGGCGTGGAACCCTCCCCCCCTCCCCGGAAAAATGGACAGTTCCTTGATTTTGAGACAGTTGAAGCATTTTTAGGTCACCCATTGCCCTTTTTGGGTTCTCCATTTCCTTTTTGCTGGTTTTATTGGGAAGCCTAAGTGGGTTTCTGCTAGGGGCACTTTACTTTCCCAGCATTTTTAGATCTCAAATGATGTCAACCCCTGACTAAAGCAGGTATTTGCATGGGACATCAGGTGTTTCAACATTGTTCATGGATTCATTGAGAAAGGGAGAATCATGTGTGTCGCTTCAAACATGAGCTCAGCCTGGAGGACCTTTCCCAAGCAGCTCGGCTCGCGGTGCTTTTTCAACGGCTTGCTGGAGCAAGGCGGATCGCAAAGCAAAGGCCAGTTTGACCTACCCCGAACCCAGATCAGGGGTTGTGAATCATCCCACTTCCAGTATGATGTCGAATCATGTTAGCCCCTGATTAGAAAAGGAGGTCTTTACCGTGAAAAACCAATATTTTCCAAATATTTCCTGAGAAAAGCGGACATTTGGAGCAGTCGAAAGGCATGTTGCAGCACGCGAATCGGAGCGAGCCTGTCCCTGGGAAGCGACCAACATCGGAAAGGGAGACGCTTTTGCGGAAATTGCTTCGGTCCCTAGTCTGAAACGCCGCATTTGGAGCAACTGCTGAGATTTTTCCCAGCGGATCCCCCAGCAAACTCTGCCCCTCCGCGTATGGTGGACAATTGGAGTCTATCTTGCAACCTTCTTCTTTGGGGTACTTTTTTCGGGGGGGCCTCCCAATACCCACATTCTTGCAAAGCTTCTCTGACTTCCTTGCCGGGGGCAACTGCCAGCAGAGCAAACTCACCACGGAGCGCAGCAACTGCTTCTTCGGCACGCTCCCGTTCTTTTCTAAGTTTGGCGAGAACCTGCAGGACGCGCCCACATCCCTCGCAGCAGATCCGAGCTGCGAAAGGCCGCCAAGATCGACCGCTCAATCTGGCATTACAATCGGGAAGAGCGCGAGGAGTTTTTGCAGAGACATTCGAGTTTCACCGTGGTGCCACCCCCACGTTCTTTTTAGTGGGTATGATGCCTTTTTGATGTTCAACTTGGACAGAAAAAACACAATATACGTATTTTACTACGAGAAGAACCGTCATTCACTTTCCAGCTTGCATTTTTCTTGCATTAAACATGTCCAACGTGGGTTTCCTTTTTCCTGGTTTCTCCTTCGCCCAGAACAGCCGGGGCCGGGGCCTTCGCCTCGGAAGCGAAAGCGAGCGAGAGCGAACGAACTCCGAGGCCGGGGGCACCGTGGTGCTGCTCGCCGGGTTTGGGCTCCAGGGCCCCGAGGCGAGCTGCGGCGCCAAATCCGCGCCGCGCCGCGGAAAAATTCCGCGGGGGGGATCCGCGGCGGGCGGCGCTCGGCGTTTCGGGTTTCTCGTTTGGCGCGGCTCGGCTCGGCCCATGGGGTTGAAAGTTGGGCCACCAAGAGGAGCACCATGGTTTTTTTTGTTTTTTTTTTCTCTTTTTTTTTCTTCTGTGTTTCTTCTTTTGCTTTCTTCTTTGTTTTCCGTTTTGGGGGGGAATGACTCTTGAAAAAAGCAGGTATTGATTCAAGCTCTGAGCAAGGATGATGTCCCTATGTGAAGGCGAGACTCTGGAGCCCTAGAACGCTAAGAAACATTTGTTTTTAACGCATTTTGGGATTCAAAAGGTGCACGTGAGGGGGGGGGTTTCTCTCGTCTTCATTTTTTTTGGTGATGGGGGGTGGGTGGTGGGTGGGTGGGGACGTGAGCACATAATATATTTGTAGATGTAGACATATTCACATGCAGTTTTGAACACGACCTCTATCTATCTATCTACCTATCTATCTGTCTGTCTGTCTATCTATCTATCTATCTATCTATCTATCTATCTATCTATCTATCTATCTATCTATCTATCTATCTATCTATCTATCTATCTATCTATCTATCTATCTATCTATGTACATTATATCTATATATACACATATTACACACGTGTATGTTGGTGTGTGCATGCATTACATACACACAAACACATGTTTGTATGCAAATCACGCTCAGAGACTTGCGCGGATCGGATCGCTGGCGAGGCGTGTCAGCTGATTCACTTTGGTGCCTCTGCTTTGCTGGAGGTCCCCATGGACTACTTCGAGGCAGGCGTCCTTTTGTCCTCGAAAAGCCATCCGGGGGTTTGGGGTTCTCATGGGTTTGGCTTCTCAGGAGCCTTTTGAAAACCAGAACAGAGGAGCCTGAGCATGCACATGGACACATGCACGCACAAGTGTTGAATCTGCAGAATGATTGCACCCTCACCCTGCTCTCCTTTGACAGTTTCCTAGATTTTCCCCTTTCGGGACCAAGTTCACTGGAGGGCTCCTGAACCTCCGAATTGGGAGGCAGGGGTATGAGCCATGGTATGGGGGCTCGGTTTGGCGCTTGGACCCCGAAAAGACCCCAAAACGGGTACGGCCTCAAACAACGACACACGCACCCGTCTGCCTTGAACATCAAAGGGGGTTATCTGCATAGTTGAAGTGAGTTCTTGCAGGAACAAGTTGGAGGATTTCACAGGTTTTAGGCAAGAAAGAGTTCTCAATTTGTTTTTTTCGTGGTTGGGGGATTCTCATTCAGGTAGTTGGTGTCCTTTTCATTTTTCCTTCCAAAGAAGGTGTGTCTTAGGTTGGTTCAAAGGGAAACCATAAAGGAACCAAGCTTTGGTGGGGGTTACTTGGGTTTTCGACGAGCCAAGGACAACCACAGTCTAGTTGAGATGTGCCGTTGGTTTCCTCCACTTTCTTGAAAGGGCACAGGGAAGCGAATAGGAACTCTGGGACTTGCAACCATGGCTTCGGGGTATACAGTGTGAAAGTAGGCACACTTCCAACCCTGTCTTTTGTGACCTTTCCTCCCCTTGCCAACAGAAAGACATGGCTTTGGACCCTATTTTTCCCACCCCGAGCTGATTTTTTGGACGTGCAGCTTACCTTTAGCTTCGCAGCTCCGGTTTGTGCAGATCACCCGAGGGAAACCACCAGAGCTGTGTTGAGCGACCCATCGGTGGCTTTGGTAGAGGAGGAGATGGTGCCTGAGCTCCCAGGGTCCGAGCCCCGGTGTTTGGATGGGTGGTTCATTTGGGGCTTAGAGAGACCACAAGAAAGATTTGGGGCAGTCTCAGGATCTGTTGAGGCAGGAGACGAAATGGATCCAAAGGGCTGAGTGCAACCAGTATGACCATCCGGCCCTTGTATTTCCGGGACATGCTCAACTAACAATTTGTTGACCTCGCCGAGAGTTTGCTTACATTGGCCAAGTTGAGCGGGCGGCCCAGAGGGTTCCTTGAATTAAAAATAACTCTTGTTTGGGGTATGATGTCAGATCGTGTCAGCCCTCGACTAAAACAGGGGGAGTTTACCAGGAACAACCTAGTTCTTCAGAATACACCCTGAAAACAGCAGGGGGTACAGGGACCCCGTCACTTCTGGTCTGGGGTCTCCTCCCAAGTCATGTTATTTCTTCGGGAAGACTATGTGTGAGGCAGGATCTGAACAAAAACATGTACACCAACCCACTGAAGTATATTCCAGCAGAAGTTTGGGGCCCAACACCTCAGTCTTGATTGTCTTGGGTGGTCAAAGGCCCCGCTTTAGGTCGTGTGCGGTCTCCTTCAAGCACGTCCGTTTTGAAGGGACTCAATATGAAGCAGAATCTGAGCAACTAATTTTGTGCGTACTCTGTTTATGTGCCCCAAGTTAGAACCCTGGCTATTGGGGGAACTGGTTCGCCCCCTTAGATTCTTTGTGGTAACCAGCTTACTGGGTGGTCTGAACACCCAAGTAAGTAACCAAGGAATAGCAATTAAAAGATGGAGGTAAAAAGCCTGGTTACGTACTAAGCAGCGTGCCTGGATCCACGGGGGCTAGTTTAAAAGGGAACCTAGAGGCTTCGTTCCCTGACCTTGCCTTACTTGCGACTTGGTTTCTGACGACTTGGGCTAGATTGCGGCACTTGTCAGGCGAGGAGCTCATTGGTGGCCCTGAATCTCCCCGCCCCCCAACATGAGTTCCACCGAAGGGTTCCGAATAACAAGACTCTTGCCCAGGGGTCCAAAAAAAGGGGGGGCGGCTGCACGGAAAAGCGGGGGGGGACCCCTTCCTTCCGGGTGCCCTCCTTCAACCCCTCCAATGAGTACGAACTTTGGGAGAACCCGCCACTTTGAACCGCGAGGTTCGAGGAGATTTCCGATTTCCCAGTCATCCTGGGAAAAAGCGGGGCGTTGCGCTTGTCTAGTTGTATATCCCCTTGCCATCCTTTGGGGTCCGGCAGACTTTGCGGAAGTTGTCTCAACACGCTGACCCCCAGGCCTTGGGGCATGTCTTTTGATTCCCCATTCTCTTCACCCGGTTTTCGTTCGACTTTCCGGACTCCGCCCACTTGCGGAACTTTCGACTGTAAATCCCAACCTAGATGATGTCCACCAAAGGCCCCGCTCTTAAACTTCCCTCCCAGCATGAATTGCGTCGCCCAAAAGGGGTGTGGTGAGTCATTGAGGGGTCGAGGTTCTCCATTAAACGGCCCCTCATGGGGTCTGCATTGGAGGGGTCATGACTTTAGAAAACGGTTTGGCTGTGGTTTTTGTGGATCCACCCCGGTAGGAGAGCAAGAACGAGCACTACAAGATGACTCAAGAATTGGACCCAGAGGGGGGGGGGAAACAAGACAAATCGGTGAAATCCGGAAAAAGCACGCAAATCCACTAACCGGTTTCTAGACCTGAGCCCGGGATTCGTTGCATCGACCTCTTCGGCTGAGGCGCCTGCTCCGGTGCCTCACGCCGCCGGCGCCAGAAGTGCCGGAGGCGGGGAGGCTGCGCCTGTGGGAGCGATTTCTTCGGAGCAACCTAATGTTGACCCCATATTAATTTTATTTCTTGTTTAGTACTAGGGGGGTGTTCCTGGGTTTAGTGGGGAATCATCATGGAGGGAAACACCCCTATTCATAAAAAGGGCTTGATTTTTTGTATGGTCGGCATTACGCGGATGCACAAAATCCGTTTTGCACCACGAAATGAAACCATGATTGAATACCACAACGTTTGTTGGTATTATGTTGGGGAATCGAAGCGTTTCGTTTTTGTATTTGAAAGCTGGTGCGAAATGGTTTTCGTCCATCTGAATTGAAGAAACATCACCTATTGAGTCAGACGGGCAAAGGGTGTCCATGGTACCTGTCTGAGTTTGAGTGGGGCCTTTGGGCTCGTTGGTAGCTACCCCACTCGGTGTGCCTTTCGTTGGCCATGCTCCGCGCGCCTCAGCAATGGCAGGGTCGAAACTTCGGTTCCCCGGGGAGGAATGGGGCGCCCCCCAGTTTGGGCCTCGGCCAAGACTCCTTGAGCCACCCGTGGCAGGCATTTTCTCCCTGCCCCAAGGGTTCCGACGGTTTTCGGGGTCCCAAAAGAGGCCGCGGGTGGTTGAAAGGGTGCGGCGAACCAGCCCCATGTTGAGGGTTTCCTGATTGCTATTGGGCTGGATCTTTAGACTTTGTTTTTTTTGGGGAAATCAATGGCTTTTCCTCACCCACAAGCAGTTAAGCTTTTTGCAGAGGGGTCAACAGCAACCAAGATGCCGAGCACCGGATTTTCCCCAGTAGAAATCCCCGCTTTTGAGGCAGGGGCCGACATCACTTCACCTCACGGCCTGGGCCTCGCGGCCCTTAAAACTCATTGGGAGGGTGGAATTTCGAGTTCTGAGATGGCACCCCAACCATTTCGCTTTAAACGCGCGCCAAGGTGTTGAACATTTTTGGGGGCCCAACATTTTTCGGGGCCCAACCAAACTCATTTATTGCTTCGCCTGTGAGCACAACACCCGCCACTCCACGTTTCTTTGCATCACACCAAAAAATGTGAGTGGTGTGTGTTCTGCCGAAAAACCTAAAACCTAAAAACGGAAAAAGCGCGGGGGGGGGGGAAACAAAGAAAAACGGAAACCCCCTGGGCCCATGCGCCCAAAAAAAGCACAAAAGCCACCGCCGGGCTGAAGCCCGGCGCTTCGACCCCGCGAGGCCTGCGAGATTTCTCCGGGCTGGGACTGCGGCCCAGCGGAGGATTTGGCCCAGGGCTGAAGCGGTCCGTCCGGAGTCGGAACGTCGGAACACGGCCCCAGAACCAACCCCCCCCCCACTCCCGAATTGAATGGGGCTGGCTGAACCCTGCTGGTTTTTGCGTTTTTGGAACACAGCTTCTGGAGGGGGGGTCGTGTTTTGTTTTTCTGGTCGTATGTATATGTATACCCAGATGCCCGCGGGCTTTTAGGCATGCATTTTCGTTGAATAACCTGGTTTTCCACCGGTTGCTCAATCAATTGACATTTGACACACCAACTAGACTCATTTTGAGTGTTGGGAGGGGGTGAGTTCTCAAAGTCCCGGCTTTCCTTGGCACCAAGAAGGGGTGGTGTGATTTTCTGGGCGCAAGAAATTGGAAAAGGATTGGCCTCCGCTTAAGCCTTGAAACAATGCCAGCATTGGATCGCAGGTCATGCTTGACATTTGTGTTTGTTTCGGGTGACCAACCATCACCTTTTGTCGGGCGCTTAAAACGGAGGAAGGCTGCGTGCATCTGTGGCAGGCCAAGTCTGGGCTTGTCTTTAAAGCGAATTCGTCATTTTGCCCCCTCCCCCTTCCCCCCAAAGAAAACCCAAAACACCTTCTTTCAATCTCTGTTCTCTTCAAGGATGTCTTTTCATTTTCTCATTACTTTTATGATCTCTTTCATTATTATTATCTCCATTTCTCTCTCGTTCTCTATCTCTATCTCTGAACGCGAACAGGATATATCATCTGAAACCAAACGCCATGTCCGACCTCCCGCGGTCCCGAGGTGGTCCCAGTCACCGTGGCCGGCTACGCACGGCCGCCATGCTTGTGCGAGCGACCTACTTAGTGGGCCAAATTCAAGTCGGGAAACCCATCCATCCCAACGCTTGGTGAAGTTGTTTTTGCCCATGCACATGGCCTTGAATTAATTTTGGTGGCTGGTTTGCGCCTCTAGTCTGGTCGTTGAGCCCGAAGGATGTTCCTTCATTCAACTGGACATGAGAATCCCCAAGTAAAGGACCTCCATCGCTGAGATCGTTTTAGCGGGTGAGCTACAATGGTTGGCCCCTTGCTGGTCACCTTAAAGGGGAGCCCCGCGATGTCATCTGAACGGGGGGGGGGGGGGCAGGAAATTTGGTTGTAGAGGGATTGAACAGGCCTATGCTGAGCGAATACATGCCTGTCTGGATTTGGTTACATTGGTGGCTAAAAGCTCTATTTCGGGTTGTGACCGTCTGGCACCTACGTGCCAGTCAAAATTTGAGTCCCCTTGTATACGTCCCTCCCATCTGAACCCTATAGACAACTCCATCAGCCCTTTGGTGGACAGCATTGGACATCATCATGGCTTGCCTGCTCTCATTTGCCATGGAGTCGCTGCACCAATTCGGGTCTACCAGCCGTGTACTTGAAAGAGGCGATCGGTAAATACTACACATTAACGTGGAACCCAAAAAGGGGTCCAAGTCCCAACAGGAGTTTCCTCTACACATTGTTTGGGGTTCCTTCTGTTCTGCAGGGCAATACCATCCTTTCCAGGTTGAGGTCTTTCTTTTCTCAGGGACACCTTTTTCCAGTGTGTTACGGTTTCGTGTGGGAGTTCTTTTTCTGTTCAGGTTGAAGGTCATGATTCTCAGAGCCTCAGACTTTTTTCCTTTTTGTTTTTGCAGGTTCAGCTCTGGTTTGCTCACTTGGACACCTAGAGGTCATGGCCCCTCAAACCCCAGACCCTCAAACTCTCAAACCCTCAAACCTTCAAACCCCCAGACCCCCAAAGCCTCAAACCCTCGAACAGATCGCCAGGCCACAGACTGGTCCTTCAACTACTCCAGCGACGTCACGCCGCTGGTCTCGGCCATCTCCCCCCAGCGCTCCGCGGCCATGAGCCGAGGGCCTGGTCGAAGTGGCGAAGTCGTGGGGGGGGGAGGGAAGAGGCGTTGCGGCTTTCAGGTGAAAGGATGTCAGGTCTCCGTTTTAGGTTAATTGGGCTAGAAAATAGATGGATTCAGCTGTTCGGGTAAAGGCCTTGCACCTGGGCGAAAGGATGTGGTGCCCAGGCGTCCTGTTTAGGGTGAGTTGCCCAGAGTTTGGCCCATGCGCCCATAGTTTGGTTAGGAATAGAAGGTTCCATTGGCTTGGATGGGGTTTAGGTTTTATTCCATTTATCGGGGAAACCCATCCATTTTTCCAAAAGGCCACCTATTTTCGTGCCCCAAAGGTGAGAGGTGGACAAAATGAGAGTTTTCAGGCTCCCAGAATGGGATTTGAATTGGTGGTTGGGATTGGTGTGCAAGGGGGTGGGGAGGAAACTCATTTACTACAAGAACCAGGGGAAGAAATCATCAAAACCGCCAATTCAGCGATGGTTTCAACGCCAAACTGGTTCAAACCACCGAAGCCTTTCTCTGTAGTTTTGGTTCCACAGCAGGCTAGGGTCTGGATCTAACCCGGTTTGCTACCCACACTGTTTCGGGGGTCAGGGTATCCTTTTTGTGGTTGTAAAGGGCCCCAGACTTGCGGTTTTGCAGGGTATTGACCATAAGACCAAGACACTAGCTTGCAGCTTCGGGGAAGGACAGACTTAGTTCTCTCAGGGGTTTGAGTCCCGGTCCACGTGGCAGGTTTCGGCATTTTTCCTCCTCATGATTCCTACGAAAAGGGCCGAAAGAATTGGAATGTCGTTGTGCGCTACAAAACCAAATTAGCCTCATGACTCTGGCAGCTCATGATTGGAATTACTTGAGCCAGGAACTATTAGCCCACATTAGGAGCACTTCTTTTTCCTTACAACAGCCCATACAACAGGATGCTTTTCCGCCGCGGGACATGTTGAAATGGCCACGCCCGTCTTTTTGCAAATCTAACTCCACACAGCCGGCCAACCGAAATGTATGAGGCCAATCACCAAAACACTAACTCCACACCCAGATTCATTTTACAGGTTCGTTTGGAGCTGCTTCCTAGCAACCAATAAGTTTCACTTGTCCTCTGGAAAAACCTCGGGGAACGTTCGTTATTTTGACCATGCCTCAGACCATTTGTTTGACTCTCCTAAGGCGGACTTGCAGGGTTCTCCAGATTTTCCCTTCTTGGCAGTTTCAAGCATCACAATTGGGCTTCTCTTGAAATAGGGACCCCCAAACTGGTTGGTTTCCTTCTGGTTTCCCTTCAAACAATCCCAGCAATGCCATCAAAGAAAGGCGCCGCAATTTGGACCCATTGACAGGGAGGGCTCACGTACTGTGGATGGACGAAGTCCTGCACCACTTCGAAACCATGGTTGAAACTCATTGTTTGTTGGTATTTACAGGGGGAATCGAATCATTCCGTTGGGTTTCCTGGGCGGTGCGAAATGGATTTCGCAACCATCCACAGGAACTGCAGGGCGTGAGAACTGCTCCAAGCCTCGCCGGGTATTTGACCGGACACGGGAGAGACAAATGCCCGGGCTTCGGGCTCAGGCGGCATGGTGAGCTTGCAGGGCGCTCGCTTTCCTCCCTTGCGCCGGGCGGCTTAGCCAAGCGCCGATCTCCGCATCGTCATGAGTGTTCTTTTCGTTTTGTTGGACAAGCGCGTGTTTGGCATGGCTGGTGTTTTCTGTATTCTTTTCTCAATAGAAAGTCGTGCACATCTTGCGCTCAAAATCTGTTCTCCATTTCTCTTGACACTCATTTGCTGTTTGCTGAAATCAGTATGGTTTATATTCCCCTGTTGGTTGTCTAGGGAAATCTATCACTACCGGACAAATTTCACTTTGCCCAGGGGAGTTGAGCGGCATACATACCGAGCAGGTGATTGTGGCAATCACTGGGTTTGTTCTCTTGATTTTTGGTTCACCTTTGGGATAGGTCCTCTTCCTCGGATTGTACTTGCTCCACCAAGCAAACGCTCTGCCTGGAGCTCTATGACCAACGAGGATGTTTGGGGGCCCTTCACGGGGTCAGCTTGGTGAAATACGCCCCTAAGGCGGCGGCCGCGCCGCGGACCCTGTCGCACGGCGGCCCGTGAAGACTTGGGCGAAGCGGTGCAGAAGCAAACCACTTGACTTGTCAACGTCAGGGAAGTAGGTAACCATGGATATAACTGGGGTAATTAATTGAGGGAAGTTCCCTTACCCTGTTCATAACCTACTTACGTGGATTGAACAGGGGATCGCTCCGCATTTTGGGATTCGGGATCGCGAATCCCAAATCAAATTCTTTGGGAGCTTTTCCAGTTCAACCGGGAACCGGAAGCACTGGGTATGGTTGCCTACGTATTGGGGGCATGGACAAGTCGCAGAGGGGTGGTTCCATTTTTTTTCTTTGTTTGGGTGTGGGGTCCTTGAACATATTGGGACCCCTTTCTGTGACACCACGGCTGATTCCCATGCCCGTGATTTCGCCCAAACACGGCACACTTGGCTAACCTGCCGAGTGGCGAATAAGACTTGAGCCAAAATACATCCAGATATTGGAGGAGTCTAGCCAAACAAATGTCAGGAGTTTAAAGGGCCGCCGCACCTATGTGGCCATGGGTCAAAATCCCGTACCCGCAGTGAACATCTCAATCCCCATGGAGCACCTACCCCATGGTGCCAAAAACGGTTTTGACAACCACGGCCATGTATGCTTGGGACCGCTCCTTCCCCAATGTACTCGGGTTTTGATTGCGACTCACTTGTAGCTTTCAAGGCGAACCCTCGGAAACAAGAGGCGGGGTGAAATACGATGGAGAGGCACCCGTTAGGCACTGGAGCCATTCCAATGCCCACGCATGCAACAGAGGATGCTCAACACAACATGTGAACCAACATGGATATTCGAGCAGCAAGCACCGAACTAGATGGGTAGCCAGCACCCCAAACTGCTGGTTGGACATCGCCTGGAATTGTTGGCCATGGGAAATGAGAGACGTCGTAGGGTGCTGGAGGTTTCATTTTGCTTCAGTTGCAGGAAGCGGGCTGGGCAGTTTGGATGGGAGTTTGAGCCGTTTCATGGGCAAGACCAAAGGTAGATTCTCCGAAAGTGTAAACATGGGTCATATCCACCCACCTGTGGAAACTGAATCCCAGGGTAGCAGGGTTTCATGAACACCATGGTTTCACTGGCGCCCGGTTCGACTCCCGAAAGGACGCCCGTCGGCTTCGCGGCGCTTCGCCGACCGCAGGTGGTCTACATCGGAAGTCAGCGCTGCCGGCCAGAGGCGCGAGCTTGAGCGGTCCAGGCACCATGGCCTCGCAGCTTGTCAACCTGGAACACCAGTCGAGGGTAAAGGAACATTTTTTTGAGGACCCGAGGATCCAGGGTTGGAGCAGGGAGATGGGCGGCTCGGGTTGGTGGTTTGAGGATTTGAAGCTCTGGTTCTTGTGGTGGGTACATGGGAAGCTACCCCCTGAGTTCCCAACCCCAAACCGAACCACCAATTCGTGTCAAAGGGAAGCTATGAGGAACACACTCAGGAACCCTCTATGAGACACCCATCTTGAAGAGTTTGCTACACCAATCTTGTTGAAAGTCTCAAAGCCTGGCTGTGGACAAGCACCTTTGGGAAGAGGACCAGCCATCCAGACTCATTAGCGCTTCCGTGCTTGGGATAGATCATGCTTGGAGTCCCAAGTCTTTGTGCGCCGATTTGATTCCCCAAAGCCGGCGGTGTTGGTAGACCCTACCAGGCTGTCGAACTGCGGGCTGGATGTAGGATTTCCAGCAGGTCTCCAAACCAAAGCGATTTTATTTTTTAGGGTTGATATGAAATACGCGCTGACGATCTTATTCTCTTCCATTTAATTCATTTCCCCTGTTGGTTGTAAAGGGAATCTATCACTGGACGGGACACGTGGTTTTTTCCCCAGACCGGGGGGTTCAGCAAATGGAGGTGGTCTGTTCTCTGTACAGGTGTTGGCCAAGTAACCAGAAAACTGACTCAAGGATGCTGCCTCACCAACTTCTAGGCACTTTCTGTGGGGAGGTTACGTCCACATGCAAGCCGTCCACATCTGATAAAACGGAAGCATCCTTGATGACTAGGGGGCCAATTTCCAACCTTCTGGTATCTTTATCCACCTCGTGCAAAGCGCCCGAAATGGTTCAAGAATTCATCCCTTGGCTTTGGGCCTGGACCGAGTCTTGGTTGTGGCACACAAGCCCATTGGTTCGCAATGTGCTTGAGGGGTACTTTAAAACCAGTCTTGGAGAAACTATTAGTTACTTTCCGGCCTATATAAGGCTAAGATGAGTTGGGCTTGGGACCTCAAAAAGAAACCCTAAAATGAGGGAGATCAAGGGCATCTTTTGCCTTTAGACACGGGTGGACCTTGAAAGCCGACGCGGCTCAAGCGCCCAGGAGTCGACCGGCGCATCCTTGCGCTGCTTCCTCCTCCGGCGGCGGCCTCACGTGACTCACGGGCTGCGGAAACCCAAAAGGACCACGCCGTGGACGGTAGGGGTTGGTAGGGATGGCTCACTCCCTGAGTTCCCGGACTTTTGTTCTGGGCTCCTTCAAAGAATTCTTGCGACAGTCCTACAGTGTCTAGTCTGGCCAGCGTTGCCGCATAGCGGTTTGGGAAGAACGTTTTAGTGGTAAAGACAAAGTTTGGGGACTTGTTCTGACCTTGGGGACTTCGGACAACCCTTGTAAGGGCTCCTAGGGAGCAAAGACCATGACCCAGATTCACAGTTTTGACCGTGGTTCACATGAAAGGATAAATAATACCAAGCGACAGTGCCGGTTCGCACATATCATGACTTTATTGGGCTTTACAGTACCCCACAAACCCCGTTCCAACTATTAAGACATTGCTGGCGCGAATATCAAACAAACACTATAGGATTTTTTGCCATTTTGGGATAGGACTCCTTGACTCTCACATCATTTTAGACTGAGTGACTCAGGGGACCTTTGCAGCCGGGTTCGACTGCAAAGTCCTGGGGCCAGGGCTGTTTCGTGTTGTCTGGGATGCGGACTGACGGCTTTCACGTACTAAACCTTTTAAATCTTTCCCGGCTAAGCTATGTACGGATGTGCAGGGAAGACTAGATCACCAGGGCAAGTGTATGAGAAAGACAAACACATATTTCTCAGCTCTTCGGGTAAGCGGCTACGGCCACACCTTGTGGACAAACGAATTCATGGCCAACCTGTCTCTACAATCGAGGAAATCGTTCGGCTCCTAGCAGAACACGTAGGAGACGAACGATGACTCGGAAATCTGGAATCTTGCACTTGCCGACCATTATAACCGGTGCAAAGCTCAGAGCTTTAGCATGCATCCTTTTCCACCCACCCACAGACACACTCCCAGTGTGACTAAAGCCAACAGAAGAGGCGACCTTGGCTTCCACCCGACCGGAATAGAGGCCTTGTTGGCCCGTTGGGCTACTAAAACCCAAGCAAACCCTAGAAAAACATGGCGGTGGGTCAAAATTAAACCGCTGGGGTTGCGCAGATTTTAGTCTACCTTTCCATTTCCCAGGGTTCCATGTTGGACCCCTTGGACCCCAATTTTTGAGCCACACGTCAACCCATCAAATGGCTAGAACCCTAAACCCGAGTCTTCTGGGCCGAGGCACCCGCCGGTGCCCTCGGGGCAAAGCGCCGTGGGGCGCGGAGACCCGGGCTGAGGGCACCAGGCTGGTAACTTGGCTCCCAGGCATCTGGTGCGTTAGGTTTTTGGATCTTTCTGGTTGGTTTGGTGGTTGGCTTGCAGAATTTAGCCCAACTTTTCGCAGGGGATCTGAGGACAGCGCCGAAAATGTGTCCCTTACTTGGTGGTTTGGGTTGGTCGTTTGGGGATTAGAACCCCATGTTCCTTTTGAAACCAGACGGGGCAGGTGGCACCCCCGAACGTCGACCAAGCCACTAATTGGGGGGAGCTGGACAGGTAACTCTGGTGGACGAAATCCACTTTGCACCAGTTGATAGGGTGATGTATCAGATTTTGGCCATCCACAGTATCATGGCCAGTCGCTAACCTTTTTATCTTTTTGAAACTGGAGTCTTGAGTTTTCCTTCCCGGCAAGAAGCGAACCACTTTTTGCAGGGGGTCGAATCAGTCTGTAAAAGATATGGCCATGGAGAATAGAGTTGGAACCACGTCGGTGCTCAAGCTCATCCCCACCGAATTTGATGTCCCACACCCAAAGAAGGGACACGTAATTACTCATGTTCCAGCATCATCAGTGCTGAAATAAGTTGTACCAACCTCTATGCAGTAATAGGGTACCACCATAATCATGCCCACGGTCCTTAAAGTACCCCACCACGTTCCAATATAGCCCAGGTAACGGGGCCAACTCAGGTATATACACTGCCTAGTTGGCTGATCATGCATGCAGGCGTGTTGCGTGTTGGGTTCGTTTTCAGTGTTTCTATTTCTTCCAAGGGTGGACCCTGTGAACCTCAGTTAGGCGGGGATTCCAGCCCACCTCGGTTTCCTACTAAGACTCATAGCCTGAGTACTAAGATGTGGGCACTTGTGGGTGGGCGGGGTGTGTGTGTGTGTGTGTGTGTGTAGGAGGTCGCGTTTTTGCTGTTCTTTTACCCTTCTTCCACTCGTGGAAGTTGACGATTGGAGGGTTCGGACTTACTTTTGGACAAGCCCCCTGTTGATTTCAGGTCTGGTGACCTGTCAGGTGTCATTTGGGGAGTTGTCAGCTGCAAGCATTTCAGCGGGTATCCCTTATTTCAGGTCTTGGACGTGTTGCAAAAATTTGGGAAATTTGCAGATCCCGACGTATCCAAGGCTCTGGGTGCTGGGTCTGGGCTTTGCCGTGGTGACGCCGCCCGAAGCCCAGACTAGCCGCGCATGCGCGGAACGAGGTCAGCCCATGAGTCCCAGAAGGTATGGGCGGCTCGCCATTTTTTTGAGGCTCCTTGCTCCCCTTTGGCTGTTTTTTTTTAGGGGGGAAACCATTGGAAGCCGCAACCCAAGCGGATGTTTGGTCCTCTATTTGAGACAAGTTTGCATGTACCTCGGAAATGAAGCTTTCGAAAGCACGTAAAGAAAAGGACTAGTTCAAGGGGCGATCAGGCATGGTTGCCAAAGCCATGCTGGTAAGTTGGGTTACAGGGCTAAAGCTGGAGTCTCCTCCAGAAGCTCTTTTGTATTTTAGGGCAAGTACATATTGAACAGAAAAAGTACTACTTGCTGTGAGCCCCAGATGTGGTTTAGCAAGCTGACCACTTGCCAAGTAGCTCCTTTGAGCGGCCTGGGAGCTTCATCTTTCCAGAGTCAAACCAGGAGAGGGCTAACGTGGGTTGGGGGATCCCCTAGTGGGTGTTTCCAAACATAGCGACTAAAGATGCGGGGGGGCGTTCGCCTTTCAGGGCACACCTATATGATATGAGTTTTGATAAGGAACCACCTGAAGAGTTGGTTGGTGGACATGAACCATGCTCAAGCATGAACAATTCCAACTTCGCATGCCCTTCGGTTCGTTTCTCATTCCTACTTCATTGCTTCGTTGCTTCAACCTCAAGCCGCTCCACCAACCATGGGCGAGGCATCGAAGCCAGCCGCAAGCTGAGGAGCACGCGCTTCTCCCACCCCTTTGCCGTCACAGAGGCGCCGTTCGGCTTACCGGAAAGTTCCAAGAGACCCATGCAAATGGCAAAGGGTACCCAGGTTGGTATGGATATGAATATAATCATATATATATATATACTTTATAGAAAGGTTCCAGAATTGGTTGTATGCACCCTCAACCCCTTCCATACCCCAAAGAAAAGATCCCCGGTCAGCAACTGTCTGAGTGGCTTGGGGTTCCGTTCGGGGAGCCCGGCGCCTGGCCAGGTGAGCCCTGCGAGCGGCAGCTGGCACGGGGGGGCGCTGCTGGAGATCCGCGGGGAAGGCTTCCACGCGGAGAGCGCCAGGCACGAGGTGCTGCTGCGGCTGGCGGTGAATGGTTCCCAGGACCGCGAGCGAGGCGTTTTCTGGTTCATTTTTGGGGTGAATTATTTGTGTCTTTCTTCTTAGCTGTCTTTTTGTTTCCATTTTTTTCTCGGGAAATTGGTACCCTTTGTCTGTACTATGGTTCCCTTTTCCCACATTTTCCGAGCTTTTGTTGGGTTTAAGGGGAAAACGACCGGAAAATGTGAGACCGGTTTTTGGGAGAGTTGCTGGCATTTGGCCACGCGTTTTTTTTTCAGGGAAAAATCTGTCTTTTTTGAGGGTACCCCCTTTGTTTCGAGTTGGTTCCCTTTGTCAGTTTTAAAGGGAAACCAATCAGCAATCCAATAGGAATCCCTTTTGGGGCACGTGGAATTGGACTGGGGGGGTTCGGTTCAGATCCTCAAGCCCAAGGAATTGAACTGTGAGCCAGATCGTTTGGGGTATCGAGCCAGTTTGGGGATGGGGGCTTTGAATGCGTAAACTCTGAGGCCTTGAATAACCCTACAAAATTAAACTCAGTAACTCTGGGGGATTTCTTGTGCCAGATTTGAAGAACCCTCGAAGTTATTTTGGGAGATCAAGGCCTTCGGCTGTTGGTGTCCCTTTCAAGGCCTCGTTTCGGCAAATCGCGTCGCAGGACCTGCCCTGCCCGCTGCTGCCGGGGCCGACTCTGGGCCGGCGCCTGCAGTGCCAGGCGCGCTCGAAAGTCCTGGGGGTCAGGGCCTGAGCTAGAGTGCCCCTACCTGTATGGAGAAAACACATCGAATCCTTCGAAAAGACACGGGTCCGGGGTTTTAGGGTGTAGGGGATTTTTTTAATGGGGTCCCGCGGTGGCTGTAAGTCCGTGTAATGTTGATCCTGGATCAAAGTAGAACCCAGCCTATTAATAGGTTGTTGCCCTAAAGTGGTCTGAACCCCCAATTTCAGTGTTGACACCCTCCCTGTTCCTCAACCAGCGGTTTACTCATCCGGGGTTTCCATTACCCTCTACAGGGTTGGTTGAAAAGGAAACCCAACATACACACACACACACACACCCACCCACCCACGCCCACCCCTTCCCCATCTGATTTCCCTGTGACTTAATTTGATCCCATGGCACCCCACAAAACCATTCTGAGCATCAACTGGAGTTGGGCCTCCTTCGCGGCCAAGACCATTCTCATTCAAGGGGACGGGGAACCCCCAAAAAGATGGGATTTCGGTTCAAGCCAACTCCCGGGGGCACCACCAAGAGACAGGCCCATGTAGAGGTGCGACTTGGATCCAAAGGCAAAAGCACAGCTCCCGCTGCAGCCGGATTTTTCGGAGGCGGTTTAATAATTGAGATTATTTGGACTGTTTCCAGCGGTCAAAGTCAGAAACAGGTTGGTGACTTCCGTTTACCCATCACTTGGGGGGCTTTGATAGTGGTAAAATCATGGGGTCAGTTCAGGGCACGCCCTTTTTTTGAGGGTTCTTTTTTTGGGGCAGCTGGAAAGGGACACCAAAAAGGAGAAGATGTTCAACATTTTTTTTTTTTTTTTTTTTTTTTTTAAACTTTGGAAGGGTCAAACCTTTGGTTGTTTTTTCTCGCTGCCTTTCAAAGGGCCCTTCAAAATTGTACCCAAATAGGGAAGTAAGCCCCTCGAGAATGCCAGGCACCAGCTCTGACGGAGGAGCTGCTTCACCATGTCAGGCCGGATCCAAGTGGATGCTCAGAATCCAAGGGCTGGGGTTAGGCAGGTTTAGCCTTTGGTTCCATTTACCAAGGTGCTCCGAATTGTCGCCCATGGCAGACGGGAAACCCTTCACTGCTGTTCGCATGTTTAAGGCTTGTAGGGTCTCTTGGTTCTGTTCATTTTTTAGTATGGGCTGCACAAAACAGTTGTTTTGCTACCATTCCAAGGGTCGGAACATGTGACTTGGTCTTCATAAGGCTGTGCCGCCCCCAAACAAAAAGCTTGTTTCCCTTTGGGCCCGCAGAAGAGCCATTCCCTCTATCTAACAACCAGACATTCAATCGAGAAGACAGACCTGAGCCACGCAGTTCTGTGGGTATTTGTGCCAAGGAATCTACGGAGGCTTGACGGGGAGTTCTTATTTCTACCATCTTGTTGTTATCATGAAGCTTTTTGGGTTCAAAGTACCCCAGGACCCCATTCGTTTTGGCTGTTGGGGACCACTCGCATACGTTTTCCTTTGTGGGTGAAAGGGACACGGTTTTTATTTTATTCATTTTTTTTTGAGGGTGTGTGTGTGTGTGTGCGTGGGTGTGTGTGGGTGGGGTGGGCTACAGCGAGCTCATGATGTAGGTTCTTCACTTGCGGATCCCGAAATTCAGGTTGAAAATTGTCAGGTATTGCGAAACACAACGAGTTTTTCAGATTTTAGAGCAATTGCGCACCTTGTGATGCAGGGGTTCACAGCAGGCCTGAATCAGGGTCCAACTTGCCTTCTTGACACCCGCTGCCGTTTTTTCGGGCAATGTTCTCAGTCTACTGGGAAGGACCCTCTTCAAATGGTTGGACCAGTTTCCATTTCTTCGGCTCTTGTGTTTTCTTAGGGTCTCTCGAAGTCGGGGCTCCCCTCAAAACGGGGCTCCAACAGCGCCACACCCTGTAGTCGCCAAATATCCCACTATGGCCACCCCTTGACATACTTTGAAGCTGGGGTATGAGTAGGTAGAGGCCTTTTCCGTTTTGGGTAGATAGCGAAAAAGTCATCTGCGCAGATTATGGGACCCAGCGCCTAGTTTGTGCTTTCTGGCGCATGTCCTGAGGAACCCACACCCAGGGTTCTCGTTCCAGCAGTTATTCGCTCAAAAAGACCAAAGTTAGATGACCGTTTACTGAACGGTGGTTTCAATCTCAGCTTCCGGTGGTGCCCGGTGGAATGTGTCCGACGTCGCGGAGTGGATTTGTTTCTTCCCGCCGGCGAGGACTGCTCAGGAAGGCGGGCTCGAAGAGGCAAGGCAAAGCCCCCGGACTTCAAGGGAGACCAACACAGCGGTTGCCATTCAACCCACAGATTCAGAGTTTTGGCCGTGGCCCATCTGGTTTCTCATTTTTTTTGGCTGGTAAATTGGGAGATCAGCGAGCAATGGTTGCCATTTGACCCACCAAGAATGAAACTTTTAGCGCATCTGAAGACAGCCCAGTTGAGAGCGTTCACACCTGCTTTTTGGCTTCTCCAGGGGTTGACATTTTGCCCCAAGGCCATCTTGCTGGTTCGAGGGGCAGGGAATGAGTTGGAATGACCCTGAGCGGAGCATTTGCCTGGTTTCATTTCAGGGAATCTTTGGGTTCATTCCCAAACTCCCACATTTGTTTCTCTACGTGGACAATTTCTATGCCACTTTCAAGGAAACCTCTTATGAAATGACAGATGGAGTGTCAATCAGGAGCCTAGCGCCTCCTACCCACAGGGAAATGGACATTTCAGGGGCGCTGTTGGATGGTTTCTGTCCTGGATGGGCTCGGGTACGGTCAGATGGGAAAGACGCACTGGGCTTCTTTTGCTGCTTTGGCTCGCAGCAAGATATGGCCATATGAAAAACTATTCAAGCGCTCGAAAAGTGCAATCCAACCTATACAAGCTGTGCCCCGAAAATAAAAGCTATACCCAAGCGATGCGAGCAACGAGCTACTATGCAAGCCACGGCATTGGCAAAGATCTGCAGCAAAAAAGTTGTTTTATACGAATTTAAGAACTCTTCATGGGAGTGAAGTTTTGTTCATCGCATCAAACGCATTTTTCCACGGCATAACCTACACAAACCGTTTCAGCTTCGACGGATCGCTTCGCCGGGATCGGATCCCCGGGATCGCGGCACTGCGCGCGCGCGGCGCGGAACATGGCCATCGGGGGGTTGCCCTGCGCGCCAGAGGCAGAGGACCAGTGAGCGAAAGTAGAGAAGTTTTCACGGCCGTCGAATGGCTTTGAAAACTCGAGTTTGCAAACTGCAACATCTGCTCTTCAACAGGGCTCCTTAAAAGATACATGTTGCCCATTTGAAACATGGCTTTTTCCACCAAAATAAAGGGAAACCACCATGTACAAGGCAGTGTTCAGGTGTATAATGTAAGGACCCCTGTTTGATGTACATACGAGTCTGCCTCCCGCACCTTGCCGCATGTAGTTTCGGGCATTTTGTGTAAGATACTTTTTTTTAAAAAAAAATAATTGCTGGGAAGACCTGGGAAAAAAGAACGGACAAGGCTTCATTCCGACTTTGAGTTGCCTGACCTTTCGCAATGATGAGGTGACTCCCCTCAGGGAACACCACGGGATAGCAGCAAGCAGCCAGCAGTACAGCAACCGGTTTCAATAGCTGCGTGATGCAGCCATTCCTATTTACATACCAAACTCCTGACCCGGACTACGGCGGGTTTACACTGCCCTAACCCTAGTAAAGTAGCATGTGTATTTCTATATACAAAGGACCTAACGAGTCCTTGTATGTCCCTTGCTGGTGTTGGTGTAAGCATTACTTTTGATTGTGGATTGAGCTCCCTTGGGACGTTCAAAAGGGACATCTGAGTAACTGCCAATATGATTTGTAGTCTGCTTGGGGAGGGCGAAGGGACCCCACAAAGGCATTCCACATCTCCATGTGGAAAACGGTGTCTCAGGACATGTCCTCAGAGCCTTTCGAGCGGTTGAAGGCGTGGTTCACGAGATCCGGACGGCTCGCGTGCGGCGTGTTGTTCCGGGAAACGGTGTGGAAGATTGGCGGGGGAGAATGGTTAGGTTGGGCGAATGGCCCCAATTATATGAAGTTTCCCTTGGGTCCTGGTTTTTGTTCGGGCTGTGCCGTCGTGCCAAATGGGAACCCTCAAACAGGGTTTTGGCTTTTAGGGTTCCTTCGGGTCTTAAGGGTTCCGTTCAGGGTTGCTTTGTTGCGTCCTATCTAAGTTAGCAGGAATTTCTACAGGTCAGCCACTGGTTGTGGGAGCTTGAGCTTCCAGCTTTCGATGATTCTCTCCTTCGTGGCTTCTGAACTGCCCTAATTGTCATGACCGCTTGTGACCCAATGCAGGCCCAGGGCCCCGTGGAGAACCTGAAGCGATAAAATTGACCGGATCCGGGGCCCTGCTCTGGCATTTGGATTTGCAGCTTTGGAGCAGCCATCAGAAACGGCGGGGAGGAAGTTGAAGATACGAAGGGCCCCCTAGAATGCGCTTGGCATCCTTTTCAAGTTGAACAGGCTGGTAGAAAACCTGCTTGGTAAGCCTTGCTCGGTCTGACTTGGCTTGGGGATTTGAAGAGGGGAAATGGGAAACCCACCCCTGGAACAGCTCCAACCCCGGTCCAATCACCACGTGGCGATTTCAGGAGTGGCTACCCTGGCTGTGTATCTGATTTTGTACACGTGGGATATTCATACTGCGTCGGGAAACTAGGCTAGAATCGTGGCGATAGGGCCTAAGGGGGATTGCCCCACTGTCCATGGTTACCTGATGCCACAAGGAAGTAGGCTGCACAACCCTCTCCAAACCACCAAGGGTTACCTGATCCAGCTGCATTTGTCGAAAAGTGAACGGTTTTCCGCTGGGTACCCTCAAAAGCACAAGCCCTGATCTTGTTCCTGGCATAGCTTTTTAGTTTGTCGGTTCTGTTTGTTTTTAGTGGGTGTCTGCAGAAAGCTTTGACCTGTGCTCACATGATTAGGATTGGAGCGCCCTCTAAAATGGTTGGTGGACATGTCTCCATGGAAAAAGAAATGTTCATCCATTTGCTTCAGACGCTTTGTTATTATTTTGCTCGGTTTGTTAGGGGTGTCTGCCCATTATTTGTCCACATGTTCTATTTTTGTTATTTGTTATTATCATAATTTTCCTTTGTCAATTTTAAACGGGATCTCGCACTGGACATACTGTGGATGGGCAAATTCCTGCACCACCTCAGAAGCCCAACGGAAGCCCAACGGAAGGATAGGATTCTCCTGTACACACCAACAAACAGTGGTTTCCATGGCTTCTTAGGTGGTGGTTAAACTATGTTCTCATTCCTTGCTAAAGGCAAACTTGCACTGTTTGACTGTAGGCTTCATTTGGTACTGATGAGTGTACAGGCTTTGCACCGTCCACATTTTCAGACTACCATCCGGCCTTTTGATGGCCTCCTGGTTAAAACTTCCTGTAGAACTCGTCCCAAACGTCTTCGCCAGGTACTTAGGTGCAGGATTTGGTCCATCCATATCATTCTCCCAGACGTCGCGACGTCGACGCGCGAATCAGGCCAAGCTCTCCGAGGAGGTCCAGGCGGGGGCGGTGGCGGGCGCCTGCCACCTGGTGCTGCGGAACGGGCGCCGCGTCTTCGCGCACGCCAAGGGCGCGGCGAAGCTGGGGAGGACGTCGAAGGCCAAGGCTGGGCTGAACGGGGGAGGGGATAACTTGGTGGTCCCAGCCGTGCTGGAGATTTGTTAGATCTTTTTAGTTGGTTTGGTGGTAGTTTCCATTTGGCCCACTAAAAGTTATTCACCCTTAGCGGGGGAGCTGAGGGCAGCCCAGATAAACCATGGACTTGGGAGGTTAGCAAAGGCATGGGTGCCTCATCTTTTTGAGGGTGTCCTTGTCTGACAAGCGCATGGATGACCATTTACCCACGCGAGCAAACGAGCAAAATGGAGGTTTTCAACCACCAGAATGGGCGAGGGTGATGGTGCTGGTGGTGGAGGTGGTGGTGGGAAAAGGCGCTGAAAGGGTTCTACTGGTCATTCCAACTCGTTGTGGGAACCAGCCAGACAACGGTCCGTGCATCCAACCACAGAACAAAGGCGCTGTTTGTCCCGAAATCCGGTGCCAAATTGTCCAACTGGTGATTTAAAGCGCCCCTGCCCCCAAAAACAAGAGGCTCCCTCAAACTGCGACCACTTTTAGGGAGGTAGGCCCAAGCCAAAACCAAGCCAATCCAAAGCACCAAGTTGAAAGCTGGTGCGCAGATGGGACAACCTCTTCTTGGGGAGCTCTGTGACTCAACGCTCCGTTTTTGGGACACCTACAAATCAAGTTGAAACCACCTGGATGGTGCTTGACATTTTCATTCCCGCAAACTCCGCACTTGGTCCAAGTGAAACTGGCTTTCGAAGGATGCCGGAGGCCAGCGCCAAGCACCCTGTTCCAGACAAACAGGCCCGGAACACCAATCCAAACTCGCGGGAAGCTGAAGAAAGCGCGACCGTCAAGAACGCAAGGCCTTTCGTTTGGAGACTTAGGTTATCATGGGATCAACCCCAGCACCACTTATATCCAAAGACTTAGGCAAGGGGGAGTGTTTCCCCAGCCCCATCCAACCATCAACGGCTTGGGTTGCAGGACATTCTGCCAGAAAAACAAAGGCATCGCTTCTTTCGGGGGGCCATACCTGCAGATGTTCTCCTGCAACCAACCCTTTACCCGAGACAGACGTCAGACGTGCTCCAACGCATGCGATGGCGCTCCGAGGCCTTCGGTTTGAAGACGCTGTGCAAGCTCCACGGCTGCTCCAAGCCCTTGGTCTCCATGGCCTTCCTGCTGCTGGTGCAGCAGGAGCCATGCGATCCGCCGATCCTGGTGCGAACAGAGACCCAAAGGGGGGTCTCCAAGGCAAAATCAGTTTGTTTTTAGGGCAGATTTGGGGGGTTAGAGAAACCTCAATGTGGGTGTGGTCCCTCTTGTTTTCAGCTGCTACCCTTTTGGAGGTTTGTTTACGCTTGTTTGCAGGGAAGCCTGAGGCAAACACCTCATTTTGAGGGTTTCCTATACGGAGACAACCTCATTTGTGTATGTTGTTTTTTCCTTAATTTGGGACCCCTGCACAGCATTTAGGGGGTTGATGTGCACCTCCCGCTTTTGAGGGGCTTCCCTTTTAAATTGGAGCGCGCGGCTGAGCTCTGAACAGTGGTTTTCGCATTTTGAGAGGCCCGTTCGCAAAACTTTTGGGGGTTGGGAGCCGTTCTTTGAACGTGAGAGCAGTTTTTTTTGAGTCACTTTAATGCCCCCCGCGCAATCCCTTTAGCTTCTTCCAGACTTCGTGTTCTTTTTGTGTAGCATGGATAAATGGATTCGACACGTCGTCCGAACGGGCAATCAAGCGGTCCCCTGTTTTTGGGAAGGAGAATACGCAATATACTCTTTTTTTTGTGGGTGCCTTGCTCGTCGTTTGTTTGTCTTCTTTTGTCTAAATTCCGGATCAATGAACCCCAAGAAGGTTGCTGGGTTTATCTTCTTCCGATTTCCCCGAGTCAGGGTGCTTAAACCGTTCTTTTCTTCACCATCCGCATTTTTTGTGTGTCTCATATAGCCGTTACACGGGCTTCTCCTTTTTTATGTTTGTCATCTTTCTTGTTGCCTAACCCCTTTTGAGCTACCCAATTTGTGCTTCCTTTGTCAGCGTTTTTTTTTCCTTGTTTATAATGGTTTCCTTTCTGTTTGCAGGTTCCTTTCACATGTCCCGTTTTTTTTGTATTGCCCTTCCTTTTTTTCTCCTTCCTTTTTCTACTTGGCCTTCTGTGTTATCCCTTTTGCATTTCGACTTTCCATTTCCCCTTGACCATGTCTCTTTTGCATCACAACCTTGCTTTTCAGCTCTTGCTGTCCTTATATGTATATATATATACATACACGCGTATATATATATATATATATCATACGTACATGATGTGAACAACTCATGAACTATGCCATTTCATGAGGGAAAAGCTGGGCATGACCCTTGCTTGGGCCTTTGTTTTTTCAGGGAAACCAAAAGGAAGCTGTTCAACAGGGTCCCTTAATTCATGCGAAAGCAGCTTTGCCAGCTGTTTCGCATGGTTTCTGCATGTACCAGGCATTTGTTTAAACGTTTTTCTCTTTTCAAGGGACCCTATAGAACAGTTGCTTCGTGTTTCGATTTGAACGTCTGACTGACTCTTGGCCGACTCGAAGCCAGGGCCGCGTGAAGCTCGATGACCCCGTTGCTCAGTACCTGACCTTCCCAGACGCGCCTCGATAGAACACTTGCCCTTTCAGTGACTCACTCCGTTCATTTCCAAAGCAACCAACAGGTCACCAACCACGAAGGAAGAGGACAACAACATAGTTGTTCAGCCCAAAAGGAAGCCAACTAAAAGGAAACCGGCCAACACGGAAACTCACTTCCTGATCTCCTGGGACTCCACATACCTTTTGCTTGCCGACGGGAGGCAAGCAGCAAGCAACAAGTCCGTGGAACCTTGTTTGGCCAATCCCTTGAGGCAAGTCCGCAACGTTGGACCACCTCTGTTGTAATGAGAATGACGAGTTAATTGAAATTTGTAACAAAAGAAAACATCAAGAAGCAAATTAGCAACAACAACAGATAACATCCGCCCGCCCAACACCCGCGCCCACGCGTTTTGCAAGGGGAGTCAAGTCATTTTGGATGGATGTTGCCAGAAGTGAGCTCATTTCAATCTGTTGGCAGACTTGGCAGACTTGTGCAGATGATGCATTAAGAATTTGCCACCCATGCCAGTAGAGCCGACGAAGCTTCTTTTCTTTCCTTCCTGTTGTCCTTCCTTCTTTCTTTCATTCTTTCCTTGTTTATGTCTGTCTTTCGTTGTTTCTTTCTTTCTTTCTTTCTTTCTTTCTTTCTTTCTTTCTTTCTTTCTTTCTTTCTTTCTTTCTTTCTTTCCGTCCGTCCGTCCGTCCGTCCGTCCGTCCGTCTGTCTGTCTGTCTGTCTGTTTGTTTGTTCTCTCTCTCTCTCTCTCCCTCTCTCTGTCTCTCTATCTCTCTCTTTGCTCTTTTTCATTTATTTACATATCGATCTCTCTATCTCTCTATCTCTCTATGTACTGTATCTTTTTTTTTCTTCTTTTTTTCTTTTTTTAATACCTATGTATCTATCTAATCTAATCTAATCTAATCTAATCTAATCTAATCTAATCTAATCTAATCTATCTTATCTATCGATCGATCTATCTACATACCTATCTGCCTACCTATCTATCTAGCTATCTACTTAGCTACCTACCTACCTATCTGTCTGTCTATCTGCCTATCTTTCCTATCTAGCTATCTTTCTACCTGCAGGGCCAGACTGGATGCCAGATTCCAGATCTAGAGTCCTGGAGATCTTGAATCTTGAGCCCAAAACTGCTTTAACACATTTTGGGCAATTAGAGTTTCAGGCAGCCGTGCAGATGCGGGAATGAGTTAGATGGTCAAAATCGGAGTGCTTGAAGAGCTGAAGAGGGGGTGGAAACCACTTCAAAGTACTGTAAATCCTTCACCTCTTGTGTGTGCACCGTGCTGGACGCACGCTAAGTTTCTCATGCGGAGTGCGGCGTGACTGAGGGACCGCACTCAATGAAGCTACAGTCACGGGATCTGCTTCAAGCATGCATGACCTTGTTTTCCGGATGAACTCTTGGAGAATTCTTCCTTTTCAAACTTTTATTTGGTTTTGCGCTTCCGCATTCGTGTGTGACTTGACAGCGAGTATGCCACGCTCTATTAGAGTGTGTTGTGTGTGTGTGTGTGGGTGTGTGTGTGTGTGTGTGTGTCTGTGTGTCTGTGTGTGTGTGTCTGTGTGTCTGTGTGTCTGTGTGTCTGTGTGTCTGTGTGTCTGTGTGTCTGTGTGTCTGTGTGTGTCTGTGTGTGTCTGTGTCTCTGTGTCTCTGTGTCTCTGTGTCTGTGTCTCTGTGTCTCTGTGTCTCTGTGTCTCTGTGTCTCTGTGTCTCTGTGTCTCTGTGTCTCTGTGTCTCTGTGTCTCTGTGTCTCTGTGTCTCTGTGTCTGTGTCTCTGTGTGTCTGTGTCTGTGTCTGTGTCTGTGTCTGTGTCTGTGTCTGTGTCTGTGTCTGTGTCTGTGTGTTTGTGTGTTTCTGTGTTTTTAGGGGTGACAGGGGGTGGGTTTGGGGGGTGGGGGTGGGGGTTGCATTATATATATATAGATAGATGGATATGTGCTTTACACAGATGTTTGTTCCATGTTTTTGTATGTTGTCATGCTTACCCGCATGTGTAGACAGTTATTTGTTTGCTTTTGATTTTTGGTCAAACGTGGTTGATTGGCGTGAATCCCCAAATGATGCCCACCAAAGAGTCCGGGACCCACATGAAGATCCCCCCAGCAAGTGAGGAGAAGGAGACATTGAGCTGGCCGCCATCCTTCCAAACAAAGAAATCGCCACCGGACTCGGGACTCGGGACTTTGAACTTCAACACCTCAATTCAACACCCCCTCAAACGTCGGTAGACAGCAACCCCCCGCCTGAACGCTGTCAGTCAAGGGGTACCTCAACTTGTGGAGGTGAGGGCCATCAAGGCCAAGACGAAGGCCAAGGTCAAGGCGCTGGTGAAGAGCCACATGTCTAGTGCTACCTTCCATTTCCATTCTGTCCAGGGATCCTTCTTTCTAGCAAACCTCTGGAAAACTGAGGGAAACGACCGGTTCTCGAAAAGAACGATGGTTGGAAAGAATGGGGGAATCAACCCTTAGAACTATTCTCCAGACCTTTTGGACTGGAAAGCTGGATTTGAGTCATCAGTTTAGCCGTTCCATGGCTTTTGGTCTTCATTCTCGGCAAGTTTGGGCCAACTTGAATGGAGCTTGCTTTAGGTCGGGTGAGTTGAACAAGGCAAAGCATGAAATCCCAACAGCGACACACTTGGATGTTCAACCCACGTCAGGCAAGTCGGTTGGAGCCATGGCATAGCCGATCTGAACTTACCCAAGTTTCCGCAGTTACAACCGCGGTTATCCCCTACCAAGTGCAAGTGGGTTGAACATACCAGGCTGGGACTTGCGTATTCCCACAAAAAAACTATTGGGGCACTTACAAAAGGGGGCCTGAGAGCTGCCCTTTGATTTGTTGGGAGAGGGGTTTTAGCGAACCTCTGAGGCTGTGGCGTGTTTTGGCGGCCACCTTCCACTTATAATCATTTGTGTGTGTGTGTTTGTTGAGTTAAGGGTTCTGCGATTCCAAGAGAACCCCTTCAAGGTGAACGGAGAGCTTGTTGTAGCATGGTTTTGTGGACAAAACAAACAACTTTTTAAAGATTTTGTAGGTGGCAACTTTCTATTGGCCAAGGATTCGAATCTTTCATAGGTTTCCTTTCTAGTTTGGCCCGCTTCTCCCAAAGCGCGCTTTCTGTAGGATACTTGCCGTGGACAACTTTGTTTTCCACATATGGCCTGAGAAGGAGCAGGTTTTTTCAGGTCACCCCAGCCGGTGGATTGGTTTGGACTTGACGGTTCTTGTAGGGTAAAGGTGAGGTTCCACCCCGAAACCACCAAACCGCCAACTCAAACCACCAATTAGGAGGAAGCTGATGTTTGGAGATTGCGGGGTCCTTGGAAGGTGAGGAAGGTTCAGCAGCAGCCAACACTGCGGCACCTGCTGACAATGACGGCTGGTCTCCAGTATCAGGAAGCGGAGCGGGACGTAAGGAGGGGCACGCTTGGATGTTCAAACCAGTTGGAAGTAGGTTATCACCATGCACAGCCAACCCCAGCTACTTCAGAAAGGGTTCTTCTATCCTAAGTCTCGAAGTGGGTTGAACATTTCCGACAGCATCCTTCTAGGCCTATGGACGTTTAACATTTCTCAGCAAGAGAAAGGGCACCGGGCATCCGAGCTTTTGACAAAAGAGAGGGTGGAGATCCTTAAGATCAATTTGCCTAGTTTAAGGCAAGCTCACCTGGAAGCTCCCAAAGCGATCTCACCATAATATACGTTCTTTACTTGAAGATCCGTCCCCACAACTGCTTTTTGGGCACTTAGTTGGAATTTTGAACATGGGAAAAAGCAGTTGGGGGGTGCTGGCTGGGGTTCGGGGGCCGAAACCAAAGAAAGGCCTTGAATTTTGGAAGCGGCCTTTGTTTTAGCAGTCTTTCCCCGGACAAAAGATAGGGCTAACGACCCCAAGAAAGCTTTGCTTGAGTAGAAGGGGCATTGCTTGCGCTCAAACCACGACAGGCAAGGTTATAACCTGGGGGCCAGGTTACCCAGTGATATTCATGGTCGCCTACGGTGAGCTTTTCGGGGGATCCTCCCCCCTTTTTGGCTGGAAAGTCATCAAGTCTTCAGACCTGATCTGCAAATGATGCAAGGGACCTGGTCAAGGAACATGTGTGTGACGGTCTGGTAGCCCCAAAAAAGGGAACTAGAGGTCTGGAGGTCTGGGACAGGGGGAGATGATTCTGCGATGTTTGCAATACTTGGTTTTCTTTTCCTTGTTTCCTCACTTGTCCCAAGCAAATCAACATTTGACCACTCTTAGTTTTTCTCGCTTATTCGTGAGTCATGGCGAATAAGCGGTGATGACCTCCAAAGACTTTTTGCTTGGCCCATTCGTCATGGCGCGAGAAAGGCGGATCGAACCCCGCTGATTTCCGGGTTTCCGGGTCCCAAACGGTTTGGTACCTGCGAGGACTGCCCGGCCTATGGCGCGGTGATGCGGCGCATCCGCCGCAAGGAGATCCGAGGCTTGGAGGCGATGTGCGACGCGCTGGGCCAGCGGCCGCTGCAGAGCGAGCCAGGAGAGACGAGCTCCGATTGAAGAACCTGCGAAATCGCTGGCACCGGTCGGGAATGTGGCTGTTTGTCAAAACCGTGGGATCCCATGGGGCTTTCGTTCACTGGAGAAACGGGCTTTTGACCCATGGCCATGTGGGAATGCGGAGGGGTTCCCTGAAAGGAAACCACCAGTTGGATGGTTTAGAAGGGTCATTCCCTCATTCCCTGCTGAGGGTCGTGTCTGAGTCAGCAGGGGCCGTGCCCGTGCTTTTGGAAAAATCGGATGGGTCCTGGTAAAAAATTGGAAGAACAGTGCCATGTATCATTCGACTCTTCCCCTGTTGAAATGCTTTGGATGGACAACATCCTCTAGTTCAGGAACCCTATGATTCGATTCGCCAACGTAAATACCAACAAAGAATGGCCTCAACCAGAGTTTCAAAGAGGTGCATATTTTCGCCCATCCAGAGAAGGTGCCCGTTCAGGCTAGTTTGGCTGGACATAGATCGCACTGTTCTGGTTGTTGTACCAGGGCCATCGATGTTAAACGGCCCTCATTTGTTTCCGGACGACCAAGCGTTTGAAGCTTGGTCATTGATAGGCGAACCAAAAGGAACCCCTTGCCATGGTGTCAGACCATCGTTTAGAGGACCCCAAATAGGGGGTAGCCTCAAAATGGGGCTTCTGTCTCCCATTTGGTTGGGTCCGGCGATTCGCTCATTTCGAGGAGCGCGGTATGCCTACAGCTTCTGCACCGACTTCGTGGGCCGCGTTTGTGAGGCGCTCGATGGGACTCGAAAGGGGAGACTTGCAAAGGGGTGTTTTAGGGGCCTGGGAATCGGCTTCCTTCCGAAAACGTGCTCCCCCGAACTTCTCCGGAAATATGCCGTATGCTTCGAGGCTGTCTATTCAGGACACAAGTTGACACAGATTGATGTACATTTCGTACACATTGACACAAATTGCAAAAATAATGCACAGAGTCTGAAGATTTGTTTTTTTGGTGTAGCCGAGCTAAGACGCCTTGCGGGATCTCGATGCATGGATTTGCTGCATGTGGAGTGCTCAGTGTAGCGACGGGATTCAGACTTAAGCCACGGAGGTTGAACCAAGAAGCAGGTCATGTAGAGGACAAGCCCAGGAGAGGTTTCATACTCGAGGCTTACCTGTGAGGTTTCTCCAGAGGTTCACAGAGGGGGGCTCCGAGCAAGTCAAAAGTTCTGGATTGACCTCTAAGGAACCCCGACTCACATGCCAGATTGCAGCTATCTCCTGAAGTTTGGGATTCAACCAGGTTCCCCTGGGACTGAAGATCTTTCGAAGATTTGGCCATTAGGAGAAAACGTGGGCCTTCCGGCGGCCTAGGTGGTGAGTGGGCAGAGGCTGGACAAGTTCCTGGAGACCATCTTGCTGAAGCCCCTGCAGATGAGGGACACCCACTTTGTGGTTCCCGCCAGCTGGCGAAATGGCCGGGGCTGGTTTTTGTGGTTGAATCCTGTCTGGGGCTGGTTTGAAGGCAAACCACAAGGGACAACCGCCAGCAACCATCACGCGTTGAAAAAGAGACACACCCAAATGAGTGTCTTTTGCTTTGCCCGAGAAGGGTTTCTGCCAAAAACATACGCGCAAGTGCCAGTTTCCGCAATACCAATCAACATCCCCAAGTGACAAAGTCATGGGCATACTCCAGTTTGGTATTACCGGGTCAATTTTTGAGAACCATGCCGAAGGATCTGACCTCAACCCCGTGAGCCTCCTAGAAACGGCGTCGCTGAGGCCAAGAAGCGAAAGAGGCAGGCCACCCTCTACGACTGCCAGCCAGTGGATGGGTCCACGTGCATGCCCAAGGCCAGCGAAAGCGAATCTGGCAGTTTTTTTTTTGGGGGGGTAGTTTTTTTCCGGGAACGAGCAATTGGTGGGTGGCAAGTGCCAACCTGACACGGGTTCAGGCACTGGTGGTGGCACAGGGAACGGCTCGCAAACGACCAAGACATGATACCATTTAGCCACTTTCCCAACGGATCGCAAAGGTGTGGACTTGACACTTTCTAAGACTCTTTACCACTTGAGTCAAGTACCCACGCACCCCTCCCCCCCCCTTTCCCGCCTTTTAAAGAGTACTTGGCCTTCCATAGTAAATTCCTCCTTTGCTAGTCAGGCGCTGATCGTATGCTCTAAAAGCAGTGGGTATGGGTATGGGAGTCAGACTTTTTTGCCATTCCACCAAAGTGGACTCGCCCAGAATGGAACGAGTCGAAGCCCTTGAGCTCGAATGACTGTCAAATTCACCAAACTGGAAGCCGGAGAGAGAAAAAAGAGAGAGAGAGAGAGAGAGAGAGCCTGATTCCGCAAACTCCCAACAAATTCTCCGCCATCGACAGGTGTGGGAACATCCAGAGAGGGCAGATGGCATCATGAGTGCGGGCGGCGGCATATTGAGCTACCACGCCACCGGGCTCAGAGTTTTTTCGAGAGGTCCTGGGAAGACCAGCTAAGGCGTACCCTCCAACCGACTAACATGGAACTTGACGGGCTTGTTCCTCTTGGGTTTGTGGGGGTTCGTGATACTCTCACTCCCTGAGTTCCTGAACTTGTAAACTTTTGAACAGACCATCTTAGTGGCAGACAGAACGTCTGGACTTTTTTGGCGCATCCACTCAAAAAGTGAGTAGTCTGGAGAGTAGGTATTGCTTTGGGACTTGTCTTGACCATTGACCCCGTTCCCCATCAGTTGGATCAAGCCGGGTTTGCTCCGGGCCACGAGGTAAGGGTAAGAGGGGCCCCTTGGGGCCAGCTGGGATTTGTCTGGTAACCACTGGAGAATACCAGCACCTACCATCATGACTTTTTGAACCATGTCCAAGACCCGAAGTTCTGTCCAAGCAATCGTTGGGACCTGGGTGGTGGGATTAGAATCTGGTTCTCCGGGGCCCACATGCAGTTGTGTTTTCCAAACCTCCTTTGGCTTCTGGGTTTGCTTTGGAGGGAAACTAAAAGGACGCCACCATGTCTTTTTCCAACGCCCTTTGAGACTCGCCCACTTACTCCCTCCCTTCGATGGACGTCGCATGGGAGCAGCTTTCTGAGAAAGCTCCGAGGATGCGGGGATCTGGAGCACCGCGGCAGACTACGCCAAGTTCTGCCAGATGCTGCTGACAGGCAGCTTGGGTTGGCCACAGCGTCGCTGCACTGCGCATGTTGCGCCAAGAGCAGCTCCACAAAGGGCGTCGCCCGCTGATGGGGCCTGCAAAAGCAACCCCCCAAAAAAAGTCGGCCCTTGTCGGTGGACCAGTCGCCACTGGGCCCCAAGACGCCCCGAAAATCGGCGGACCCTCCCTTCCCATCCGCTCGTTTGCCGCTCCCATGCGCCCTCGAGAGGCCTTTCTCCCAGTGGGAAGCAGATCCTTGAGCCCGGCTTCCTGAAAAGCCTCTGGCGCGACGGCCTGGTGGACTATGGACGCAAGGAGTCGAAGCGAATCGATCCGGGGGCCGTTTTGACTCGGTCTATGTCGAACCAAAGGTCGGACTTTTAAGGGTTCCGATTTCGCCGATTCCCATTGTTTCCCCCATTCTTTAAGATCAGCCTTTGGCGCCGATTCAAAGCGAGCTTCCTTTGGGAGAGGTAGATGCTCAACTTAGGTTCACAAGCCCGGATTCCCCTCATTGTCCTTTTCCCACTTAGCGATGAAAGCTTCATGGCCCGCAAAAGGCTGGTTGCCTGAATGTCACTTAAGCAGGCTATAGCTGTAGTCACAACTGGGGTAACTGGGGTTAGATTCCCAAGCAGGAGTATCATCTACTTGCTGAGTGGGTTGAACGTCCAAGTGGGGAAAGAGTGTCAACCCAAGGTGGCCGCACCAATCATCTTTGGTGGTTTAGTTGGCAACGTTCGTGGCAGGGGCAGTTGTGACAGACCACTGGTGGGATTGTCTCAAAACGAAGTTGCTTTTATGAAGCCAGCCCCCTGTGTTTCTGGGCAATCAGAAAACCCGCCAGGTCTGCCCACCCTTTCTTGGATGCTGTCAAGCCGGTTTCACTAAGTGACTTCCCGCAGCCCTAAGCCATTGCCCTCCTCCACCTGTACGTGGTTTGAAGCTCCAGGTCGGTTTTCTGTTCGCGACTCAAGGCCGGACGTGCTGTGCAACTCGAACTTGTCGGGCGGTTTCTCCCCAACACGATTTTGGTTAAGACGGAGAACGACCACAGGCTTTGGTGTGGGAACAGCTTGCGGCGTTTGGTTTGGCTTTGACATCTCCAGAAAGATGTTGTCGGGTTCCAGAAGTCGTTTCTCCATTGGAGTGGGCGTCAGAGAAATGGGTTCTCAAAATATCGGACCCCGTTTGTTTCGGATATCCAAAAGGAAACCAACCATTTGCAGAGGTCTCGTTTGAGAAGCGAAAGGGACCCTCAGAGCGATAATTGAAAGCGTGCTTTGTACAAGTCAGTGTTTTAACAGCTAGCGTTCTGGGATCGCCAGTCCAGCAAAGGTCGACTGAGGAGGCTCTCTCTCTCTCTTTGAGAAGCACCCAAATGTCAGGTGACATTACATTTGGTGACACCCAGTGTTTTAAACCACCGATTCGGCCCACACCACCGAAGAAGCTGAACACTTTACCCAAGAATTACTCAAACCCAGGACTCAGTTCTCCTTCTGGGGGTAATGAGTTTAGCCCTCGGTTACTTAAGCCCAGGAGTTCTCCAAGAAGCTGCACCTGGCGCGAGCGGGGTCTCATTTTCTGCCCCAAGATAGACTTCAACCCAGGAATCGGTTCTCCCTTTGAGGTCACTAGGTTTAAGCGCGCCCTCGCCGTTGCCAGGATGGGCGCCTGCCTGGCTGGCACGACTCCCCGGGCGCCATGTGGGACTTCACAGGCTGGTCGCTGCTGAACACGCACCTCACCTTCCAGGACCAGAAAACGGAGCCGGCCGCTTGCTGATGCGATAGAGAAGGAGTTGGAATGAACCCAACCCCCTGAAAGGAAACCACCCGTGGGATGGTTTATGAGAGGCGAAGAAGAAAGAAGACGCTCTTGTTTGCTGCAAACCATGGTTTTGTGACTCAAATGGCTTTTGGTGTTCTGTTGCTGTGTTTTGCACGAATGAACCATCGGGGTCTAAGTCCACCAACGAGCTTTCAACATCACCGCTTGAGTCATGAGCCAACTAAAGTGAGTTTCCTTCAAATTGGGCAATGTTCAACTGGAAACTACAGGGCACCCGGCAAGACTATTTGTTTCATGAGCTGAAAACCAGGTTGAACAATTTCAGGTGTGCAGATGACTCGTTGCTTCAGCTCTTTTGTGCTTCACGCCATGGCCTTGACAGCCCTCCCATGCAGTTTCACAGCGACCGTCGCTCGTTTTTGGTGCGAACGGCTACATGTTTGCACCAAATCGCCCTATGATCACAAGGTGTCGCGGATGAATAAACTCCTTCCCGCCTCCCGGCAGGTCAAGCCTCAGACGAAATGGGTGTGGCTCAAAATTAAACCGGAGGGGCAAACCGCAGGTTTTGGTTTCCTGTTTCCACTTATCAGGGCAACCCATTTTGGAGTTCCGGTTTTTTGAGCCACAGCCAAATCACATTCATGTGGTTTCATAGTACATGACCCCAATCCAGTTCTACTCAAAGTGCGTGCCTCGAGACTCTTTGGCTTCCGAAAGCGCTTGGGAACAAACCCAGGTGGGGTCCCATTTGTTTCACCCCCGAAAATTGGGGGATGTGGCATGGTTTCCCTTACTTGTAGGTTTCCCTTGCGCCAATTTGCCGGACACTCCGGCATGATCTGAAAGAATTCTTCTTCTTTTTATTTTTCCGCACTCGTTGGTTCCTTCCCGTGTGGAACGATTTTGTTCGCACACTCGCCGCGTCAGAGAGCCACTTGTGTAGTTTTCAAGCCTTAAACTCTTAGTCGACAGGATTCGGGTAAGAAAGAGAGACACTTCCTTTCCACCAGTCCTATCAGGTCCAGATCATTGTCCGTTTGCCAATCCACTCGTTCCGCCATCAGAGCTAAGAATAAAGAATTGGATCGCCAAGCAAACGACCTACATCATGGGCGTTCGATTCTTTCATCCCCTTTTGTTTGCTGGACTTCGACCCCCCAGGCTTTGTTTTTGTCAGACGCCTGTTTGCTTCAGGACGGGCCTCAGGGCCGAGGAAGAAAGCTGGGGCAGACCATGTGGATGGGCGGCGGCGGAGGGACCTACTGGGTGGTGGACCGACGGCGTCAGACGGCCGAGCCCCCGGCCTCGGCGCGAACCGTCGGATCGTCCGGAAAAATCGGGGAAGCGGAAGCCCCCCCCCCCCTGCCCCCCGTTTTGGGGTAGGGAGCCATTTTTGCGGGGCTGGGGTTGGCCTATCAATCCTATAGATGGAACCTGCCCTTCTTCAAGAGGTAATAGAGCTGGGTGCTAAACTTGCGATTGATCATAATTTTTGAGTTTGTCCGAAGAGAGAGAGCAGAAGGGGATGGGCATGTGTTCAATGCTTTGTTGTTTCCAGACCCAGTAACCAGCACCCGTATTCGGCCCTACACAACTACAATGGGGTGGTGGGGTGCTATTAAGCCAACTTTCCTCAGGATCATGGAAGAATCATGTTCGGAAGTATGTAGCCTCTTATTCGGTGGTCCCCCTAGTAGCTCGGGTTCTAGTCAGATCCAGGGTCAATACTGTGGATGGACGAACTCCTGCACCACTTCGAAAGCATGGGAGCCCTCATTGTTGGTTGGTATTTACAGGCGAATCATCATTCCAGGGTTTCTTGGGTGCAGGATTTCGTCCATCCACCGTATTACCAGTAATCTCGTGCGTTCATGCCTTTTACTTGGGCAGTCTGGCCAAGAACTCGTGGAGCGATCGCGGTTTTCCTCGAGCTTTCCTAAGCAACCACCAAAAGGAAAGGGTACCATCAACCAAAACGCACCCCCTGAGGTCAACCTCTTTGAACGCTTGGTTTTTCAAGACAAACTCAAGAAGAGGATATTTGGAGTAGGGTTGTTTGGTCAATTGGCCCCTTTTAGCACTTGTACGGGGGTTTCTTTTTTGAGGGTACCTTTGTGGGTCTGGTTAGGGAACAACAAGGAACCACCTACCTGGAGGAGTTGGTCCCCAATTTGGAGAAACACCTTTTTTCCCTAACATGGAACCTGAGTGGGACCCTTAGATCTATTCGTAGTAGGGCGACAATCCCTGCCAACCAACGTAGGTCCGGAGTTCCGCCTGTAGCGCAAGAACAAAATACAGTTGTCCAAAAAACATTCGTTGGTGTCAGGTTTCATTTTTCCGGGGTATGGACCCGCTATCCATCTTGCAAAAAGTGGGTATGTGCTTATACGTATGTACCCATCCCATGTTCGCTTGGGCCCCAGTGGAACCCCATCTTAGACGACCAAAGATGCCCAGTGTTTTTTGGTCAGGGCTCTAATCGCATCCGTTTTGACTAAACTGAAACTGTTTTCGTTTTGGTTTTTGAAAAAACGGGCTTAAGGCGCCTACAAATAAAAGGTTGACCCCACATGAAGTAAGTAATTTTGCAGTGCCCCCACTTAGATCGGTCAGGTAACCCCTCAGTTGGCGGTTAGACAGCGTTTGTTTCTTGAATGCGTGGGTTTCCAGGCGAGAAACCTGAAATGTTGTTTCTCCCTCGAACTTTCGGCATGTTTTCCCCTCAAAAGTGGGGTTTCAGTGGGGTTTCCCACACAACCAGCCCTGAAAAGTGGGGTTTTCCTGTTGGGCTTCCCACAAAACCAGCCTAAAGAGCCGGGTTTTCCACAAAGCCAAGCCCTGAAAAAAGTTGGGGTTTTCCCTGACCTGAGCTGGTGTCCCTTCATACCATCTCCTGTCTAATACTCAAGAATCCTGAAGATGAACTGGGCACCAAGCAAGGTTTTCTAGGGGTAACTTCCCCATTCTTTCCAGCAATCCGGATCTTTCTAGAAAACCACCCAAAACCCTGGGGAAATGGCGACCGGTTTTTGAAAAGAAGGATGGCTGAAAAGAATGGAAAAGGAAAATCAGCCCCTAGAGGTGTACATAAAATCAACTCCAAAGCAGGGCAACCCAGAAGACGTCGCTTGTGGGATCTCAAAAGGTCAATTAGGAATCAACCACTAGAGTTTTGCCTAAGCTGAGCTGGGCAGCAAGCAACCGAACTGAGGTCTCGGTGTCCTTCTGCCAGTCCTTCGGTGGCCGGGGAGACGCCACCGACGAGGCCAAGGCGAGTGGGGGCGAACCGACGGCGGGAGGAGTCAGAGGTGTCTGAAGCTGAGGCTGGTGAGCTTGGAATGAGAAATGGCCACGGGTCACAACCTATGCCTCCATTTTGGGGCGGATGAACATGTGCCACCTATTTTGATGTTCACCAGGGGTACCGGGTTTTGACTCACAGCCAAATGGAATGAGCCTTATGAACCATCCAATTGGTGGCTTCCCTTTTTCTTGCTGGTGCTCAGCTTGGAATGAGGGAATCACACCAGTAAACCGCCCCTTGTGGTTTCCTTTAAGGGCCTGGAATGAGAAATGGAATGACCCCAAGCAGTTCGACCACATTCCCGCAGCAGCAAGTTTGTGGGAGCCCAACTTGGTTGGTTTTGAGGAACAACCCCAAAGGACATCGATCATTTCGGAGACAAACCCATTTCGGATTTCCCTTTCTTTGGAGGTCAAAGGGACATCAACAGGAAACCACTCATGTGGCAAAACGAGTTGGGAGCAGTCGTTTTAGAAAAGGAAATCCCAGCCCTGCCCCCTTGGTTATTTTAACTGGTTTTGGTTAGACCCAAAGTTTCGATGGGGTGAGCCAGCTATCAATCCGCTGGATTGTTGCTTGCATCAGGACGCCTCGATCTTCACCGAAGCCGCGCTGAAGCGAAGGCGCCGCTGAGGCGGCAATGTGAAGCCAGCCAAGCGGCCTGCGGGATTTTCGGAGCGGGGTCCCGGTAGCAACAGCGTCTGGCCTGTTCGGGGAGTGCCATGCACGCTGAGAGTTTGATTTTTGCAAGCTGCCCGCAACGGAAAAACACGCCAGGGCAGTGGTTGAGGCATTGGCTTCATGGGTCTGTCATACGGGGCCCTTGGGGTTCCGGAGTGACTCTTTTTCAGTCGTGTATGTGGCACGCCTTGACAGTGAATCACCCATAGGTCTACATCCAACGTGCGCTGAAACGAGGCACTGTGTCTCAAATGTGCCCATTGTAATGTCAACCTCAATCCCTGAAGAAAGAAACTACAGAAAGCAGGACCCCGTCGGAACAAATACATTGCCGGCGGGGGGGCGTTGTCAATCAGGATCAACATTAGGTGGTTCTACATGGTTTTTAATCGGGCTTATTGCAAGGCAAAATTATAATAGTACTAAAAGCATGTGCCCAGGTTTGTACTCGCATGGATGCTGTTGCAATGCGCCGCATTAGAGCAGGGCAATTGGACTGTTTTTAGTGGAGTAATTTTGGTTTTCCTCTGGTTTCCCTTCGAAAACCATAAAAAGAGGTACCCACAAAAAAGACACGCTCATTTGCACCTCGTTTTGGGTTCACAGCGGCATTATCCTGACTGGTACTTTGCTTTGTCGTTTGCGCAGCGACAGGGCTTGACTTGTCATGCTTTCGGTTGGGTGTAGTTGATGCCCCTTAAGGCAGGGTGCTTGATTTTCCAGGTTGGGTTTTTTTGCACATAAATGCTTGGGCCAAGAAGAAGAGCGTTTCCTCTTGGGGTGTCGTTTTGAAAGAGGCAACAAGTGGGGTACCCCTCTTGGCGTCGCTTTTTTTAACCATGCCCACCACATCGGGCCAACTCATTTCCACGGCTGAGTGAACGGATCAGATGCCAGGATTTATGAAGCTTTTAAGGGGGTTCCGTACCTTGCTGGTGCGATAGGGAATGAGTTGGAATGACTGAGCACTATATAGCAAGTTATTGAAATTCATAGTATGCATGTGACATCCCTTGTGAAATGGCAAGCCCGGACAGTTTGCGCGGGACACTTTGCCAAGCGCAGTTCGGGAATAGGGGGCCAGTTGCCAAGCGCAACCCGTGGGGGAGGGAGTTGCAGCGTAGCAACAGGGAGAAAAAGGCTCAGTGCGGCGCTCTCCAGCTCCAGCTGTGGCTCGTTGTTTGTCGGTCTGTCTGTGTCTGTGTCTTTGTGTGTGTGTGTGTGGGTGTTTGCGTGTGTTCGTGTTTGTGTGTGTGTGTGTGTGTCTGTGTCTGCATCTGTGTCTGTGTCTCCCTCTCTCTCTCTCTCTTCTCTGGGTTCCAAGTACATCTCCTTGGTTCTTGGCTCGGCGGCTTGAACCACCACCTTTCGGCCACGTCGACCTGAGCTCAAGTGGGGTCATGTTTAGGGGCCAACATACTGTGGATGGACCAAATCCGGCGCCAGATGGGATGGATGACACCCTATGAACACTGGAATACAGCGCCTTCGAACTGGTGCAAAGTGTATTTCGTGCGTCCACAGTCGTGAGCCCGGTCCCTGTCCTATTCTTTTTTTTAGCTCTCTCTCTCTCTCTCGTTAAAATACGTTGGTACTTTACTGCAAGTGCAAGTGTTGTTTCTGTTGTCACAAACACAAATGTAGTTAGCCAGCATGCACTCTTTTCCTGGTAGACTCAAGGCCTGCAGTCGGGTAGTGTACATCATGCATGCACAAGTGACAAGTTGTGCAACATGATATTTGACACGGCCCCTTGGTTAAAAGACCTTGTAGTGTCCTTTAACCATAGACCCAAAAGGTGGTATTGACAGTAGTGGCAAAAACGAATGCACATGTTGTTTGCCGATGCTACTGTAGCGAACAGGCATGTAGTCTCTTAAAAAAATGATGACCGAAGGTAGGTATCCACAGCGCTGCTGTCTGTAGTTCAACTAACCTTCAAGTGATCAAAAAGTGAAATTGCTGTACAAGAACACTAAATGGCTCTCAGTCATCTCGTAGTACGATGACGTAGTACAGCACGTAGTAGCAGCTCCACCTAGAGATCAGGTGTACTTAGTCCAGTGTTGTACTCGGTAGTTCTGGACTTGGCTGATGCGGTAGTCCAAGCCTGCATAGTGGTTGGTAGTGAATGTGTTGAGGAAGTCTGGACCGCCACGGAGGCGGTTGTAGTCGCATTCTGGTGGTGCAAGTGCTTGGCCGGTTGTAGTGAGGTAGTTGTGGAGTAGTAGTTTGTGTTGTGTGGAAAGATTTGTAGCCGTGAGGAGGGTGATGCCGTAGTAGGTGACACTTTTGTGTAGCATCGTGTTGATGGACTTGTAGTGGTGGTCTTGAAGTTGTTGTGGTTGGTCGAAGTAGTTGAGTAGTTCTGGTAGGTACAGGGGCATGTGGTAGTTCCAAATGAAGTTGTTGGACAGGTTGAATGTAGTGGTGATCTGGTTCAAGTTGTAGGTGATTCGGTGTAGTCGTTGATGTAGCTGGCGTGTAGGTAGGTGGTGCTCGTCTTTGATTGAGATCATGTGGCTCACGTAGTCGCGGCAGAAGTTGATGAGTTTTCCAGCACTGACAAATCGTAGTAGAACTTCTGGTGGAATGTGTAGTTGGATGATGACCATCGAGTTGGTGTACTGAGTTGTGAGGTGTAGAGATGTTAGGTTGTAGTAGTAGAAGTTGACTGCCTCTGAAAGACGTAGGTGAAAAGGTAGTGAGTTGTAGTGTGGCATCCGTAGGTCTGAAGGTAGGTCGTGAACTGGTAGGTTGTAGTTGAGCTCGGGGATGGGTGTAGTTTGTTGTTGACTTAGTAGTTGGAACTCCTCGCGCGTCAAAGCCACGTAGACCCTGAAGTAGTTCTGCTCCGGGTCGATCGCTGGAGTGTCAGGGATGTTGTTCTCAATTGTAGTGAGGTGTGCCAAGATGTCGTCGGGTCTGTAGAAAGGTGCCGGTGTGGGTAGTTGGTGATTGAAGTTGTAGTTGAGGGAGTTGTAGGCCTCAGGTGGTGGTGTGGCCAAAGTAGCCATGCTGCTGGAGTCGGTAGTGCCCTGCCGATCCGGTGGTGTGAAAAACCCTGTCCGGTAGTACTGCCAGCCTGTTGTTCGACGGGCAGAGTAGTCTCTGGCGCTGATGTAGTAACCTCCATCGGCATGACATCCAGCGTAGTCGCATCCATGGGCGTAGTTCCAGCCATTGCTGGTAGTTCGGCCTATCGAGATGCAGTGAAACGGGGCAGACAGTAGTGAGCCAATGTTAGCTCACAAAAGCACATGCGGGCATGTAGTAAAACACAAAACAACATGTAGTGTTGACTCAAGCCGCCAAAAGCCGCCAAAAGTGCAAGTGCAAATTACCGGTGGTTACAATTACTATTACTTGTAGTCACTGTTACTGTTACTGTTACTTAAATGCAGGTAGTTACATATGGCCATATACAAACTGTTGTGGCTGATGTGCAACAGTTGTGAAACAGTTGTTGTTCGTAGTGATGCTCTGTATGAGCCTCTGTAGTGTTTCTTTGCTAATGTATTTTGTGAACAAGTCTGAGCTGTTGTGTATTGTGTTGATTTTGAGGATTCTGATGATGTCGTGCTTGATGAGGTCTTGTGTGTAGAGAAATTTAAGGTCGATGTGTTTTGCTCGTTTGCTAGTGCCTTGTCGTGTAGCTATGCTCTTGCCTGCTGTGGAGTCTGTGTGGATGCGTAGATTTAGCTTGCTGCAAATGTTGGTTTCAAGTAGGAAGTTTCTGAGGTGTAGTCCCTCATTAACTCCTGTGCAAATGGCGTAGAGTTCAGACTCTGCTGAGCTGAGTGCTATTGTAGCTTGTGTTCTGCTGCCAAATGCAACTGTTGTTCTTAAAAAGATGATGTTGAAACCTGAAGTTGATTTCCTGGTAGTAGGGCATCCTGCCCAGTCGGCATCGACATGAACGTCGAGATCCAGGATGTTGTTGGTGTTTGCTCTGAGTGTTGTTGTTGGTTCTATGGTGAATTTGTAGTGCTTGGTGCCGTGCAAGTAGCGTAGTAGATGTTTGACTCTCTTTTGTGAAAGTTCTGTAGGTGCTGTGAGGTCTCGCGCTTGTTCTTTTGTGGAGTATGCAATGTCTGGTCGTGTGTATGCTAACCATTGTAGTTTGCCAACAATCCTTCTGTACCTTTTGTGTTGTTCGTGGTCAAGTAGCGCTTCATCTTCTATTGTTGGTTTGTAGTGTGCAATTCCTGGAGTGTTCACTGAGTTGCAGTTGTTCATTCCAGACTCCTCGATCATGTTGTCGATGTAGGAGTCCTTTAGTCCCAGGTTGCAGTAGTTGCCAAAGTGGTCGATGTTTCTTCCAAGAATTGTTGTGGTTTGCCAGGTTCGAGGTAGCCGATGTGCTTGAGTAGGACCTGCTTCTGGATGGCCTCGAAGGTGGAGTCGACAGTAGTCTTGTCACCAAGTACCAAGAGATCATCCACGTAGACCATGATGTAGCAGTCGCGAGTCGCGTTGGTGTAGACGTTAGGTTCTGACTTTAGTCTTACAAAGCTGAGCTTTTGTAACACTTCAGCCAGGTAGTCCTGCCATGCTTTTGGTGAACTGCGTAGTCCATACATGGCTTTCTTTAATCGCCAGATTTTGTCCTGTTGTGGACAAAGTTCTTTAGGTGGCCAAAGGAGACGTCACGTTGTTTATCGTCGTGGTCTTTTGCGATGGGTGCGTGTAGAAATGCTGTAGAGACGTCACCTAGTCGCGCGATCCAGTTTGGTCGTGACATTTGTAGTGCGAGAAGTGTCCGGAGTGTCGTGAACATTGGTGTAGAGGCGTAGACGGAGTCTTCGTCCTCGATACGATTCGGCTTCGTACTCCTGGTCCTTTCTTCCTGTGTACCCATCTTGTAGGTATCGCTTCTCTGATGACGTTGTCGTTGACGGTAGACGCATCTACTTCGTCGTAGACGTCGTGTAGTTTCATTTGGTTTGACT